TAGAGCATTGAGGAAACTGCTCTTTCATATGTCCGCTTGGTTTATTTATTTTGATCCATTTCACGTATTTTAACTTTAAGTTTTCCATCCCTATATTTATGAAAGCCTGTAATATTTGTAACCGGTATTGATTTTCTTTCTTTAATTCTTACCTGCGAAAAGTTAAAGCAATGGTTGAAATATAAATGTTGATTATCTCGCCGTATTTTTAAGGTATATCCGGTGGACACTTTACATCTTCGACCACTGACACGACTACAGGAGAGGTTGAAAAAGAAATTAGGAACCAATGCATATCCATTTTGGTTTCAGATTCCTACTCATTCAGCATCAAGTGTAACCTTGCAGGTACCTTAATGAATTTAATCCTTTTCTAATATTATCTCCGTCAGACATCATAGAATATAGGACTTAAGTTACATTACACTATTACAAAATCACCAAATAGTGCGCTTGTCTAAGGTCCAAGTTTTTCTTATTTTTCAAAGCTAAATTTTATAATTGTAGTATTTAATAGTTGTTTTTAGCCTGCTCAAGGTGATACAGGAAAACCATGCGGAGTTGATTTTGAATTGAAAACAATAGTGGAATCTCTTGAGGGCAACAGTGTCGACAAACCAAAGAAACAGTAGGGTTTTAAAAAAGCAATTTTTTTTAAAATAATTGACGACAATTTATAAGCGGTATATGGTTCTTTTTCTTCTTTCATTTCAAATGAAAAAAGCCGTTTCTTGATATCAATGAAAACCAGACAAGGATTTAAGAAAAGATGATTCATAACTTTTTTTTTCAGTGATAGTGTGCGCTTAGCAATAAGGAAATTAACTTATGCACCATACAAAAATCGCCCTCAGCCAGTCGTCGAAGTAACTAAAGAGTTCATGATGAGTTCCGGCTCGTTACATTTAGAAGCATCACTTGATAAAGAGGCAGTTTATTTGTATATTTTTTTGCAATTTTAACCTTAAATCCTGAATTCGATGGTTGGATTATACTCGTATGCGCTTGTATAGGCAAATGGAGACCAGAAATAGCGCCAAGTATTTACTAGGTGACTGTCGAACACCTGGGCAACAAAAGTATCATATTAAAATGTGTGGTATCAAACTTAGAAAAACTTGATAAAGTTCACATGATAAAGTTTATTTGTATATTTTTGCAATTGGCCTTAGAAAAAACTGCAGTCCTGTTTCGCACCTTTGCAAAGAGATTATTCTTTTTTCCGATTTCTTTAACTTTCTATTTTTATTACGTGTACATTCGCTTTTGCTAAAGTTGTATTATAGATGTATTATCACGGTGAATCAATAGCAGTAAATGTTCACATCCAGAACAACAGTAACAAGACGGTGAGAAAAATTAAAGCCTGCATTGCTCAGATTGCTGATATATGCCTTTTTACGACTGCGTCCTATACATGTGAAGTTGCGAAGATTGAGTCAACGTTAGTTTTCCACTTTTCGCTGTTACCGAGCTTGCTTTCTTTTGCTATGATTGTTTTCTATTGAAATTGGCATTACTTTAAGCAAAAAACATCCTACATCGCCTTTATTCATCTCTTTTCTTAGTGATTCTTCTTAATATTTAAATAAATAAACACGCCTTTAATACAATTTCTTTTTTGAATTATGAAGTGGTTTTCTAATTTGCTTTGACATCTCGACTTAATTTGTTATCCAATATGGAGATTTATAAAAATATGGAAGAGTTTCTCATTTCAAATGAACAAAACTTCGGTTTTGTTTATTCATTGAATTAAATGTTATATTGATTAACAGTTACAGATTTTATTTCTCCTTATGAAATATTTTGCTCTTTTTTCCAATGAAGACTTTCTTGTAGGATCAGGGACAACGTTATCCGAAATTGCTAATAAAACATTTTGCTTTTTTTCCAGTGAGGGCTTTCCTGTAGGACCAGGAGCAACGTTATCCAAAGTTTATACTCTATGCCCATTACTTTCGAATAATAAAGATAAACGTGGTCTTGCTTTGGATGGACAATTGAAGCATGAAGATACCAGTTTGGCTTCGTCGACATCGTAAGTCAAGAATTTATCTTTTTTGACTCTTTCTTAAGAATATCTTCTTAAAACTGAATTTTAGTATGGCACTGAAAAATATCATCCAAAGATTTAGATAAGTTTTCTATACGCATTGATCTAGAATATAAATTTGAAATTTGATTTTTTGATACTACAGCAATTTTTTGCAGTTTATCAACAGAGACAACAAAAGAAAATCTTGGAATTGTTGTGCAGTATAAAGTAAAAGTGCGTTTAAGTATTAGTGGTCCACTTGGAGGGGAATTAACTGCTGAATTGCCTTTCACGTTAACACATCCGAAGCCTTTGGAAAACATTGAAGAGCGACGTGTAAGCCAATGTTTCACTTTGTTGAAATTTCTTTTTTGAATTTTGAAAAGAATGATTTGATTTTGTTGTGAACATTCTAAAACATTAAATTCGTTGATTTGAGATGCTATGGTTTTTTCAGGAGCAGCAGAAGACGAAAAGTCCACCGAACAATGAAGGACTTGATGTGGATCTTATACAACTTGATACGTTAGTTCAATCTGTCGTACAATAATGTTGACTTTTTCGAGATTCTATAAAAATTGTTCTAATTTAATAATGTTGTATGCATAATCTGAACTTTTTGGATAATTCAAAACTAGTAGTGTTCCAGCTAATTACATTCTTCACTTTGTATTTCTATGGCTTTTATCCTTATTTTGTACACTTCTGTCATTTGGACACTTATTTCAGCTTTGATTTCCCAAGGGTCGAGAATGAAGATATTATTTTTGAAGATTTTGCTCGACTACGAGTTCAAGCAGCTAATCAGAGTGATGATCCTTTCGAGCCATCCTGAAACTTCGTAACTTCTTTATTATAAGCATTTACTCGATTATTCGAGTTTGATTTCACATTTATTCTACTGTATTTATGTATTTAAGCAGAGTCATTTTATGATTTTGTTTTATTGTACAGACTCTTCTTATGTTACTGTTTAAAGTCTGAAGCTTCGATGAACAAAATATTTTGCTTACATGAAGTTTGATAAGTTGTGAATGTAGCAGATAGTGTGCATGGTAATAGAAAAGAACACTTTTCAAATTCGGTTTAATTTCTGTAACCTTTCGGTAATTTTTGTAACTTTTCGGTAATTTTTGATCAGAAATTTCCAATCTCAAAAATATTCCATGAAATGATAAGCGAAGTATTCCTTCACAATAATGTTGGAGTTTTTGATTGTGACTGGCCTGATTTTTCCCAGTAATTTTTTTTCTCATCTCGCGTTTATCCTTGAGATAGCTTATGAGACTGAATATTCCTGCAAGTTGCATCTCTTGACATAATTCATAATGTCTTCATAATCTAATTATTTACGACATTTTTTTAAAGTTAGTTCTCTGAGAATGAACGGGTTTCTTTTTGTTTGTTATGAAACTATTTGTGATTATTTCGTTACTTTTCTGTTTCTCTTATATTTTCGCTGTATATAGTCTGGAATCATTGTTATAGGCGCAAAGCTTCTATTATGGGATAGATTTCGTAAGAAAAGTTGTTCCACGTTATCTCTTTTCAATCTACATAATTTAAAACATACCGATTTTTTGTTAGAAGTGTATGAGTTCAGTAACCTTCATCTCTTTCTACTTGTTATTCATGAAAGTGATGCTTAAACAACTAGTCAACTGGTTACTTTTCTTTCAATCATTTAATTTAATTGCTCACTTTCACTCCACGCAATTTTTATTGCTGAACACTTATGCTAGTTTAAACTACATTGTGGTTCAGGTTCTATTGATTGTTGGTTTTGGATTTGCCGAAAAACGGCAACAATGCTAAAGATTCCATAGAGGAGGGTAGTGGAGAAGTTTGAAAATCGAATTCTTTTCTGATTTGTCGAAATCTGGAATTTATTTAAAATGAAAAGCTTTTCTTTCAGAATTCTTTTCTTTTCCGAAGAGGAAAAGGAAATTTCATTAAAATCATCAGCATTTCAGATTCTATTGGTTGTGTGATTCCTAAAGAAAATGCTTTTCCTTAGCGATGAAAACAGATAATTCTTAATTTGTAACATATTTTTAAGCATTTATGTGTGTTCGTTTTTGAATGCAACCAATATCTGAACGATTCCCAACTATTGTCTTCAAAATGATTGTTGATGTTAATTTGATTGTGTTAGTGTTTTTTCTCCCAAAACATATGATCCTTCTGAATGATCTGTCATATCCTTTCACAACTTCTACTAATTGTTTGTGTTCAGCTTCTGCATTTCACTTAGTCTGCTTCATACTAATAACTGTTTAAAATACTTCGGAAGTATTTAATTTGGTGATTCATTTCTGCCCAGATATGAGATTTGTAGTCTTGTTATGTATTTCTGTCCATACGTTTTATCTTGCTCCGTTCATGCATTTGTTTGGATTTCTTTTAATATCTCTATTGACAGTGAATAAAAGTATCAGAAACGCATATGTAGGTAGTGGAAAGTAGCAAATTTTAGCTGTGGAGAAGTAAGCAAGTAGAAGTGTTGTTGAAGGAATTATTTATTATAATATCTATAGGTTCGAAAAGATTCTTAGGTCAATTAGGTCCAAGAATTCCCGAGTATTGTGTTTTTTTTAAGGTCCCCTGAGGGCTAAATAATATTTGTGAGGGTATATATACTACAGCAGGAAATAAAAATATCATTTAGAATATCCAGTGTTATAGAAATTGAGGGGATGATTTCGTCATTTTAAAATATCCATTATTTCCAAATTTTTGTTCTAAATAAGATCGTCTTTACTCCCCTGATTTAAGTTTTAAATTTTCAGGAGTTTTGATTGTATATTTAGGGATACTGGCTATTCTTATCAACCACTGATTCTTTCAATAAAAAACAAGTTTGGACACAAAATTCTTAAATAAAATTTTCATGTAAAGATAAGTTTGTTTTCTTACAGAATTCAATTTAAAAGCTAAGAATTAAATTTTTTAAAGAATGTCATTAAAAGCGTTTAATTTTTAGGCTAATATTTTTGTCATCGATTGCATTCCCATCAAATCCACGTGCCCGTACATGATTCCTGAATATGGATAAGAAATTGAAAACGTCGATATTTAAATCAGATCGTGTCTTCAAAATGAATGTTACATTAAGAGCTGGTACTGCCGGTACGAATCTGCAATTCTTACACATTTTCAAAATGAGTATGAATGAGATTTTATTTTGCACTTTAAGGAAATCTGCAAATTAATTAAACTATCGGAAAATAAAACTGAGACAACAAAGAGGTTCTACGAAGATGGAATCAATTAATAATTGACTAATAGGAACGTATGTCTGATCATCAATTATCTCCAGTATATTTGTCCTTACCTGAACTTTGTCACTTCCGATCCAATATATCCCATTTCATAGCCACTTTGCCGATAGATAAGATTTAACTAAAAATTCACCTTTTACATAAGGTATATATATATCTTCATTTGAACGTAAAAAGGAACAATATCAACAAAGCTGGTAGTGTGATTATGGCTGTAATAACATGAAGCGCACATGTCACATCTCCCACAGAAATTGATGAAAGAATGAAAATTATCATTCATTGGTATAATAATGTAAATGAGATATTTGGAAGTATAAGTAAACAAGCTGGAATGATAAATGAAGTTAACACATAATTAACCTGTCGTTGAATTTTATCAGCATGCGTTATGAATTCGTCAGTATTCTTCTGTAATAACCTTCCATCAAATTTCAGTAGCGGTCCTTCTGTGACCAGGAAATGACCTTCCAAAAGACGCAATGCATAAAGCGATTTTGAGGAGATTGTTTGCACTACAAATTATCACATTGTTTCATATCACTGATTTACTTTAATAAAATCACAAATGTTTCCAAATAGAATGTAACAACCGAATAATAAATACTGCTAATCGAAGCTAATTCAGGATTTATTTTATAGTTCACTTTTTTTACAGTTATCATTTTACAATCACATACTTTATTAAACTGATAACATTTTCATCTGATCAAATGTAATTAAACATCCATTAAGATAAATTATATATTAAATAAAACATTTGAGATAGATTTGAGTAAACCTTCTTTTTTAGCATTTTTTTCCAACAGTTAAAAATATGAGCATTTCCGATCATTAAAAAAAAGTCTATTCTATCATCCATTTAAAATCAAAATAATCTATGAGTGAAATTCAATGTGAGGCTAACTTTTAGAAATTGTAAGTATGAATAAAACAACAACCATTCCAACCATCACAAATAATAATGCAAGCCACATAAATAATTTAATTTTGTACCACAATGTTGTTTTATCGGACTGAAAATTTTCGTTTTAAAAAAGTGCAATAAAATGAGCGGTGCTAATTCTATCATCATTTTGTATGTTTGCTTTAACAAATTGGTTAACATCCTTTTTGACAAATCCGCTACTTCCATGTTTATCATCATAAAATACCATTATCGGTGCTTCTTTTAGAAAGCGTAAAAAATATGAAAATATTAACATTTCAATTAGCATTGAGAAAAAGAGAATTTATAAGTGAAAGACAGAAGAAGTGTTGGATGGTGTTGTAAAAGCGAAGAAAGAAGTAAGTTAAAATTTTCTATGCTAATTTGAAGTTGTTTCGTAATAATTTTATTAATAAATCACAGATACGTTTACATACGTCCTATGTTCAGCTAAATTAAATTAAAAATTTTTGATTTTATTTCAAATATAAACAATAACAAATTTAATATTAATTAAATTATGGTTCAAATAACATCAAAAATCATATTTTATATTACTTACGGTTTTGTATTTCTAAATTAATATTTCTTTCTTTAATCATTTAAATTATCATTATAAAATTGATAAGAAGGAGTGTAATAAGAAATAATAATTGGAATTGAGATTGAAAAAGATGTTGGAAACAATCAATATCATTAAGAAAATTTTGTTTCTTAATAAATTATTTCAAGGCAAAATTCAACAATACAATCTAAGCCATAAAATTTTTACCCTTCTTTCATTCATAGTTTCTGAAACAAAAAGGAAACAGGAATCCTGCACTTCAGAGTAAATATCTGGAAATTATTGCTGTTACGATTGTTGTTAATATTATTATTGTTGTTGTTTGTGTTGATGGCGATGATGATAAACAACTATACTTTGAGCGGCACCATGAATGATTGTAAAACATCAATCAGTTGACAGCGGTTTGATGAGCTGATTAATTTACAGCTTCCTAAAATTGTTACAGTATAGTGGTAAAAGAATTGGGAATATTGGAATAAATTTTACGTCTTCTAATAAGTGCTTGCATAATATCATATCAGGATATGATAATTAGATAAGATCATGAAGTACGGGGAAATATAAAAGATTTGATTATTTCAATAGGTTATTTGAAACCAATAAATCACTGATCCAAAGTTCCAGTTTCCATAACTTATTGACATCTTCATGACAGTGTATCTCCGGTATACTTTATAATATTCCCGAGAGTTTTCTCATTCTGAAATAATCCATGAATTAAGAAGCTAAACGTGTAGCTTAAGCTGAGAAAATCAATTGCTAAATAATTTACGCTCCCGCAAATGTCCTCATTTTTTCATTTATCTTATAAATGACTTAATGTTATTTCTATTTTGCAACTTTGTTGCATTTGTTGAGTTTTACATTATGAAATAATATTTTAATCTTATTGCAATTATTTAATTTCCTTTCGAGAAGTCAACTAAGAAATGAACAAGAAATAAATGGAAGTCATCCGGAAATTTGTCTAAAACCGGAAACTGCATCTGCTTGCTTTGTTTTTTAATAACAAAAGTCAATTTTTTTTCGTAAATATGTATCTTATTTTTTCCGGAATGATTTTTTGTAAATTTTTAGCAAATGATGAAAGATCTTTTTATGTTAAGCTGAGAAGTTTTTAAGTGACTGATAGAGCTATTTTAAATAAACTGCTGCTTAGAATTTCCTATAATGATGAAATACCCACGATTTGTTAGGAATTCCGAATATACCATTTTTATATTGCCGGAAAAGTTAAAGTTGTCAGTTTTAAAAAATCTAACTGGAACAATTACTATAATTATAACAAATGAAGCAATCTTTACATAATTAATAATTTTATATTTTATGAACTAATTTACCCTGAATTTTTCTGTACGAACAATCATGAGCATCATGAAAAAAAGGGAGAAAAAAACTGACCGGAAAAAGTATTAGCAAAGTAATATCGCAGCAATATCAAACGTTGACGGAAGGAAAGGGTCGATAAAAATTGATATTGTAGAAATAATCGGCAGGAAGTGACACTATTCCATTGGCTTTTTTTTTCACTAACCTGAAAGCTATTTCTTTAAAAATTTCGTAAAAACTAAAAATAATCTGAAATTAAGAGAGAAAATGAAAGAGAGAAAGAGAGTGAGAGAGAGAGGTAGCAGTAGTAGATAGATGGAAAATCAAAAAAGGAACATGTATCGGTTGGTACTAAAAAAAATTAGGACATGTTGCTGTCGCTCTGCCAAATTTGCAGTATTTTTGATAGTGAAACTCATCTTATAGATTCTGCACATCATCGATCTCTAAATCAGTGATGTTTTATTATTATTGAAGTTCAAATTGAAACTTTAAATTTAAATACTATTATGCAATACTTTGATGTACGATAAAACGATTCTAATGATTAATTAATAAAATTGATGAATAGAATTTGTTAAGTTTACAGAATTATTATAGTAAGATAAATATATTGTTAATTGGAAATGAATTGGAATAGTATCAAAAGCATAATTGAAAATATTACGTGTAATAATAAATTAGGTAATTTTAGGTTCATTGAAGTTTCATTTCAAAATATAAATAATTTTTATAGTAAATATTTGTTCATTTTTTCTAGCATCGTCAACATTCAATTTAAAAATTTTAATTTCCATATAAAGAATTTTATTGATAAGGCACATACATGATTTATGATTAAGTGTTAATGTAAGCGGTTTGGGAAAAAAGACGTGAAACGAGAAATGAAGCATAATAAATCGAGATGATAAAGCGATGGAGAAAATATTTGTTTGACCCTTCTCCTAGATCTTTGACCTTCTGCCAGTTTTCTTGTTAATTCCTTCTATCAAATTGTTTTCGGAATAGAAATTATGAGCTTAATTAAATCGATAATTAAATCAAATACATATTCCTATTAATTTAAAAAATAACAAAGATACAATTTATATTTAAATTTTATGGTTAGAAATATATGTACTAAAATAGTTTTGTAAATCTTTCATTCAAAAAAATCTGAAATGATTTGGCAAAACTTTTAGATTCTCTACCATACAATCGATATATATTTTTCGACATTTTTATTATTGCACAAAGTTGTAAAATCAAAATTGTAAGCTTTTTAAAATTAAATTCTAAATGTTTCTTATACAGTACTTTTACAATAGAAATTTGAAATATGCACATTTTTTGTAGTGGTACGAATAAGTTGGTAAGAGATTGGAAAAGTTTCAAATTATTTCGGAATTCCTTTTAATAATACGATTGCAATCAACCTGATCGATATTTATGTGATCCGTAGTAACTTTACAAAACCATGGTGAAATGTTACATTTTTCACTTAATCTGGCAATAATCTTTCAATCTCATCGAATGTCATTTTTTTAACTTCAATAATCTCTCTTCTCCTCTTTTACTGATAAAATCAATGATACATACGAAAGAGAAGAGAATTTAGGTAAAGAAAAAGAATGAAATAAATATTTGATAAAATTTAATAGAAATAAACAATAGCGCTAATTGATCGCATAGTAATAATGGATTATAAAATTAGCTTAATTATATGCTTCTTAGAAATCGTTTGTTTGAAAACGATCAAAGGAGAAAAAATTTTAGTAAGAAGAAAAGATGGACATTCCTATCTATTAGATCATGCTGTCATTATATGCATCAATGATGTCTTGACATCGTTATTGTCGACATAATTTCAGGGTTTTATAAACTCAATTATTATTATTATTATATGTTTCCTCTCTTCCATCATTTCATTGATTATTTAGTTCATCATTTCAAAGATGACAATTAAAATTATCAAAAATTTTTCATGCTCTATATAAAATTAAGTACGATTTGCAGCTGCTTATATATAAACTAATTACATATTAACTATATATATTCATTATATATTAACTACTTAACAAATCAAATTAATTAATATTTCAATAAAAAATTGATCGAAAGTCAAGAAACTTATTTTAAGTAAATAAATTTATTGTCTTAGAGAGAGAGAGAGAGAGGGAAAGATTTCATGGTAATAATATAAATGAAAATAAAGGGAAAATCAATCAAATAAAATAATTCCTTTCGAGGGGTGACTTAAAAATAAGGCGAGAAGAATAAGTTATCTTTTTATGTCTATTAAAGAGACATCTGATAAATATCTTTTTTTAAAGATAACAACAATTGTGTTATCATTTGTTGATAAGTTTGAGAAAGGCATTGATGAGAAATTCTTTGGACAAAAAGATAATTGATTAAAAACTGAAATAATTGTAACACTAAATTAAGGGATGAATTTACTTTTGAACTTTGCAATATTATCCAACAATTTCTACTTAATTAGTAAAAATAATGACTTGCACGATTATTTGTAATTCACAATTGAAATTAAACATAATAAGAAAGGATAGTATGGAGTTCGTGCTTTCTAACAATATTTATAAATAAAAATGGTAATGATTGGTGATAGTGAAAGATGATAATTTATAATAGTAATAAAAAGAGAAAGAGATTAGTTTAATATTATTCTTTATCAGATCTAACATCATTGTAACCTGTAGCAGTGGTGTAGGAATGAATTGAGAAAGTGAACTGAATTAAATCTAGCAGAATTTGATGTCAAAGAAAAACAAGTACCATAATACGTGCAAAAGAAAAGTACCACAGATAAAATTTAATAGAACAGCAGTAAATGATCGCTAAATGATAGAGGAAAGTATGATTATTGCAAATTAAAAAACTTTTAAACTCTTTTCATCTCTTAAAATTACAATATGATATATTTGTGGATATTAAAATTATTATAATCATTACATAATATCATATCAATATCAGTTTTCTGGAACACGACACTTAGTAAAGTTTCTCGAAAAACCAAGCATATAGTTTACCATAATATTTACTTCATTCTTTATTTTAGTACTACATCATCTTAAAGTGATTAGCCATAATAACATATTCTCCAATTATTGATTACATCTCGTAAAATTTACATACTGGCTTAATTGCAGCGTTTTACGTCATTAATATGTTGATTATCACGGCTGATCACTTTTAAGATAGCTACTTCGATCACATTCACGTCTTATATAGGGAAATTACGCTTTATTTTGAATATTAAAAACAGTCAATAATCAATAGTGTAACTACAAGTAAACAAAAAAACAACACATATATTCGAATAAGAGAGGATAGAGAGGCTATCATTGAATATTTGCAACACTATTTGTCCTCTATGGTTTACAAGCAAAATTTAATGCTATAAAATAAAACAATAAACAGCTTTTAAGACAAAAAAATTTGATTCTGTAAAATTATCCCCGTAATTTTCATACTGAATTTCGAAATTGTCAATGTCCAAACTAAGAAATTTTTAAATGTATGCTTTTTTCCTGTTACAAATTTTCAAAATTTGGACTATGATTAGGTAGTTCAGTGGCCTAATTTTATATGAATAAATGGTTAATCATTACTGATTGTTGCTCGATATATTCGAGCACTTACCATAACATCAATCCAATTCACCATCTTATTTCTGTAGCATAGTATTACGTTTGGAAAATTATTTTGGATTGCGCAGCAACACTGGTCAAATAAGAGACACTTCATTATTACTATTCAAAAGAAAATATATGCAAAATACTTTTTAAAATATGTATTAATTTCAAGTTCAATGTCTTTTGAAAAGTTTCCTTTTCGGATCTCTTTAAATTGACTGCATTAAATCTTTTAATAATAAAACGAAAGAAAATAAACTTAATGAAATCAATTTCGAAAAAATTTGAAATGTGAGTTTTTCTTTTTAATAAAATGTGCAAATAAATGTAAGAGAACAATAAAACTTCGGAATAAAACGAATCCCATAAGGAAAAGTGAAAACGATCGAAAAATAAAAATTTAGTGCAATTTTCTGTTTATATTAGCAGTGATAACATCAGAGAGCAATGATTGTTAATATCATTAATGGTGAATAAACATCAATATCATTCTCGATCTTAATTGTATTTTTACACATATCGCGGTGCTTTTTGATAAAAAATACTTTAAGTAATTCAGTTAGCCGTTTCTTTACTGATAAAGACATATAATGAATAAAATACAACATTATCACGGACGATTGGCAAAGGTACCGCAAGCAGCATATGCTTCCTTATCTACGAACCAAAGCATGTTACCCGACTTAGGCTTCACCATAGCTGCTGGATAACTAGCATTCTGACCATCAATGATTTCCTGCAACATATTCATTACTATTTATGAAAATTATTTGTTAGTAGCTCACAATTAAATACTGACTTGACTTGAGTTTCATTTTTAAAAAATTTTCTCATCAGTTCCTTGTCCAAAGGTAATTTGAAATGATAAAAAGGCTTATCACTTCTCATTAATCATAGCTGATATTAAAAAAATAATTATGATGATAATGCTACTAATAAGCCCTTTTTATCTCTTTATTACAACTTACCCGTATTAATTCACCTTTTCTTTTACCATTACAAATAAATGCCACATATCGAGCATGATTAATAACTGGCAGCGTTAAAGTTATACGTCTTGGTGGCGGTTTCGGAGAATCTTCAACTTCTGCAACCCATCTGACATTTTCCTGAACTTATATTATTGTAAAATCACTCATATTTACAACAAATGGTAAAGCACTCAGTAAAAAAAATTTATTTGATGTTCTTCCATTATCTTCACATGCAATAAAGTTAAACATATGAGCGATATATAAATTAATAGCATTTCCTTAAGTGGTTAATCATATTAAGTACTAATTTAAAATTAAAACTTCTACGCTCATTTTATCATGAAGGCTCCTAAACAAGAATTAATATAAAAGTCTACAATCAACAACTTGCTAAGCTAGATTACCTGTTATTAATGATGCCAATCACTGTTAGATTCAGCCGAAAAATAAGCGGATAATTCAAAATAAAACTTCGCATTTTTACCTTTAACACTGGATGTCCAGGAAACAAGGAGCACGTGTGACCATCTGGTCCAATCCCCAATAAAAGCAAATCGAATACTGGCCAGCCTTCTTCCGTCTCTGTAGTACAACGATGTATTTGTTCTTCATAGTTCTTCGCACACTGTGATGCTGTAAGTTTTTGTTAATATGGTAAAGTTGATAAAAGAACAAAGACAATTGTTATTTAAGGAAAATAAAACAATGTGTCACCTTTCTGTCTTAAAAAACATCATTTGTCTTCTCCACATGCTATGATTCCAAAAACAATGATAGAGTTCCAAAAATTCTAATGAAATGAGATTAGATGCTAATACTTGCAGCATACAAAAAGCCAAAACATTAATAAAATAGAAATAAGCAATACTATTGTCAACGGGTCCATAAGGCACGAATGATTGGCTGATATTGGACGGTACGATTTTCGTATAAGCTCCTGTATTCGAATCAATATCACTTAATGGAACCATTCGTTCGTCTGCAGCAAATATTCGAACTTTTGACCAATCAATATTCTTCAATTTGGCTAACAGCGGTGCTACTATAGCAGGCATCGAACCACCCGAAAAAAAATTTTTATAGTTCGTAAACTGGGATTGTTTGACTGAACTTCACAGTATCACAAAAATGCTCTTCAACATATCAAAATCAAATTCTTATCTGTACTAATAAGTGTTTTGCTGACGTGATAATTCTTAAAAACTCTATATGAAGAAGCAGAAAGCCCAAACCGCTCTAAGTCATCTCAAATTGACTTCCGAATAACGAATTTTAAATATAAATAAGAAAGAATAAGATATTTAAGTATGGATAACCAACATCGGGAAGGGTATTAAAACTTCAAAAAGTGTTTAGAAAACAGCTATCACTTGATGGACCGTTTGGAAATTCAAATCCTGTCATTTAAAAAACATACGAATAACAATACGAATTGCATGAAGCTCACCAGAAACAGCAATTTTAGCAGCACCTCGTTCAACAATTGCTTTCTCAAGAATTTCCATCATATACAGTCCCAATTTATCATCCAAATCAGTGACATTTTCGAAAAGCACTATCTTTCCTCTATTAGTTTCGACATCACTACCCAACATTTTTCCACTGCTGACAAATTCGAGTCTGAATTATACCAAAACATTCAACTTTTCCATATCGTAACATCCGTTATGGTATGATCATAATTCTAATAAGAAAAAAGAAAAAGAAAATATTCAGAGAAAAATAGCAAACACTTGAGAAAAAAGCATGTCCAATTAACTTACCCAATTTAATCGAATTTCATTTTTTAGTGGTAAACACTTTAATGAGTGACCTAATGTTAAGTGTAGAAGCAAAATTTCCCTGTGTTCTAGCAAGCAAAATGCAGTGCATTAGAATGAATCAGTTAGGATTACATCATTTTTCATCAATGGTATATGAAAGTTAACACATTATTTATTTCAAAAGAATTCAATTTCATGTATCAACTCTTTTAATTACAAGAATAATCTTTTAGTTAAAAATGTGCAAACAAGATGAAACATTTTTCAAAAATCTTAAAAAATAATAGACACAAATTGAAGTGAAATTCATGAATCAACAAAACACCCTGGAACGATTCAATTAGCACTCATCATTAGTTCAACGTTTGCCCCGATTCCAGTTCCAATAATTCTTTTTACCTGAACTACTGACTGTAGAACAGTGAAAATATTTTGTCTTACACTTGACACAAACATTTTAAATAAGGTTGAAAAAAAGTTTATACAGCAACGTTCCACTTCCTCAGCAATTTTTTTCCAACTGCAGCGCAACTTCTGTTGCTATATTTGATGCTGATTCCGGCCTCAACAATTCTTTTATCTGAATAGAGACAAGAAATACAAGAAAAGTAAAGTGGTTAAGTGGTTAGTTGCAGTAAAAAACGTATGAATAACTTTAATTGAATTAACTGGCTACTTCTACTACAAATTTTTCAGCTTATATCTCGAGGAATTTTGCTTCAACAAAGTTATGTCAATAATAAAAATGAAAAATTGCTAAATGAGGTTGGAAATTTAAATTATCTTTAAAGTTATACAAAAAAGATGTTACAGTTTGTTTACTGCAAATATAATTTAAGTTATTTTTATTTAATAAACTGACCTCAGAATTAAGAGAAGCGTCATAAGCAAGCACCACCGTTGTATCGTATAGTGGAATATGATGCATGGCAAGGATATTCACACAGTTTGCCACGCGTGCTATAACTGATCGAATTTTCATTGGTATTACCTTAAAATTCGTCGAGGAAAAAAAAGAAATGTTATGACAGATGGACAGAAAAGCGTTGAAAAATATACCAGATATGGTTATCCAATATTGGAGTTTATAACAATATACGACTACTGCCGAACACTACCTCTTCCAAATTTTGCGAATAGCCTCCGGTCATGTTTTGTTCCTCACTTGCTACAGGTGCTATCCAAATATAACCGTTGCGTCCAAAAATCACAGAAACACCACATGGCAAAGTATGGAAATGTGATTTTCTTCGTTTGATCAAATATGGAGAAATTTTTATCAAAGTCCCTTGCGAAAGCTGAAAATGATTTTGTATAGCAAAAATAAGATAAAATACTTTGCAAAAAAATAATAACAATATTTTACTGAATGATTATTTCATTCAATAGTGCTTTCATTGTTTCAATTCTTAACACTGAAACGACCAAGTATAGCAAAAAATATTTAAAAAAAATCGAAAAGTTGTTCATTTGAAAAAATAAAACGCAACTATCAACAGATTTAATTCATTTTTGTAATGCTCAGTATTGGATGCTCTTCAAAGTATATTTGCAATTATCTCGAAACGCAGTTGCATCACCTCTAAATGACCAAAAGTCCTCATTAATGAGAATTAATAAACCTCACTTTTGAAAAACTTGGAAAAAGGAAAAAACAAACCTTCCCATATCTTAAGTTCCTTGTGTGCAGCGATAACTGTCCATCTGAGTGTACCTTTTGCACTTCAGCCTAGCAATGAAAACATCAATAAAATTAAGCTGATTATTTCAACTTGAAATTAGTGAAAGAATGACTAATGGCATTTTAATTAAGGAAAAACATTAAGTTTGGTATATTCTGCTCGGCAAGCAAAAAAATTACACTGATGAGGTCTCCTTCTTTGAGATACTCACGCATCATTCGTTCATCTTCCACTGATTTTCTCCTCTGCAAACAAAGGAACATAATTTTTAAAAAGAAAATATCATTTATTTTCCTTGATAAGATATGAATACAGAAGTCAAAAAGGAAAAAACAATAAGTAAGGCTAGTGAAAGTAGCGCTGTATTTTAAAACAGTATTTTAACAGATAATTTTAATTAGAAAAACCGTACCAGCTCACCACCCGGCAAATTTACGCTGGAAAGAAGTAACGTCGAATTTAGTCTGGAATTCGTTTCAACCTTCCATCTTTTCTGTTGTACTTCCGTGATTCGTCCAATCACTACATCGCCGACTTCTCCATTATATCTAAAAAAAGTGAAGAAAAACATAAAACCAAAAAAGAAACGAAAAAACAGTAAAACGAACAACGCATAAAGATATATCTGCAAACCTAAGCCGTTCAAATATAAGCACAAACGATAAGAAGTAGAATCTTGGTTAGCTATGAATAAGACCTTACCTGCTTTTTAAGGGTCGTACCGAAACAAGCTTGTTCACCTGTTCAACAGCACCAGCTACCGATGCTATCAAGTCATCACCACGCATGTATGTTCCATGACCCCTGAAATATTTTGACATCATTTTATTCAAAATTCAGACTCAACAAATTCAGCAAGGAGAATGTGTAACACAAATCGTTTGGAAGCTGGATGGTAAAATGTTCTCTGCTACTGATATTTTTTCAGTGGTTATACAATGTCAATAAAAACCAAGAAAAAACAATAGAAGTACTTTTCTTCATTATTTTGTCATTTAAAAGAGTATTTTCTTTTCTAATAATCCTAAAAGAACCTCATAAAATCGGGATTAGAAGTAACTTTAGCACCAGGAACAATTAATTTGTTCTCGGGAACTCGTCTCTCCGTTACGACTATTTCCAGCTCTTTGACACTTGAAGGTCCAGCAATCTCCACAGACATCTGCAAAATTCCGGTTATTGCCAAATTGAATAAGCTAACGAGATTCGTTATCTCTTAGAAATATTCATTTAATGAACCATAACATGTATAAGTGCACAAGTCCATCTTAGCAAATCCATAATACACTTCTTATTGAATCCATCCTTTACTAAAGTTTCCGAATTCTTTCCAAGATACTTCCAACTTTGATGAATGGGTGCGAAATGTTAGAGTCGAGTAAAAATGAAATTAAAATATTAGTGAGAATAAAATTTAAGCAATGCATGCAAACAGAAGAGATACCACCGGTTATCATTCCAGTCTACTTATGGATACTGTATCAAATGTGAAAGACAGCCTATACAATAAAATCTGTGAATATTTCAGAAAACTGTCATGCAACTTATCATTTGAGGAGAAGTTATGAAAAAGGAAATCTGGCTCTTATTAAAAGTCTCCAACAAACTTAGCTACTTTAATAGACACTCTATACTCGAATTGAAGCATTTTACATATGTATGGATTCGATATTTCACGTAAAAGGACAAAAAAAAAACAGAAATTTTATGAATTTAACACATTTATGACAACAAACAAGTAATAAAAACAAAGATAAAAAAGTAAAAATCCCATCTTCAATTTTGAAACGAATATCTAAACCCATAAGAACGAATAGAACATATGAACAAATGATCCATCCCAGTAACAAATATGGAGGAAAAACAAACAAACAGTTTAACAACGAAAAATTGCAAAAATCTGTCTAGACCTAAGCAGAAAAGCAGAGCTAGACAAAACGGCGAAGTAAAGGAAAAATCATTGTATTACAATAGTTTACTGCTTCCTCGAAACTTAAGTTAACCCCTTGACAACGTCGAAACGAATGAATATTATTTAATCAGCAGATCAAATGCTATCATGCTCCATATCAATATCAGAAGGTAAACCAATGGCAGTCTTAATATGAATCATTACGGCAGCTTCCAGACATGAATGTATATGAGCTGTTGCTTTTCGAGCCGCTTCTAGTACTACTATTAGATGATTCTTGTGCAGCCTGTTTTGTAACTCAGCTAATACAATAGCATCTTGCCCCGATATTGTGGCCACAGTTAGCCGAGGAATGATGTCCATTTCTTCGCGCGAACTGACATCTACACATGGTAATCCACCGGGTCCACAAGCACATGAGGCCGCCGCAACCAGTCCACGCATTGGCACACCTGCATCAGCAAGTGCCAATGTTCCCACATTGACGCATGCAGCCAGATGACTTCCATCTGCCTCAAAAATAGAAAAACATTGCAAGAGAAACATAATAAGATGAATGTTTCGGACAACACATATGATTCTGAAGAAATACAAAATTTCCCGCAAAAATAAATTGTTCAAAAAAGCTTTTCTCTTAAAAATCCCTTCTGAATACATCAATCTAGACTAGTAATAGCAATATCAATATAATGTCGATACAACATATATGATAAAAGTTTTGCCAAACCTAAACGACGTATATTGTCGGTAGAGACCTAGAAATCCTAAACGTCAACAAATTAACTGCATTAAATGCACTAATAATACGAATAGAAGTACAAATGTTTCAAGATTAATACCTGCAATAGTTCACAGAAAACATCAATTTGAGATCGTGGATAGTTTTCCGTCAGAACTGCCGCTTCGAACGCTTTTTCCATTAGCCGAGCAAATTCGAGTGATCGACGATCTCCTCGTGGTCGTTCCTAAAGCAATGATTTTGATGCTGCTGTAAACAAATGATTATATACCTCAATTGATTTTATTACACATAACACATAGAAAATAATTCATTAGTAATTTTATATACAACTGAAATAAAATAAACCTTCCGCTCATTAGTCGAGAATGTGGCCATGCTATACTGACAGTTGATAATACAACGATCCTCCATCAACCGACTTCGTTGTTTGGGTTCGTAAGGACCATATACTGCGCAAAGAACCTAAACTACATTTACTTAAACATGAATGGAAAAATAAAGAGAGGTTTAACATTCTCAATTTGATGATTGAAGCAAAGCCACAAAATCATGACTTTAAGAATAAGAGTAAGGAACTTATCTTCAAACGAAGCTTCCAAAATAATAACTAACTAAAGAACTTCCACCTTCGCTTCTTCAAATGAAATATATGCACTATCATTTCCATTGTATAATTACAGAAGTGTTTCAATATAAGTAGTCGAAAAAATAATAAACGAACCTTGGTGTTTCCTTGTTCAAGATACGCTGAACCGTCAGCTTGTGAATAGACTCCTAGTTTATAATTTAAGTTCCGAATTTGATGTGGTTTTCGACCATCTTGACGATAACCATGCTCTGATATGATGCTCATGGTTTACTTCTGAAAAACTAAATGCAAGCAAATTGAAAAATAACAAAGCAACTCAAAGCAAACTGAAGCACGAACTGTTATTTCGGTGATTCCTCTTTTCTAAATAGCTTATTTGGTGCTTGTTCGGCAAATATTAGCATTAGACGTTGACTTGTCCGCATGTGTTTATCAATGCCTGTAATAATATAACGCTTCGTATTAACACTCAAACACGGCGTTTCAAATTTCAAAAAAACTGCTTGAAATTTTGAAACGTCGAGAATTCATGACGATTTCTTTCAAAGTCAGCTGTAATCGACGCTTCAGAAAAGCTTTGCAGTATTTATGAAAGCGAATGACGGTATAATTTAATGGAAACAAAAGTCTAGTACCTTGATGCTTTTCAATTAGAATCTGCAGAAATACATGATGAAAATATAATACTCTTTCATGAAACCCTACCTAGATAAACTGGTACGGTTTTGAACACGAAAGGAAAATCGCGTTATACAAGATATAAAGTAGATTTGAGAATGAGGCAAATATACTGCTGCGGGTTGAAAGGAAGCTCAGCTATTTCAAATTACTGAAATCAAAATAATCTATGGATTTTACAAACTCATCTGACAATTCAAATGCATGGTCCACTAAGTTACCGGGTGTTTCAAGTAAGCAAAGACATTATATTTCTAATTTGAGAAAGTGGTGAAATAAAAGTATTAATTACATCTATTGATACACTCCGCTTCAGATTCAATCAGCTGATGATGGTTGAATTCTCGGACGCAAGCTCGAAAACATGAGTCTGTCAGAGTGTTGTAAACCGTAAGAAATTCCTTGAGCTAAAAAATACTATCTAAATTTTCTCAATCCAACAAAATTCATTACTTAGCAATAAATACACAAATTAAAATAAAAATGATCAGCGACGTGATTTGGCGTCACATAATGCCAGTGTTGCAAGTCGCCTATCCAGGCACATACCAACTTATATTGTAGGCACATATCAACTTATCGCATCGCACAATTTGTTCGTACTGCATGCTCAGAAATAGTCGAAGATATCTTCTATCAGAGTGGAAAATAATTAAAGGTAACAGCTCAAAGGCCATGCCCTACCCATGGAATAATCAACCTGAGGCAAAATCAACAAAAACTTACTTGCGTGATACCAGCACTCATTGATTGCCAGGTTGCACGTACACTATGGTACTTTACGGTTGGCTCTTAGTAATTTTGTTCATTTCATTAAAGTTTCTCTTGTGTAGTCTGGGGCGTTTCTGGGTAGGAGTTGACCGAAGTTAGAATATAAGCGTATTATTCCAGAAGAAAAAAGGAATGGCATCAAATGCTTCGGAAATTCCTGTGTCGAAGCTGCTTCGGCAGGAAATCGGAATAAGCGATGTGCGAGAGGGACGGAAAAGTAAGGATGAATACAGAAAGCAAAAGGTATCAAATTCTGGTCATTTTTTTATTTTTTTAAAATTATTACGAACAAAAATGCAACATATCTTAAAGTTTTTTCTATGAACCGAATTTGAAATGAAAGCTCTTTGAAGGATTTGGAAGAAGAGCAAAAGTTGGGTATAGCTCCAGCAACAGTAGATATCGTCACAGGGCGTGATATCAATCCACATATTCCAGAATTTATTGCAAAACATCCGTGGTATGTACCTGCTGATGGACCTACTCTACAAGTTAGTTTAAAGATCTGATTTCAGCTTTGTGAGAACAAGTTTAAAAATTAAAAAAAATATATTTCGAATTGTTATATTCATATATTTATACTTATATTTTTTGAAAGATAGGAGAGAAAGAGGCAAGGACAGAAGCAGATAATCATTTTTCAATAATACATATATTATCAGTTACAGTCTTACTCGTGTTTTTTCTAAAAAATACGCAATTTTAGCATCAAAGGCCACATGAAGAGAGGCAAATTAAATGGTCATCAATCGATGATTGGTATAAAAGGGGTATAACGAATGAAAGAGCTACGAAGTTCCGAAAGGTTGGTATAAATTTCTATAGCAGAATTTTTTTTATCTTTGAATTTTTGTATTACGTACTCTTGCCAAAATCATTGTGAATTTAGGGTGCTTGTGAAAACTGTGGTGCTATAACACATCGAAAGAAGGACTGTTTGGAGAGACCTCGTAAAATTGGTGCCATGTGGACAAATGAGGATATTGCTCCAGACGAATATATTCAAGTTCGTCTTCTGTTTAAGCTGTGCAATATAAATCATGCGCAAATCAGCTGATTTTGAAAATCTCTTCAGTATATACAAAATTGTGGTTCAGGAGATTTAGCTTATATGCTAGTTACTTTTAGATCATAGCGTAGGATAAAAATCGACAGATATGGTCTATATTTTGGCGGCTCTTAAAAATTTATCTCTTTTTCTTACGACTATCTCATTTTTTCAATACATAAACTAATCATATTGTATGAAACTTCAATTAAAGCCGAAATTAACGCTTGGCTGGGATGCGAAACGGGATCGTTGGAATGGCTATGATCCCCAAACCTACAAGCAAGTTGTTGAGGAACACGAGAAACTGGAACAAACAAGGAAACTTCTTAGGGAAGAGAAGGTAATTTTAGTTTTCTTCAGTTGTTGAAACTAAAAATTTACATTTCCTATCATCGTTACTCTATACTTCTGATTTGTTTTATTTTTTAGATGAAGGGAGAACTTTTGAAGGAAGAATTGGAAGCGGAAGAAGATAGTCATCACATAGTAGAAGAGCCTGCAGACGAAGATATGTATGCCGATGATGCTGATATGGCAGGTGTAACGGTTGATATGGATTCGCGTACGCGGATCACTGTGAGGAATCTTCGCATTAGGTATAGAAATAATAATTTCCGTTGGTGTTATTTGGTTATTTTCTTAATATGAAAGTTAATTAAAAATTAATTCAGAGAAGATACTGCAAAATACCTCTATAATTTGGATCCAAATGGACCTTATTATGATCCAAAGTCCCGTTCAATGAGAGAGAATCCATTTGCAGTAAGTAAATTTCATAATAAAATATATAATATTTTTCTTATTTATCCATTTTATCGATTTTTTAACTACTCTACGGCATAATTTCAAACTGAACCAGATTTTATTTTTTTTTCGATCATCACAACTGTACTCTTCTGTATTTGTTGAAACCATCGTTTTTTTTGTAGAATATTCCTGGAAAAGAGAAAGAAGCAGCTAAATTTGCTGGTGAAAATTTCATTCGTTATACAGGAGAAGTAGTGCAGGCTAATGAAGCACAGGTATTCGCATGGCAGGCTCGTTGTAAAGGTTAGTGCATCGGTCTTATTATTATAATTAGAAAGAAGAGGATAAGAAAAAATGAATGTAAGTAAAAGTCTGTGTGCACAGTATCGCATATTTAGTTTTTACGTAGTAAGAGTTTAATAATAAGAATGTAAGTTTTTGTAATTCCTACGTGAGAGAATTTTAAAGTAGAACCACGAATAAATTCACCACAAGGTAGAAATGAGGGTGCTTCTCTATCGCACAAGAGCTCAGTTATTTTTTGGGTGTAATGGATAGAGAAGGGTGCGGCACTGCGTATTATAATTTCCAGATTTCACTTAAGTTTATGTTCATTTTTGATCATTAATTACAGATATTAGTCATCGATTATATTCACTAGAGCTTTCATAAGAAATCTATACCAGAGGATTTCTAAATGTTTCAGGGATTAGGTTAGTAGAAATGTTTATGTTTGTTTTTGGTCAGGATTTAAGCGTTTTGATCAGTTTGATTAAACACTTTTTTTAAAGTGCTATCATTAATTTCAATGTTTAAATGCAGGAATTGATGTTCATGCATTAGCTGAGCCTACCAAATTGGAAGCAATGAAAAAGGAGTTTGAGCAACAAAAACTGAGTGCGAAAGAGGAGCACAAAAGCACATTATTGGAAAAGTATGGTGGAGAAGTAAGTGTAATATTGGTCAATACGAACCGTTCATTTTTAGCTTTATACTGAAATTACTTGTGATCAAACCTATCCTTCTTGATCTACTTTGTTCTTTTCCGATTTCATTCCCTTAACAGTTAAATCTTTAATGATATTCTCCATCGTCTTTTATTTCCTCTTAAAAATAGTTTTCTAGTTTATTGAAAATAAAAGATAAGGACCAAAATATCGAAAATATTTTTAGAAGTATTTACATGCACCACCGAAGGAATTGTTATTAGCACAAACAGAGAATTATGTGGAATATAACAGAAAAGGAAAAATAATCAAAGGTGAAGAGCGAAAAGTGGTACTAAGTCGTTATGAGGAAGATAAGTAAGTTTTGTCATTTTTCCACATTCTGTTGATTATGAAATATATAGTTGTATAATGCATAAGATTTTGGCAAATGTCTTTAATAAACTTTTAAAGAGCGTAGACTATATAAATTTATTGGTGATCTAATAATTGATAGTAATGTCAATTTTAATAATAATTGATGACATGTCCTTTTTGTTTAGATACTTGAATAATCACAAATCTGTTTGGGGATCTTATTGGAAATCTGGTCAGTGGGGTTTCGCATGTTGTCATTCTTTAATAAAGAATTCATATTGCCTTGGTGAAGCTGGTAAAGCAAGAAATGCAACAAATGCAGAAGCAACTGTTTTACCGCAAAATGTGACCACAAACACAAACATAGTTCCAAGTATCAAGCGAGAAACTGCCGGTACTATTTTCATTAGTCGTTAAAGCCGATAAGTCAGCCAGTTCTCAAATAATTATATTTTCAGTGTTATAAATTGTTAACTTTTTCCAGACACAACATCAGAAAATGAACTAGAAAAGGACGAAAATGCCTCTGTTGGTGGTGAATCATCTTCAGATACATTTGACTCTGAGCTAAATGCTGAAGAAGAAAAGGAACGAGAAAAAGAACGAGAGTATGAACTTGAGAAAGGTACTTAAACATTTTTGTATTTGTTTTTGACGCTAAAATTCAGCAAATGCAAAATTAATTGTTCTACTTCAAAACGTATATTCAAACATAGCTGCAAATGTCAAAAAATCTATTGACTGCTATTTTTCATCATTAATGGTATGATAAATCTGTTAAGAAAAAAAAATTTTTAAATTCGGGCATTTAGCTAAACGTGATGAAAGAAGACGTGAAAAAAAGAGAGAAAAGAGAAAGCGACAAAAAGAGCGGAAAGATAAAAACAAAAAGTCGTTGAAATCGAAGAAAAGGAGTTCGGATGGAATTTCATCAGATGATGAGAACAAAAGGAAACTAGAACTCGAACACGCAATCAAAAAAATCAATAAGGATCGGGAAGATGCTGAAGAAAGTTTAAAATTGGTATTTTTTTCCACTTCTTTAAAAATTGTTATTTTCTAATATGAGGAATTATCTAGCTTCTAAAGTGCGAATCGGATTGTATTATCGCATTAAATGTCGGATCAAATTAAATATTGATATTGCCATGTATATCTTCAGTGAGCTATTGAAGTTAGGTAGTAGTTGAAAGCGTAATATCAATGAAATCAGCAGAGAAAATATTGATATAAATTTTTAGGGTGATCGAAAACGTCGCTATCATTCTAATTATGACGTCAGCGCTCCTACACCTGCTGAAATGGAAGCTTATAAATTGACGAAAATTCATGCAGATGATCCAATGGCTTCATTTATTAAAAAAAGTCGGAAGAAACGTTCGAAAAGGAACTGAATCCTTTTTGATATTGTGAAATTGGTCTTGTAAAATATCTTATTACATTTTGAGAATGTTTTCTAGTTGTCGATAGATTTTTTTGCAAGAAATGTCTTGTCATCGTAAAAACGGTAGATTTAATTCTATGATGAATTCCCTTGTTTAAAATTGGGGTGGGAACGTTTGTTCTCGATCCCGGTGGAGTTCTTCATTTTTCAACTTTTTTTGAGAGTTGGTTGTGGATACATACATGCGGCTATCTTCTTCCGATTTAAAATCAAATCAAAATTTCGGCTATAGTATGAACAGTCTAGCTTTGTTGTTTGTCTTTACAAAATTAATTTTTCGACCAGTTACATCAAGGTAGCATTTGTACTTTACAAAAGCAAATCATAAAAAAAGGCCAATTAAATCAGAAACGAGATTTTAACCCATGTAACTTTTTGATTCTCCATCTTGTACATAACAGTATTAAATAATTATAAAAATATAAAAGAAATAGACTGTCAGGATCATGCTCGTAACGCAATTTATAATACTGATGATTAATATGACGGCATAGATGAAGTTTGATACAATGCGTTTTCTGTCCTGGATTTCTTATATGAATCGGTAGGGATTTGAAATATGAGAAAAGGGTGATTTCAGTTTTGTCTTGCTGGAAATAAATGATATTTGAGCACTAAAGGACCAGACTAACCTGACAATGGTGAAGGACGCTGTGATCGGATGCTAAGTATGATGGATAGTGAGTTTTTTAATATCTTGCTTTCTATGTGCACATATTTTCTCCTAATCAATTTTATAAACTGATGAGAGAGTAGCCGAGAATTAAGGCTAGTTTGCGCCATGGGAAGATTAGATCATGCTTTTGCACTAACAGTGCAGCATAGGAGGAATACAGCATCATACTCAATGATATTAGAGGTAAGTTGATATTTTAATTAATAGCTAGTTGGATGAATAATTTGTAATAAACTAAATAGGCGTAAAGGGTAAACAAGATGGGATAAAAGCGATAGGGGGAAGGAGAGTGAATTCGATATATCTGCCAAAAAAATTGCATTTTCCAGAAAGAAGAATAGCAGTGTTATTTTAATAAATTATCAACATAGCTCAATGTGAATATTTTGTTTGATCAAGTTTGGTCAAGGTATTCTGTTTCGAATACGACTTTTAATTAGTTTTAGTTCAAACACAGTTATGGATTTGGGATCGAGAAGTCACCTCGTACATGGTATTGAATGCTGTTCTCAATTCGCATGGTGATTTACGCTTCATTTTTTTATGTATGGAATGGTTTATGCATGGTGGTTTGTGGCTAATTTTTAGGTATTTGTTCTTATTCATATCTTTATTTCAACTTCCTTAAATGCTAATTAAATAATTAGCTATTGCATGGAAATTGTTTCTATTGGTATGTATGCTGTAGTCGCTTCGAACAGCTTAGAAGGATTTACCACATCATATTTTTTGTAAATAGGATGAGTGATTTTGATAGTCTTGAAGTATTTGTAAATACATGTGAATACTTCATTATTTTTGAATTGTTTATTTCGATTGAGTCATTTTGATGATTTTTATTTTCAGTTCATTTATATTCCTGATATGTATGAGGTACAATTTTTCATTGAATACCAGATATAAATTAGCTGTGCTAACGTTTGGTGAGTGCTTTAATTTTTTAGATAATATTTTCCAGGTTTATAAAAGTCAGTTATTCATTCATATAATTAGTTAAGCCTGCCTAATTTTTCAAGGTCTTTGCTTCGATTTGATAATTGTTGGAATTATCAAAGGAATAGTAAGAAGATCGCGACCTCCTTTTAATATCAAGGACCAGGTACACAATTGTTTTAAATCTTATGCTTTTTGAATAGGATGTTGACTAACTCGCTCAGGTCCCATAAATTTCTCCTTTCGAATTTTTTGCTCTTTGCTCAAAACCACAATTGTTCTGCAACCCTTCAGAGCACGAGAATTTGAATTCGAAACTTGGTTAAAATTTTTTGGAACCGTTTTTATGAATAAGCTTTACCGGCAGTTTAGATACTCTATGAGATAATCATTAACTGTAATTTCCTAGTTTACACGATAAAATATTGTAGCTATATGGGGCGCCTTTGGTCGACAAATTTTCATTTCCTTCTGGTCATTCTTCTCGTGCTGCGATGTTATCAGTGTTGTGGTAATGCTGAAATTTGAATTTTATATATATTGGAGAAAATTTTTATGATGTGCCATATTTCATTGTCACTAAGTAATCTTGCATTAGACCAGCCAATGGAGCGTTACTTTTCTGTTCCAGCTTGACCTTTTGTTCGCTTTCACACTTCATTACACCCGCTGTGAAATTATTTCCCTTTATATTGGGAGCTTCACGAATTTGTATCGGTCGACACTACGTTAGCGATGTTATGATGGGTTTGTTCACTTTATCGCTTTACTTTTTTAAGTGACACGAGTATAAAGCGTCTTCTTCAATTGTTAGCAATGACTGGCCCAGTATTCAAAATTACTTCAAAATCTTGAATTGCTTAATTCCAATCTTATACTTTCGGATCTGAAGTATTTCTCCAAATTTTTCATGCTTTCGCTTCATTTGTGTTTCAACTTCTCTTTATAGGTTTATAATTTGGCAACTTTTCTTTATGTTCTCGTTTCATTTATATTTCACTTTTTCTTTATAGGTTTATTACTTGGCTATGCAGAAGGGAATTTCGTGCGATGTTTGCCGTTACATACAATAAATCTTTTGGAACAAATATTTCCCGCAATATTTAGTGGTAATGAACAATGGAACACATAACTTGATATAACTTTAAAAATTTCATCTTATACTAGTAATTCTGTTATCATTCGTTTGGTTGACAACGTTTTTCATAAGTAGTGGTTACTTAATTTTGTAGCATTTTTCATCGATCCTTCATGCTTAAAACCTTTTCAAAATATTTATATGTAGTTCAAAAGTACACAATTAGCACAGCATATTAATTACATAATGATTTTCAATTCCATATTTTAAACTAAAATGCTAATTTCTCAATCGCGCGAAATCAATTCTTGAAAACCCGAAACTTTCAAAATTTTCGCTAGCAACAGTTTAGGCAAAAATTTAGTGAAATTTTTTAGGCTGCGCAGTTTTTTTCAGCGTAATGCCATCGTTTGGTTGTAGAGTGTTAAAAAAAATTAATGGACAGAAGTTCAGGATGACGGCTGGTTAGTTTTTGAATAAAATTCATTCCGGAGAAACGTTAGTAGTTTTTTTTCCTTCCTTCTTCAAGAATTAAGAAAACCTTCTAAACTTTTATCTTACCGATGTATTCCGGTTTTATTACGGTAGAATAAAAGGTCGCTTTATGCGGTTAAGTAATCCACTTTTTTCCTTGCAACACCAGATAATAAAATATCCAGGTGCAATTTAATGGATAAATCAAATCTGTGCGATATTCGAACGGGAGGTAGCAAATTCTTTTTGACTACTGAAATTGGTCTTAGGTAAGTTCTTCAAGAGGCTTTATTGTCCCTCGCCGTCGAGCTTTTTAGCAAGTGGTTCCTCAGAGAGAAGTCTCCTAAAGGCAGTGCGCTTAGAAACTACCAATTAAAATTCAAACATTTGCGTAGATATTAAGTTACTTTACATAGTTATTAGATTTAACTTAACCGTTTTCTGAATTGAAATAACAAATATCCATAGATCCCTCCAATTCACTTTATGTTGCGTTTTTAATTGTAGGGGATATTTCAAAATTTACTCTCATATGAGAGGGCATTTTTTTCGATGAAGAAACCGAATTAGCAACAACGAATTCTGTTAAATTCGAAAATTCAGGGATAAAAAAAAATATATATCATGGCAATAATGTGGCGTTCACACAAACAGAAAATCAACCCAAAATTCTCCAAACTAAGTTGGGAAATATTACTGTTATCACTTAAAAAATGAATATATTTGATTATTGAATGGCGTGTGCTTTCTTCTGTAAGAGCAAGCATCCAATGCATGTCTTCTTTACATTAGAACTTTTCAGACTAAATATAATATGACATTCTTAGTTGAGCAAGATCAGTTTTCTAATGATTAAAATTCTCTAATCTTTAAGAGATGTGCTTATGTTCAAACAACTCAACTAACTTCATTGTGAAAAACAGTTAGCACTAAATGTTAAAAATTGAAAAAGCAACTTATAAAAAAGTCTCTTTTTATAAGTTCATTCTATCACTGACAAATCAAGAATTACTGGGTAATAAAAAAAAAGAAGCGATAAAAAAATATGCAAATTTTTGGCAGAAATATTAATTTCTCAACAAAATGATAACTATTTCCAATAGCTACATAAATAGTAATGATGTGCCAAGCAATCACGCATTTCTGATCATTTAAAATCCTCTAATATTTTTTCAAGTACAACAAGCTTTAGTAAATTTTCTATTACCTCTGAAAAAGAAAAGAGTTGCATTACGGTCATTAAATTCAAGCTCACATGAGGAAGGCATGCCTTTCAACAGTTGAAATTAACGGAATTGTGCCAAAAAAATTAAGACCGTCCATTCTGTATATAATCCTTCGTGACATTAAAGTCTATAAATTAATCGCTATTAGTAACAGTCGATCCATTTTCGGAAGTCTTCGAACATAATTTCTTCTAACAAGTAAGTAACAAAACTTCGCTGTACTCAATATGTTGTTATTAATGAGAACAAGTTCTCAGTATCATTCATCAATTTATTTATGTTAGCGGAACTGAAATAATGCCGCAAATAAACTATTTCCTTAAGCTAAAATTTCATCATATCCTTCGGGAACAGCATAGCTTTTCACCCGGCTGAAAAACAGTGGTGGATATGCCTGACGATCAGTAGTATCCAGACAACTGTGAGATACTTTACCGTCCAAATAAGTTATTGCACAATTATATTCAAAAATTTGTAATACGCAATGAGCTCGTCGTTTCTTTCCATCTCCAAAATGTAATTTCATATCGAATTTTTGATCCACTATCTGCAAGAATAAGATATAGAATTATTGCAATGCAACAAAAACTATTCTTTCAAATGAAAATTGAACTTACTTCATAGGGCACGAACTGGTTAGATGATCTTTGGGTGCGTCGTGTTCGCTGCAGCGATTTTTCATTACGGCCGTGAAACTAAATTTTTTTAAATGCAGCGTATAAATTACTGTTTTCTACAATAAACCGACACTTAAAATCAATCAGAAAATTTAAATGAATAAAATGAAAGAAAATCTCCCTACAAAGTTCAGGAAACGGTACCTGTGCTGCTATACGGTCTTGACCCAGCATCCAATAATGACCAAAAAGAACTCCCGCTAAACGAGGGGTTTTTGATTTTAAAAGTCCCACAATTTGTGCCGGCGCTTCAGATGTGATAATCATGATCACTGTACCTAAATATCCGCAAAAAATATTTGCATCCTTAACTATGGGCTTCAGTTTCAAGTAAACAATCTAAAAATCGCCCGAGAAAACTGTGCCAGCTTGTTAGATTTGCAGTTGCACCATAAAAACAATAATAACAAAAGACGTGATAACGAACCGTCTGCAAAAAATTTCAGCATCCGATAATAAACAACTATATGCCAAGGCCTATAGAATTGGTCCTGAAAAAATACCAAGAAAATTCCTGCTAAAGGACTTCAACAGATCGAATTGCACTTTCCTTGCGATCCACAATTTCTTTTATGAATAATATTAAATGGAGGAAATAAACATTTGCAGTGAACAAAATGAACACGAATTCATTGGAATATACGGAGTAGAAATACCTGAAATGATGCTTCTCCATTACGTAGATATGTCATTTTCCCAATATAAACTCCGTGAAGATAAGGATGTGGGCATGCCACATACATTTGACGCCAGCTGACTAGTGTGGCGCATGACATGGAATTGATATATTTTGCGCCAAAAGTCGAACGGCAAATTGTATGCCACAGTTCTGCGTCACTAAAAGAATTATTATAAATTTAAAAAAAGATGGATTTATGGAGAGAGAAAAGAAACGACTTTCAATTTTAACTTTATTTGAAATAAATCGATATATAACAATAACTTCAAATTAATTTCTCCACAATAATTTCGTATGGTAGTCCCGTACAAATTAAATTAACTTCATAAAACTTGCATATCACTAAACCACCGGCTTTTTTTTATTACCAAATGACACAGGATAATTAGCACTCATTTGTCAAACAATGGTATCGTGTGTTTCTGAGTTAAGAAATTTGGCAAAATTTAAATTTAAATTAATCCTTTATGCAATACTGATGCATACCGTGCAAGGAGATAGAATCCAGCTGAAGTGATCGACAACAATTCCAGGCAGTGCACGTCAAGCTCGCTCCCAACAATATATCGCATCAGTATGGAAAGCAGTTCCACAGGTAAAAGCGCCATAGGGCAAAGCTCATCTACAGTATCATTTGCTTTCATTGACTTCTGATAAAATTGTAAGGGCAAAAAGTATAATTTGTAAAATCGGAAATGACAATTCTGCTAAGATCCCACGCAATCTGTACAGTTTCATTTCATAAAGAAGGTCATGTGCAACATTGTAGAGGCAAAATTTTGACAAATTCCAATAGAATATTTTTAAAACCATTCAGATATCTTAGAGTAACTTCATATATCTTCATTTAAAAAAAGAATAAGTATTCTTAGTTCTCCTGTCTGATTTCTTCCAATCAGATTAAATGAAACTATTACCTGGGAATTCAGGTTCAAAAAATCTCCCTCTATCAACAAGTCGTTTATGAAGAATCTTTTCTAAATCATGAAAACCACAATGAGATCTTGAACGAGAACGCTGGAGGTCTTTAGATCTCATCGAGTTCTGAAATCATTTACAACAGCAGTAAAATGACGTAACTTGCCATAGTGATTAAAAAATTTAATTCGTAAAGAAAATATTCGTTTGAAAAAGAAAATACTGCTAAGCCTTCATTCAATACTAGAAAAATTTTGTATAACCGATGAACTACGATCTTTGTACAATTTCGATTCAATATCGGGAACCATACGCACAGCGCCCATATATCTCCGAACTGCTTCCCACATATCGCCTCGTCTCTCGCAGTCCACACCTTCCAGGAATAGCTTTGTTGCCTCAAACCGTTTCCTATTATTGGTCTAATTTTCATACTTCATGATGAAACAATAATTTTTAAAAAATATGATATTTAGTTAACCTAAAAGGAAACAAATGATTTACAGTATACATGGCCTCCTCCATCATCGCACATATGACTAAAGATCAGTCTTGCCAGTCATTAAATGAATAGCAAAAATCTACAGCAATCTCACTTCATAAAACATTTCTGAAGCTACATCTTATATCTTACTTATAATTTCTGTATATATCGAATAAGTAAAGTTACAGCATCGTGCAGCAGCTGGTCATGCCTGCTTCTAATTTCCACTGATATCGTATTTGATTCCTTGTACTGAGAATCCAATTCGGATTTCCATTCCCTCCTAAACATCAATAGAGAAAAAATTTTTAAACAGCCCTTTAAAATTATATCTCAGCACAGAATCCATTCCGCATCAACAAAGTAACATGGAGTGTCAATTTATATATATGTTAAAATATACTGAATCATTTAACCTATTGAAATTAAATCGGTATCACGTCAACCTGAAATTACACAGCGTTGTTTCAGCAGAGCTCTGGAAATGTAGAAAGTCAGCTGATAGAGCAAAGAAATCATCACCTTCATTTTTCTCATCTTCTGCGAATAGTGGAACCAAATTACTCTAAAATAATTGATTACTAACAAAAATAGTTAATTATTAATAAAAATAATTGCTAACAAAACGATGGAAGCATACAAAGTTTGCCCGCCCTAACAATAAACAACTACGCATATTTGAGAGTAATCGATGCTATGCGAAAAAAATAACCTCGGAATCAGAATCGTCTTCACTCGCTTCATTCAAAATGTTCAAGCTTTTTATTTCCTTCTCCAGCGACATTGTCCACCTAAAATCTACTACAATTCAAAATTACAAAACCACTGAACCTAATCATCTTTGTTTCATTATTTTCGAGTTCACGGAGACAATTTACATCACTTATAACAACTACATAATGTGTCAACAAGTACGACAATAAAAAAGCGGTATAGATTTGCTCTGCCGCATACAATATTAACAAAAGGTAACTTATTTTATAGATTTCTTTTCTAGTTCGCGCAGAGAAGAGTAAATCACAGAAAGTACTCGTTGCACCAATCACTAATTTAATTATAAGTTAAATAACTGACCTGTAAATTTAATGAATACTTACTGCACAATACATCAAACAAAACTAGAACGGCTAATTGCATAACGACCCTATCATTAGAACACACTGTTTTCATCACAGTTGCTCATTAATACCCCTTTTGTAGCAAACCATCTATGAACCGTAAGTTTAGACATGGTTTGCTAAATTCTCATATCACAATGTACCATGATCAGAATGAAAAAACTGGTCCTATCACTTCAAAATTATTGGAGGAGAATTTCTATGGCTGATTGTTTGGATCGAATGAACTCAGCCGTATGAATCTCTTGGCGCGTTTATTGATGGAAGATTATGTCAATGAATTATTAACAGTTGTCCGGGTCACTCTATTTTACTTAGCGTGATGACCCCTCGTCCTTTTCTTTCCTTTCCTTTCCTGTCCAAAAATTCCTAATCACTGCCATTTTTTTTCTCATTTACTGTTTCGTTGGCCATATCGTTTAGTATACCTTCTTTTTATTACTCTGCCTATAGAAATTTATAGTTTCTTCCAAGTTCTACATTTCATCTAGTTTTTTTTGAAAGCACCACGGATTCATGTGGGAATGGTTAACTGATATGTGAATGGTTCATATCCATAAAAAATCATTCAAATTGATGATATTCACTTAGGCATAAGAGAGGCTGTTGTATATTGACCTTATTCGTAATAATCATAATTTTTTGAATTTGCAAATAAAAGAAATATGCCATTGTTTGCGATACCATGCTTTAATGCATTTACATATTTCGTTTGCTAGAGTTTATAAGCTTGTTTTCCTGGTGCTGAAAAATTTTCGGAATCATCCGATTTTTTTTTGAATATTAAAGCGGGATAATAATACAACTATATACGAAAAATATGAGGTTTTCCAACATATCCAATGATTTCTTACACTTGAATTCACTTGGATAAGTTACTAATAAATAAATGTCTGTACACTTGAATTTTATAATAATTTGCGTTTGTTTATCTGTTATCAGATAAATCTATTTATTAGCGAGTTATGTAAAGAGTTTTACAATTCGTACCAACGAAATTCTTTGCAAGTATACAATTCACCAGTTATTCATTTACAGCATTCTGATCTTTCTCTCTTGCTTACAAATCTTATCGTTATTAGTTTGTTAAGATCATATAGAGTTTGTATTGCTTTATCAGTCAACCAGCCTTCTCGATTATACATCATATAAACACTGCTATCTTGTTGCTTAAAGCTTTCTGCACGTAGATGCTGATAAACCTGCAGAAAATATTTCTAAGTTGACATCATTTACTAATCATCTCGAAAAAACATATATGAGAAAAAAATCCACTAGTACATTCATTATTTCCATTTTAAATCACAGTAAAGTAAATGTGAACTTTAAACTGAATGCGAGAAATATGCTTCTATATGAGTATGTACGTGACTGTGTATGTACGTGTGTCCATTGTCTGAAATAATCGAGCAGAATTCGATCAGTCAACTGTAACTGCCGTGAAAGGGGGCACAGCGATCGATTAATATCTTCTGCTGACATATTGTGTGCAGTTGAAGGAGTTCGTAAGCTGTGTCCATCTCTTCAGGCCATTGCTTAATCGAAGGCAGTTCTTCCGTGTTCCCGAAGAACTACTCATCCCTCCTCCCAAGTGATTGTGCTGCTTCTTGCTTCCTAGCCCCACTCCCATATCTGAAAATATCGAATTGCTCCGAGCAGTTGCCTATTTTCTCCTTTTATTTATCTAAACCATTACATCTCAATTATAACTGCCGCTTCAATTTTTTTCCTTATCTAAATGGATTGATAGGAAGATGGCATTTGCTATCCTCAGAAGGGAGGATGGGATTCTGATAATCAGCTAATCTTTCTGAACATTTAACACTGTTGTTGTACTTTTAGAGTAATGGCATTTAGCTTATCAGAGTGTTCGGGACTGATTACTTGACCAATAGCAATAGCGATACTTGTAACGATTAAGTTTGATAGATGAATTCTTCGGCTCTCTATGTCAGTATGGATTGCTTTAAAATAGGTATTTATTCCGGTCCATTGCAACTCATCAGTTTTAAACGTTCAAAAAAGGAAATTGAAAAATAAGAGGTTTATGCAAATGCTTGTTTTGCACTTGAAATCAGCTGTTCTAGGTTTTCGAAGAGTTCTAGGTTTTAAGATTTTTTTTGCCTCTAGACTATATTGCGGAAAAATGAAATTGGCCTGCAACATATGACGCGTCATAACCATTTGTTGTGTAATATTCTAACACTTTAACGATGTTATAATTTAGGCAATCTTGTGCCATCTCAAGTTGAATATATCGAATTCAACTTCTCGTACTGACAAATCTTAATGAACAAATGATTTCAGTTGCTATAATTGTTCTACACTGTTTCTCGAAAACTTACAGTCCTAATTTTTGGTTTCAAATTTGATGTTGATTATCATTGAATAGAAATTGGTTTCAAGTGTGATATTTTACCAAGGGCTATGGGTGGGGTCAGATCATTTAGAAAATGATATTCATACAAATTTTGTGTAAACACATTTTCATTTTAATACATCTTTTTCTAGTTGGAGAAATGCCGATAGATTGCGGACTTGTATAAACGGTAATGCATATGTCACAGAGAGGCTTCATGTACCACAGTTAGAGAAGAGGAAGGAGGAGAAGGATGTTGGCACTAATCATGATGCCATCTATCACTGCTTTTAAATTATTTTCAGAAGATTTGTGGGATGCTATTTTTCATGAAAGAGAAATGATCATTTTGGGAGACAGACTGGTCATGGTCAGTATTATAACTTTCTCTTCCTCAATGAGGAATAGAAGGATGCAAGAAATTGCGTTTGAATGCATCATCTCGTGTCATTCATTTTCCTTCATTTTTATCGTGTGCAAATTCTTTCTTGATAAAAAGGAGAATTTGATGGAAATGTAGGAGGAGGAACAGTGATGCGTGCTAGCTACGCCTGCAAGAATTTGTTTGTCATTGGAACGGCTTTTTTTGTTTTAAGTAATTCCTAATACCGTTCAATTACTTAAGCTTTGAGAGAACCTAAAACTTGCATGATTGGAGAAGCATTTTAAAGTTTTTCCCATTTAAATTTGATGTTACATTCTGTAAATTCAATGGTAGATCTTGTATATTTCAATATTTTGTATTTTTTTTTCTTTATTTGTGATTCATAATTCTCAGGATAAAGGCATATTATTTATCGAACTATTTGTTTAATATTGCTAAATCCAAACATTTGCTTGACTAACAGATATATATGAAACATCTAAGCTAGAAAAAAATTGACAAAATCCTTCATAAAACATAATGTGCTATTTTGATATTCCTAATACTCCTCCTGTATCGGACATTTTAATTCTTCGTTTACCGTTATTCGAATTATATACATGTGATTAAAAACTTGCTAATTAGAATAGACTCAGCAGTATGAGATACCAAGTGATCGTTCGTTTCAGTAACACCATATTTACCTAACACTACAACCACGATCGTGCCAAACTTTTTCAAATCCTGCGAGAGACTGAGTGCCCTGTTCCTATATAACGTAGACTTCTAATAATTTGATTCAGAACTCTGAAAATCCATAAATATAGCGTATTCATTTAGAGTAGTAGCGGGTAGATAAAAAGTCGGCTGTCTTCGGAAATGTTAGGGACTGAAAATTAAGTATCCAGATGTGAGTACTCCAGAAACACGAAAAATCATAAGATTTCGCAGTCCTAGCATAGCTGAAAAAGGGTGGGGCCATTATTATGTCCAAATAAAATTCCGGGAAGAATTTCGAAAAAGTCAGTTTTCGAATTCTATTTTCAATTTCGAAAATTGATCAAGAATACATGAAAATCAACTGAAAGCAGAAAACTGTTATTCAAAAAATGCATCTTTTTGTAGACAACGCAAAGGCAAGATTTTTCAAGTTAAATGTAATCGCTTAATCTGTTTAAATCATAAAAATGTCTCCATCAAAGTTTTAAGAGTCCAATTATCAAAGCTGCACATTTATGAGTTTCTATTTATGAGCATTTTCGCAATCTCTTTTTATTTCTTTCTGATCTTTGCTCCTATCATTTTCCGTTTTTAATTGTACTCCTTTCTCCATATTGCATGCAGCCTATGGTAATTTTCTGTTTATTTAATCGCTGAAAAGTATTCGATTGAATGAAATTTTGGTAGTTCCTAATAAAGGAAGGAAAATTCTCAAAATGAGATTATTTCAGGAAATCCATTTGGAAATAAAAAGCATTAAAGTTGATGCCATTGAAAAAAATATTTTGGAATTCAGGATATTTCAACGGGGCATCGGAGATTGTGTCGCATTTTAATTTCAGAAATATAACTTCTCGGAGTGCATAAAATTCAATTCTGACTTGTTAATCTATATGAGGTGTAACTTAAACTAACGATTTACTTTACTTCTCTGAAATATGGCATATTGTTCTTTGTTATTTACCAAACGAAAATTTACTTCCAGTAATAGCGCACGAACAATGATAGTGAAAAGAGGATGAGAGACATAATGAAGCAATAGCTTTCAAAAAGTTGCTTGTAACCAGGATTTTAATGGTTTGCTTTAAATTGTCCTACAGAATCGACCGTAATTGATTGGAAGCGTTTGTCTTGGCTGATCAATATAGTGATGTTTTCTAGGCCTATTTAAAGTTTCCAGGACTCCAAATCATTATGCATCGATATGGCTAACAAATACTTTAATCGTGATTATATTAAAAGAAAATATGTTGTGAGTGTTAAAGCAAATCAAATTTATGGTATTGGCAAAGGATTTTATTACATTGGCACTGTATGGCATTGACATTGTCCTGCATAATGAAGCGAGCTCGTTCAGCTTCTCATTATATAAAAGTATCAAAAGCTTCTCAGTATATAGATGGTTCGATGATTGCATAAATACATGTTATTAATAAATTTACTTATTGCCCCATTTCGCGTATTGATTCAGGACTTCGGAATTCGTTTTAAAAGTATGACTCTATTATGATTTGTGTGTTACTTTTGTAATTAGTAGTTATTATCAGTGACTGAACTATTTATTGTTAGCTGACCTACCATTTAGCTGGCCGATAAGAGCGAAGATTGAGTGAGTGAGGCAATTAAGCTTCTATTACATTACATTATTGTTTGCTACCGACATTTTTTAAAGAGCATTATCCCTCTTTTATACATTCGTGTATGAATGCACATGAGTTTGGTTTGTTGGATCATTTCATTTAACTGCTTTGAGAGGAAAATCTCTGTGTGTTTAATTTCCTTCATATTCCCTGTACATTCAATTAATGTTGAATTGAATCTAAATTCTAATTCTAGAACTTATGATGTGTGTCGATCTGTTCGAGAGAGAATTTTCTTTCTCCGATGCTAAATTGTGATAAGTTTATGAAAAAGGTAATGAAAAGTCAATAGTGGGAAAGAGAAGAGAGGCGAGCGCTGGGAAAGAGAGCGAGATCATTTTTTTATTTCATAAAATGAGGGGAAAATAGCTTAGAAGAGGGATAGATAAGTGGAAGATGTAGACAAGAGGAAGAAGAAATGAAAGTTGGAGGAAAATCACTGTCACCGGTATTCTGATTCAGGTGACTGAGTTTAAAATGAGAGGTAGAACCCAATAGCTAGGTGGATAGCATTTCTCCATGAAAGTAGGTTCTACACGTCAGTGTGATAACATCCTAATCCTTACATCCTATACTTGCAATAATAGTTTAGCTTCATTTATTAAAAATTTGTTCATATTTTTCTGTAACAAAGGAAAACTTCTCTAGCAGTAATGATTCATGTCTTTCTTTATTTCTAATATTTCATTCCTTTTTAGATTTCCAAATCAGTCATCTTTTTCTGATTGTTTCATTTCAGCATTCTTAGAGCAACAAACATCGTTAGAAATGATTCAAGTTCTTAAACATTTCATTTTCAAATTTTTTTATTCGCTCAAATTTTGGATTAATTTCCTATCATAGGTTGGAAAACCAATCTTTTTTATCTCCATTTCATTTAATTTTGACTTATCGCAGCACATACGTCGAAAGTCTAACGAGTATAAATTTAAATTGCACATGAGGAAATCCCTTCAAAAATTTATATTATTATTCTCTCACTCGCTCCTTTTTTCCAAACAACGGCTGTAAAATGAAAGAGAATAAATTTCGATGGTGTTATCACGATTTTCTAATAATGATTCAAAAATACCTTTCATCTATGTATCGCAGCTTTCCAGTTTGCCTCGTTAATGCTTGCATCCAATAATTTCATCGTTTCAGCCGTTAGATTCTGTAATAATTCAAAACTAGATGGATTTGGATATAGCGTTACAAAGGGCATCAGAAGATGAAGCAGATAGTCAGTATGATGAAGTGTATCCGGGTCGGATACTTAAGTTAGTGTTACATTATTTCATTTTTACTTTTATTCCTGTCTCAATGCTGATTACAATTTAGATAGCATAATCGCTTTTGATTCTTCATAAGCGTTCAAGATTCAATTAGGAATCTTTTTCCCTTGAATAAAATAAACTTCTAAGTTTAAAACCTTCATCTTTCGGAATGATTTCAAATTCCCCCTTTTTTCTCTTCCATTCCTTCCATACTTAATACAAGAAGTATTTGGAAGAATGTAGTTAATTTCATAAGAGACATTTGGTTTCTGAAAATCAATGAAATATGCTAGCTATAATAATATAACCATTATGTAATGCAGATTATTAAAGTCCTATCGAAGTACATGGGGCATGCTTTTTCGTTTGCAGAACAAGAAACTGATCGGTTTTATGTGTTTTTGTATTGATTTTGTAAGATGTCTTTTGTCAGCGGAAAAAAAATCTATGAATTATTGGAATATTTTGACGGAAGATTTCTTTCCTCCCTATGATCCAAGGTTTTAGCACACTTCTCGGTGAACACAATTTCGAGTAAATAATTACAGAGTTATGGCTTTAATGGGATTCTTGAAGGCTATGTTCAATGTATGATATGATAACTTCCATGCAAGGAAATAAATACTGAGTTAATTTGAATGAATTGAAGTGAAGAGATTAACAACCAGTTACCCTATTTCAGAGGCGAAAATACACCAGATAGCGCTAAAATTCGATACATTAGGGGATGCCGTGAACCAAAAACATTCGCACGTTACACTTCCAGTCTGAAAAATATGATACCCTTGCGGCCTTTTCACAAGTAAGTTTTTTCTAAATTAATAATTATTTTTTCGTCATAGCAGTTCCGAAAGATAAAAAAGTAAAATAAAAAGGTTGTTCAGGAAATACTTGGTAAATTAAAATTCGATTTTTTTCTGCGGTTTTATTGGCAGAATTTACTTAGCATTATTCACAATCTAATTTCATGAAAACAGCAAGTTATTTATAGACTCGGTCCTTCAAGAGCAAGTAAAGTTGACGAGTCGGGTTTATTTTCATTTGTAACATTCAGTTGGGTGTTTCCATATCTATGGGCTGCCTTTAAAGGTCATTTAAGTCAAGATCAAGTGTGGAATTGTAGCATTTATGATGCATCCAGTGTTAATTTGGCACGGTAGTTTTTATTTTTTTTAAATAATATTTTCTTTATGTAAAGCGTCAATTCACTTACTGATTTTTGATTGTATTGTTACATTTTTAATATGTCATTTCTGTCAGTTTTATTACCGATGTTCTGAAGCCGAACTTTTGCTTCAAAAACGTCATGATGGATTGAAGATGAATGAATTCTTCAATTTGGGCAAAATGAATTGATTTTAATCAATTAATTTTAGATTAGAGTATTTGTGGAAACAAGAACTTCTGCAGCGACCAAACAGGCCATCACTTTTTCGAGTCGTGTGTCTGTTCATCAAGACGAGAATTTGTGTTGCATGTTTCATCTTCCTATTTTGCCTGCTTTTTGGCTTTATCGGTCCAATGTGTTTTGTGAAGGGGTTAATATCATTCGCTGAACAACCACCCCTTTATAATATATATCCCAATCTTGGTTTTGGCATTTTCTTGGCTTTTGCTGTTCTTATAGTAAGCATTTGTTTCATAATTTCAAGGTGAAATGTAATGCAATTTTAGCTTGAAGTTTTCAAATTATTTTACAATTTTCAAGTTATTTTAGCAATTTTGACATTCATTTTCATTTTCAGATTTCTTCTCTTTTAATGTGAAGGCAGTTAGCTTCTCAAAATGATAAATTCAGATTTTTTAGGTCGAAACAGTTCGAGTACTCTTATATGGAGCTACATGGGCTGTAAGCTATCGAACAGGTATCAGAGTTCGTGGAGCCTTATTAGCATTACTGTACAAAAAATTGATCAGTTTACGTTCACTGAGAACAAAAACAGGAGCAGAGGTTTGTAGTTAATCCGGATTTATATTTGAAAAATTAGCAGTGTTAATTTTACAATAATCTTGAATGATTCAGTCGTCAATAGATGTTACTTGAGCAATATGAGATAGTTTTATTTTTGATTTGTGGCTTACATAATTATTGTTCGATACCCATTCCTATTAGAGAATGATCTAAAATAATAGATTAACTCGTTATCAGTTCTGGTAAAATTTTATTGCATCCTATCTTATTTTTGGCTTATCTTTATTTTTCTCGGTGAAAAATACATGTTTTGTCAGGTAGTAAATATTTTTGCGAATGATGGACAGCGATTAATTGATGCAGTTTCATTTGCGCCATTGGTATTGGTTGGACCTCTGGTACTCATTGTTGGAATAATCTATCTTCTAATTATCATTGGACCGTGGTCATTGCTAGGAATACTCACATTTCTTGTTTTTGACGTCGTACAGGTTGGTGTTTACAAAATTTCAACTCGAGCCTATATTACATCGCAACTTATGATTGATAAGTAGATTTCTTTACGAGATTTTCACTTAATTCCTTAATTGGTTGTATCATTAATTCAATTTTCAGATTGTGCTTGGCAAAATGTTGATCCGCTTCCGAACTTCGGCAATTAAAAAAACTGAAAGACGGGTAAAATTTTACTTTTAAAGGATTTACGTTAATATGGCACAGTAGGATAATTGAAAAACCGAAAAACATAGATGTTAAGAACAAAAAATTCCCGATTTTTTGTTTTTAACACTTTTGCTTCTATTGATTTTATCCGACCACATAATTCCAATATAATAACAAGTGTAGAAATGGAGAATAGAGACAAGAATTTGTCCTTTTTAGTACATAGTGATTTAATGAAAGTGATATAGCTTAAGATGCTGAACACTTTCGTACTCTTTGGCCTGCGGATATTATAAAATGATATATAACGAGGGACTCTTCATTTAAAAAAAGTGAAAAAAGAAATTCATTGTTGGCTTTCTAGGAATAAATCTCATATGCTGATATTACAGTTTTTCAGATAAATTTACTGGGTGAAATAATTCGTTGTATCCGACTTATAAAGATGAATGCTTGGGAGGAGTCGTTCACTAATGAAATAAAAGGTAAGCTTTTGCTACTTAGCCGGTAGTTTAAGAGTTTAACGAATTGGAAGTGGGTGGTTATAATGTTTTTTTTTTCATGGCCAAACTTCTTGCTGCGAAGCTAGATAAAGATAGGTTGAGCTTTTAATCTTTAGTATCTTATGTGTTTATTCCACCGTCAAAACAGAATTATCTTCAGAGATGCGTCGCAATGAGAAAATAGAGTTGCGCAAAGCAGGACTGGCACAAAGCTTGACAATCGTGTTTGGATCTGTGGTACCTATAGTGGCAGCAGTTTTCACTTTCCTCGGACTTATATTATCAGGCGGAAATCTTCTGGCTGGTGATGTAAGTTGTATTTGAGGAAGTATTTTATCCTGATCTTGGCGTCAATCCACACATCTCCAAATATCTTGATTTTCGTCTTTTGTATATCTCCAACTGCTTTTTATTTATTTCGTGCTTTACAGTTTTGAATTAGTTTTATATTGTAAGGTCCATCCAAAAATTACTAATAACGCTCTCAAAATTCAATAAATTCTTGTTTTAGGCATTTAGCACTATAACGGTATTCTTTATCATGATGTTCGCTCTCCGGATGATTCCTTACGGAAGTCGTTATTGTGCAGAAGCATTTACTGCATTGAAAACAATACAAGAGTTACTACTTTATCCAGAGTACGACCAACAAATACCATTTTGCCACGATGCAAACACTGCAATTCAGTTCAAAAACGCTACTTTTCTTTGGGATAATAGAAGTAACTTTTGGACTTTGATTTTTGAAAAACACCTAACTTGACATTTTTATATTTATTCCCATATACCTTCCAGTAGTTACAACACTACTGTTTAATTTAATTATATCGATGCTTCAATCCTGATGATTCACGTATAGTACACTCTCGAGCTTCATTTTTTGGTGAAAAATTATAGAATTTAATCATGAAGGATATGATAAGGTCAGGCAAATGAAATAATGTCAAGTTTGGAAGAAATTAGTGGAAGAAGTCCTGTTGTTGTTAATGAACAAAGCAATAATGATACAGCAATTGCACTGAAGAATATCACTCTCAACGTGCGGAAGGTTAGTTTTTTGACTGATGTTCACTTGTAGTAAAATAATAATTTATCCCTTATTTGAAGAGCTGTATGTTTACTCGTCAGAAGATCGGAGAGAGTTTAAGCAAGGAAGAAAGATAACAATAGATTATAATCCGTAAGGATGCGAAAAGCATTTTGCACTCAGTTGGATGTTAATGAAGTGATGAACTGCATGTTAATCTTGTCAATGGTTATTCTAATTGAGTTGAGTTTTAGGATTAAGAGTTTTTAGCATTAATTTTTTAGAAGCAATAATTTTTATTCTACGATCACTGCTGATTATTGTTTAAGCAAACGTTTTATTTGATATGCTTATTTCAGGTTGTACACTCCACTGCATTAAGGAATTTTTCTTGACTACAGTGATGGGAGAGTAATTAGTATAATATTAGAAAAGATGATGCATATATCTAAGATAAATTCAAAAAATTTTGATTTAGTAATTTTTATTTCCATAAAGTTAGTCTGAAGTTTTAGAAAGAACTCTTGGGTATATGTGGTCCAGTGGGAAGTGGAAAAACAGCATTGCTTAACGCCATTATTGGACATGTAAGTTCTTTGATTTTGTGAAAATAATGACAGTTAGATGCATTTTTTATATTGTTACATATTTCGTTTTTTAAGCTAGCGCCAAAAGATGGTTCGTTAAATGTTTCGGGGCAAGCAGCTTTCATAACACAAACACCTTGGATTTTGAATCAGACTGTTCAGAGTAACATATTATTTGGTTTGCCGATGAAAACAAGCCGCTATTACAAAGCCATCACTGTTTGCGAGCTCACCAAAGACTTGGAAGCAATGAAAGCGGGTGATCAAACCGAGGTAACTTTTAAAACAAACTAAAATATACAAATGAACAGCATCGGAAAGTTGAACTAGAAGATGTATTTTTATTTTGATTTTCATTTATGCTGCATATTTTTCAGATCGGAGAGCGAGGAGTGACAATATCGGGAGGACAGAAAGCCCGAATTTCATTGGCTAGGGCACTTTTTGCAAATTGTCGCATTTATCTTTTGGATGACATATTTGCATCACTGGATCGACAAGTTGCTGATCGTATTTTTAAACATGCTGTCAAGGAAATGCTAGCAAACAAGACTGTTCTTATGGTTACTACAGATATCCAAGTTGGTTCTGAATTTTTCACTCTCAGAGCTTTTCAGATTCGTGGTTTTTGGATCTTTTCAATGACTGTTATATGTTTCTCTATTTATTACTTTCTAATTTGTGAGGAACTTTTGAAGCTTATGAGAGGAACTTTTTTATTAATTAAATTTTTAATCATCTGTCCTTCAATGGTGAGTATACATTTTAATATGCTGAGTGTTACACTCATGCTTCATTCCCATCTTAGGCCACTAAAGTGATTTACTGTACTCATAACAGTATCAAATATTCGATTAAAAAACCATGGAAAAATAGAGCATGGAAGTTTTTAAGATTTTAAATAAAATTCAGTATGTAACAGCTTGATGCAACAAAGCGTAAATTAAAGAGAATGTATATTTGGATGTTCCAAATCGTGGGATTCATTTTTGCAATGATTATTTAAAACTCTCAGTAGAATATCGAATCATACTGACAACTTTTGAGCTATTGAACTTTTAAGCGGTTATCGAAATGCGATCGAGTTTGCTACATGGAAGGTGGAGAAATTAAAGCAGTAGGTACTCATGATGAACTGCTGGAGAAATGTGAGGCATATGCTCTTTACTGCGAACATTCCATTTATTCCGGTTAGTCTTACTCGAAAGCTAAAAATTTTGTAACTCAAAAATAAAATGCTTTTTTTTAAATCATTTTCCCAATTTTGCGAATAACTTTTAGATGAAATTAAGTCGATGTCGGAAACTGCAGAAGAACAATGTGATTTCGGAGATGATTTTGTAAAGATAGATAGGCCAGATAAAGCGGATGAATTTGCGAAAACAAGAACGGAAGTGTCGGACGAATTTGAAGCATCAACGTCTATGATGAATCTTACGAAATCCGATGGTAATGTATTTCTCAAAGTTGGTAGAAAATATTAGTAATGGCGAAGTGAAGCTTGGACTCTTGATAATGTTTTCATTTTAAAATTTCATTCTAAAATTTTATTCTGAAATACTCAATATTATGATTTCATCTCTTCAAAAATGATTTTTGGAAAGGTGAAATTTCTTCAAAAAATGAAGACCAAAATGATTTTTGAAACTTTCCGAATAGAAAGCAGGTTAATAATGTAATTTAGATAGTTCCACCATACTTTTATTGCAAACTTATAAGTGTGGTATTTACTGAAGTTTTTTTTCAACAAAGTAGCAGCAGCTTTTAGGGCAATTGGTTATGGATGAAGAGAATTTCGGCTCGTCAACTATGCCTTGGGCAACTTACAAGCAAGCTATTCATTTTTTCTTTTAGTTTTGAGTGTGCTTTGGTGTTATAAATTGAAATGAGGGTGGTCTACTCGAAAGAATTAATTTGAAATTTTGAATTTTTGAAAAATAAAATGTATGTAATTTAGACGGTACATCGATGCAGCTGATGGGCGTTGGGTTTGGATAGTATTACTGCTCGCATTTGTTGGCAATGTAGCTGCCTCAATATTTTCTACTGCTTGGCTGTCACAATGGTTGAAATATGGACATTCGCAGCAGGTAATTTCCGAAGTCATCTTTTCATTTTTAGAAGTTCGATTCTAATGAAATCCATCTTCTAATAAAGCTGTTTCTTATAAAAAAGAACTTCGAAATCTAAAAGTAAACAGCTTATGCAGTACAACATGTCCAATTTATTTTCTTTATGTTATTTTTTTATTAAATTGGATTTTATCACAGAAGGACGTTTCATTAACACTAACTAACCTCACGATAATTTCTAGGTTGTGAATATCAGTGGAGAAGTCCGCATCGAACTGAGTAGCATAGCCGAAAGCAAATATACTAGCTATTATGCAACCATATATGGATTTTCTGTAATCATTTTGTTCGTTTCAGGCCTTCTAAAAGCCCTTATTTTTGTCCATGTGAGTTATTTTCACTTATAACACTTTTTTCCAATTTTTCCTTTTAAATTTCTAAATATGAATTAATTACGGACGGGAAGCTCAGGTATCATTAAATGCTGCTTCGCAACTGCACAATCAAATGTTTGATAGTGTGATACGTGGCACTGTTCGCTTTTTCGATACAACACCAAGTGGAAGGATTCTAAATCGATTTTCGAAAGATATGGATGAAAGTTTGTTCTTCCTACTTCTAAAAAATGTATTTCTTAAAATATTAACTGCTCTTTAGTATCAGTCGAATAATTTGAGGGAGTTAGATTTGGAAGCGATCTCTAGAATATAAAAGAATATAATATTTGATCTTCAGTCAATTTGTTAAATCGATTTGTTAAGACATTGAGAGCATTAGAAGATATTTGGTAATTTAATAATAATTAAATTAGGGGATCAGGGGAAATTAGGAAATAATTAGAAAATTGGAAAATAATTAGAAAATTAGGGAAATAATAATTAGGGTAGATCAGTTTTTTTTCCTGCGAGCTTTATTTGGTCTCAAAAAAGTTTATAATTGCTTAAACTACTACTCCCTTTCTTTAATTGCATTTTGAATGAAAAAAAAATATAATTACACTGAATGAATACAAATTCCAGTTGACGTCAAATTGCCATTCACAGCTGAAGTTTTTCTCCAAAATTCACTTATGTGTGTGGGTTTTTTGATTATGATCGCATGGGTTTTCCCATCCTTCTTACTTCCGTGTATATTTTTGTTCTGTATTTTCACTATTTTTGTGTTGTGTTTTCGAGCTGGCATCACAAGGTAATCAGTATTTCAAGCTATTAAAATCAAGGTTTAGAGCTAAAGATAAATCTAGAACTACTATTAATACAAGTAATTTGGCTACTTTGATATTATCAGGCCAAATTCCAATGAAGCTGTTCTTATTCGTACTGTTAGCATTATAATGTTTCAATATGCAGTGAACGTTTATTAAAACAGAAAGTTTAGCGCTTAGTTTTTAATTTCGACATCTTTCAGTTTAAAACGATTCGAAAATATATCACGTTCTCCATTATTTGATCACATATCTGAAAGTATGGAAGGTATTCAGACCATTCACTCACTTGGCCAAACCGATGATTTTATTGAAACTTTAAAAAACAAGCTCGACTTGAATAGGTGCATATGTCAAATTATTTTGTTTCAGTTAGGAGTTACAGTAATTAAATTTTAACTCCCTTATTTTGCCTTAAATTTCAAATATTTGGTATCTTATTCTCTTTTTTTGAAATAAATAGTTCCTCCAAATTCGAATTTTTAATTCTTTTAAAGTGGAGCTATGTTCATGTATCAGTCAGCAATGCGTTGGTTAGCTGTGTGGCTGGATTTATTAGTCGTTGTCATTACTTTCATTGTATCATTATTAATTGTTCTGTTGACCGGAAGTATAGCACCGACAGATGCTGGAATGGCACTTGTTTTTGCATTACAGGTGGTTCTTGATTGTTTCTTAATTTTGCATGATGGTAAAATGGACTTTATGAAATCATTGTAAAATAGTCGAGGTATATTTTTTTTTCAAATATTCAGTATTTGATTAAATTGAAAATTTTGCGAAACCAAAAAAAAACAAGGTCTGATTTTTATAATCATTATTTCAGTGCACCGAGTAACACAATAGTACGAAACTGTGCCACTTATAATTAAAGTATATACAATTTGGAGCTGTAAACTCATAAAAACTTTGTATTTGTAGATGAGTGGTATATTTCAATTTGCGGTACGCACACAAACGGAACTCGAGGCAAAAATGACATGTGTTGAACGTGTTACCTATTATATCGATGTTAGTATCAATACGCAGCTTGATTTTTTATAATTTTTCGAAACATATTTCCTTGCCGTAGAATACTACTTTTCTTATGGATGAAATTAATTATATAATAATTATTCAATATATATAAATGTTGCACAGGAACAACTTCCGTCTTTTTATAATATGGGAAAAATCATCTCGCATCTTATGACAAGGATTTAGTGCTATTCAAATTTGACCAACTGAGAACTTAGTTTCATTAGCCACCATTAAATGCTTGTGGAGTTCATTAAATCTGAATAACTAAGTCCATATAAGAACCGCGTTAATGTTGAAATTAAAATGCGTCATCGGTCAGCATTTTTATTCTACACCTTTTTATTCGTTTTATTATGAGCTTGAAAACATTATTTTAGCATATTGAGTCGGAAAATGATTGGAAAAATGGAAGGGGTGACTCTTCTTTATTAAATGATTGTCCTCTGGAAGGACCAGTTGTTTTCAGGGGAGTTACGTAAGTTTTATTTAATGTTTTTTATTATACTATTATATAGTTTTATTTCATACTTTCTTATTTTCATATTTCTAATTTCCAATTTTCATGATCATATACATTATGATTGAAATGTTTACATTTGCACTTCGAAAAGTAATTTCAAAGCTCTTCTTTTTAAAATATTATAGATCTATGGCCCTAAAATTCAAAATGGTTAATGTTTCAGGGTACGTTATGGCCCAAATTTACCTTTAGCTCTGGATAATGTCAGTTTTAGGATTGAAGCGAAGGAAAAAATAGGAATTATCGGGCGCACTGGATCAGGTAAGCATGTTAATTATGAGTGTGTAAAAGTGCGCATTTTGTTTCTGGGTCATCTTAAATTGCGGTAATTTCTAATATCATCAAAATATTTCCACAATTTTTTTGATCAATTCATATTATCGAAAAATTTTAGTAATATTGATGCTGAGCATATATTTAAACTACTTTATAGAAGTTGCATATATTTTTATAACGGTGCCGAAAATTAATACAGTGCTTATAAAAACTCCTATTTAATTTCCCACATAGGGAAAACGTCGCTGTGTAATGTGCTCTATCGGTTGTATCCGTTGACATCGGGTAGTATTGAAATCGGTGGTATTAACACAACTCGTATTGGACTTTGTCGGTTACGTCGATCTATAGCAGTGATTCCACAGGACCCGACACTTTTTGTTGGCACTATCCGTTTTAATGTTGATCCAAACAATGAATTTACTGATGATCAAATTTGGATGTCTCTCGGAAAAACTTATTTGAAAGATATGGTATTATTTTTAAGCAAAAACTTATTTTTTCGTTAACACTTTGCTTTGACGATCTGAATTTTAGTTCGCTATTATCTGGAAGATGGCTAAATTTTATGCTAAAAAATATGCATATCCCAGATAAATTACTAATTTTTACATTTTCAGCTGAAATATTTTCGGTTGTGTTTCAGGTATCTTCATTAGATCAGAAACTGGATTCTCCCGTCACTGAAGGCGGACGTAATATATCAGTTGGTGAACGGCAGTTGTTCTGTATGGCAAGAGCTTTGTTAAGGTCAGTCATCCAGGATAAGCAATAGTAATTTCATAATTCTAGCCAAGTATTCTTTGTTTTATTGTTAAAATTTTCAAATGAATGATTTTAGGCGAGTGCGAATCGTAGTATTGGACGAGGCAACAGGTAGCTTAGATAATGCCACAGATCGACATATTCAAAAATGCTTGCTTGAAGCATTTGTTGATTGTACCGTTATGGTAATTGCTCATCGTCTGGAAAATGTTTTGGGTTTGGACAAAATTCTTCATATGAAACAAGGGAAGGTAGGTGTTAATTTTGATGCCAGCAGTTTGCCACGAAGATATAGTGAGGCAAAAATTAAGGCAGAAAATATGGAAAGTTTTACATTAATCGTAGTAATGTTTGAAAATCGTCATCTCTTTGTTTTAAATTAAATACAGAATGAAATTCGAACTAAATTCTGACGAATACTGATGAGTATGTTAGATTTTCCTACCATTGGTTTATGAAATAATGGGATGACTTTGACTTTTACACATCTCTCATTGATATGCTTTAAAAAATTGGTTACTTTATCGGAATGTGAAAATAAGTCCCTTTCACTTTCTTGAAATTGATGAAGCTCGAAACCGAAAAATAGTTATTGGGCGTCCTAGGTTGTGGAATACGACACAATGCAGAATCTAATCAAGGATGAGAATCATCTTCTGCGACGTTTACTGGGCGATAAGAAGTTGCAACAAGCAATAGAATTACAGAAGGAGCGCAGTACTAAGAAAATGACAGAAAACCCAGAAGAAACATTAAAAGCATCAGTAAATGGAAGCAGTGGAAGTAATCCTGAGCATCTTTATTCAACTTTTGCAGAAGCTTCTGGTAAAACTTCCCCGGAAACATCAGAATTTGAAAAGATTAGTGATAGTATTGATAAAGAAATCATCACTATGAGCAATGATAATAGTGACCTAGAAATGATCAATAAGTCGGATTCCGAATCAAATTATTAAATGCGTTTCAGATATCTTTTTGTACCATGTCTCCTTTGTGTGTGTATTATTCCGCGTAATCACGGATAATATACCACCCGATCTTCTCGTATCTATTCCAAAAAATATTTAGTAATTTATGCCAAGATGCCAAAATTTTGGAGTAAAACTTCATGTTTTTTCGAATTGTAACCGCACTACACTTACTTTTTATAACTGTTCATTAATCTCACTTTGCATTTTCTGTCTTATACATGTTTTTTATATGTCTATTTACCACTTTTTTATAGATAGTTTTTCTTGCTTCTATGATTTATTTTTTTTTGAAACTAAGCTGCCCGAACATTCTTCGAAACTGAGCTGCCCGAACATTCTTCAAAACTAAGCTGCCCGAACTTTTCTTCAAAACTAGTTGTATGGTAGCCGTTTTCTTTCTTTTCGAAGTTTTATATTGATGCCTAAAATTTTCGCCGAACTTCGATTGTTGAAATTTTCTCTTTCATTTTTTGGAAAATTAATAGCACGCAAATCCTGCAATGATAAGAGGTACTCTGGTGTTATTAGTTTTCCATATATATATGGTCATTTATAGGGAAGCAGCGGTCTAGCTATTCCATGTTTGATGAGTGTTTGGAGTTCTTCATGATCTTCATTACTTAATTCAGCTAGAAGACGTGCTTCAAACCCAAAATTCCTCTCATTTTTTAATCAAGCATTTGTCAGGATTCGGAAAAAAGCTAGCCGATTCGGCCGCTGATCTTGCTAATTGCTTGTGTACTGCCCAGGAGATTATTTTAATTTAGATGCCTTAAGAACACAAATAACTAGGGTTGTTCTTGACTATGTTCTTACCCAATTCCCATACCTTTCTACTCTATATTTCATTTAGGAATGTATTACCTTTCTCATTTTTTTACTGTTAAATATTTAGATCAAAGGAGATCCGGAGTTATACACTGTTGTATGTTTCTTTACCGATTCATTAACATTATCATTGGTTTATCAAATTCTCAATGTCATTTTTTTAATTTCCATGTATTGATCTTCATCTTTTATGAAAAGAAATAAATACACCGTAATTATTCTACCTATCATTGATAAATTTTGTGTTGGGACATTTCCAACCTTCCACTGTAAGGTGCTCAAGACAAGAATAACTAATTCCTTCATGCTCGGAATCGGTGAAATGATTTCCCATGGAAATCGCAAATTGTTTATGAAAACTTTGCTTGCCGTAACTTATTTCTGTTAGAAATAGAAACTAAGCAGTCCTTACGTGTTATCCATCAAAATGGCGCGAAACGACATTTTCAACGAATCTTAATTAACAAGTAATCACTTGGATTTGTCACAATTTTCTGTGAATTTGAAGTTTCTGTAGTATGAAACTCAGAAGAGACTTAAAGACAATTTCCCAGTGGAGACTTCTCTTACTTCTCAGGCTTCTAGAGAAACTCCAATTCTCATTAAGCGGTGCCAATGCCTTCGGTGCTGAGACATGGTTTCCATGTTTTTAGTTTTAAAATCTTTAATGTGTCAATTTTACGACATAAGTGGTATTTTATGACAGTGAGTGTATTCGTATTTCGAATAAATCAGTCCTTTGTGAACTCTACAAATTTCGTATCACTTTGGATTAGTTCCATACTAAGTGATAAAGCATGGATAAGTTTGGGATATATATTTGATGATACACCATATTGTGGTACTTTATTCAGTCCAAGTGGAAATTCTTCAGAGTGGATAGGCCCACAAAAAAAATTAGCAGAGCTATAAAATTTGTAATTCGTTCTGAAGCTCGTCGTTCTTTTCTCTACGACATACAACAATAGATCGCTATATGAATAAAAAATGAGAAATACAATAAACATCATTTGAATATAAATACTAGTTAGTGCTTATCCGTTGAGCAAATCGAAACGCTCTCTGAATTAAATTCCACTATAGCAAAAAATACAACACAATTAGAAATATTCGAACTGAGAAACTAAATTCGATTTCAAATGCATCATCGAAAATACACATATTCTCATAATCACAGTATTTGATGTTATCTTTTAAAAAAAGAACAAACTATTTGCATTTGAATTTCAAAACTGTAACACATGAAAGGTGAGAGAGCATCGTCGGGTGATAATATCAATAACAATTAAAGTCGATGCTTGTCGCCTTTACAATCGATAATAAACGGAAACAGATGCATGTTCCCGAGGATTACCATTAAATAATGAGGAATCGAAAATAATTCAAGCATAAGTAAAAATTAAACGTCGGTTATATGGATAATTCGATCGACAGAGTCAGCCAGGTAAGTAATATATCCTGCTCTAATATCATTTTCATTGAAGAAAAAATATCGAAACTATCAGAAAATCCAAAATTACTTATAAACATCCTCCTTTTAACTGTAATTAAACATGATGTAGGGGATGGGAGCAAGAGAGGTTTCCGTAATACTTGTCTTATTCTTGTAAATTGTCTAAATGAAAGTTAGCTAACGTAGTAACTCAGCACTGCCTGTTTTTCACAGATAACAGTAAAATGTTCAATAATAGAGCACCAATCTTAACAAACAAATTTAAAGAATTTGAAACCTATGCTAACTTCCTGGAAGCGAATGACTTTATGAGTTTACAAATTAGTAGTGCAGCATACTTGTTGGTTGAAACACAAATAAAATGACGAGAAAAAAATGGCAACTTTTCAAACATCTCTAAATTCCACTCTTCTCACTGGATCCATTTCAGGATGCCATAAATCCACTCGGAGTATCAAACGATATTTATTTGCAGATGCACCTTCGAACCATAATTCCTGCTCAAAGGAATCATCAAAAACAAGGAAACGACCAGTTTTCCAACCTCGCACTTCATGTCCTACTCGCAATCTTGCTTCTGCAACAAATATCTCGCATAAACTTTGTGATTTTAAAATGATTTGTCAAATTGTAAAAACTTAAGTAAAAACTTAAAACAAATGCAATGACGGGAAGACACACCAGATGATATTATAAGACCCAAATGAGCTTGTAGACGATAATTGGAATAGCCACAATGTGGCCATATTCGAGTACCACTTGCTAGAAGTGAAAATTTTATCTGCAAAGGAAAACTTTCAGTGAATAAACTTCGAAATTATGGTTTTTTTTAATCCTATCTCTTTGATCTTTCTCCTCCTCGAAAATCAACATCTGTAAACACTCATGAAATAGGAAATGAAATCAAAAGACGCCAAACATTATCATAATAAGCTTCAATAATTAAGAAATTAAGATTAAGATAGTTGAGTATTATAATGGAACCCCCTTATGTTGACCATTTTTATTACATTCAATGAAATTAATGACTGAATTGAATCTTTTCCAACACTCACTTCACTTTTCAAGCAATCGGATGAATCCTTAAACATGCGCATAATGTCACATGTTTTTGGTGCTTTTAAACAATTTGATGAATTCCATGAATTACTGCTATACAAAGAATACGATGACCATTGTCCATCCACAATTAGCTCTTTATGTTGTGGTTCGAATAAATACGGCTTGTTATTCAATATTGCTACCCCTTCTTCTCTAATTACTGTCCATTGTCTTTCAATTTTCTGAAAATTAAATATTATTCATATGTTTCTTTCAAATATTTGCTTACTTCGACTCATAATTCTTATAATAATTTACTTAGAAAGAGCAGTAAAAATTCGTTTTTCATTTATTTGAGATTTTTCTTTAAAAAAAACTGATATACATAATTCGTCATACTCAAAAATTAAAATTTTGCCCAAGTTTCACTTTAGCAAAAATTGGTTTACTTCTTCACAAATTATAAATATCTTTGCAAAGTAAAACTTATCAAATCACCTTTAAATGTTTTGAGCAAGAAGTTTGTTCAATAGACCACCAAGGACGGGCAGTTAAACCTTCGACACTGTAGAGAGAACGTTGATAAGGAGAGGGAAAAAGACCAACTTTTGCTCCAATACTATATACCCGATAAGCCTTAAAATACTGTAGAATTAAAGGAAAAAAGCGTAAAAATAAGATTACTTATAAAAAAGCATTTCCAAAAAAAAACTTCTGTAATTTTTCATATTTTTGTGTTTGTTTAAATTAAAATATGCAATTGAAATAAGCCAACCTACTTCTTCCTTCTTACCCAGTCGTGTTAGAGCCTCACCGAAATGATAATAAAATCTGAAAATGATAGAGAAAAATATTATAGAAGTCTGTACAATCCGTAGAATTTCATTATTTCCGCCCAACACTTCAATTATCCTAAGATATATGAAAAATATTAAACTTTAATATTTCAAATTTGCCAAATGAAAACGAAGAAATGAAAAGACAGTAATCTTAGAAGTAAAAAATAATCCTATCCTAATCATTATTATATGACGAAATGTTAGGAATAAACAGCCAATGATAAGTTGACAAAATAAAAAATTAATTAATGAAAAGAGAAGGAATACCTTGGATCAGCAATTACTTCACGAACAGCACGCAAACCTTTGCGCATATATAGCACACCATTCTCCAAATCTCCACTTAATTTCAAAATATAACCAAAATATGCCTGAGCGATACCATTTGTTGGTGAAATTTTTAAAACCTAGAAAATTTTTAAAAATGCTCAAAGAATTGGAATTAAAATAATCCAAACTAGTCACCGATCATAAGATTGCAATATAGATTTTGAGAGAAAAAAGCATAATTAACTAGCATTTTCAAATATTTTCCGCGCATCATCTTCACGTCCCATCATAAGAAATGTTAGTCCTTGATTATTGTATAGCTGTAAATCATCCGGATATCGATCGATCAGAGAACGTTGTGCTTGTAGTACACGATGCAATAAACCACGAAATCTGGCTCGATCGATCAAACGATATGCAGCTTGACTGAAAAATATCAAGCATGACATTTCGATGTGGTTAAGTTAAAAAGTTTAGTGACAGTTATAGGTAAACAAAACAAGTTAATTATAATAAGGCGATACCCAGTATCTTTTCATTTCTACATCTTTAGGGATTAAATCTCAACAGTTGCTTTTTAAAATAATTTACCTGTAAAGCATAGTCCTTTCTGCATTTATGTCATCCCTTTCTAATTTATATTTAAAAATTTCAGTAAAAAATTACATAGAAAGTTTCGAACAAATTCTGGAATATTTTGGAAGCTAAACCCACTTATAATCAAAGTTAATAACATATAACTTTTATAGAAAACATAAAATTTACTTAAAAAGCGCATCTGGCGTCTCATCAATATCAAGCACCTCTTGGTATTCATTAATCGCTGTATTTAGAAATGAATGATCGGATTCAATTTCGCTTCTGATATCATTTGCCCGAGCGATACCAAAATGCGCTCGAGGACTGTTAGGATTAGCCCGTAAAATAGTGTTGAAAATGGCGATTGCGGAATGATAATCATGCTGAAAATGTTGCGGCATAAATTAAGAGCATATTAACGGCAAATATAGACTGAATGTTTCATCTGCTCTAAAGTGCTAATTTAATAGATGAAATTTCTCTTCTAAGCTTATGCTTTATGGAGTTTTTAAACTTATTAACTTCTTATATCACTCCAACCTAAAACTCAATTAGATATTCAATAATATATCAGTTGATTACTATTCTACTTTTTCAAATTTTATCCACATCTGATTTCTTTGCTTATTTGAATACATTTATACATATCTTATTTAATTAAACTATAAAAACAATATCAAGCAATTTTAAGTACCAAAAGTTAGAATATCATGTCGAAAAAGTTATGACATTGGATGGGATCGTATAAGAAATTAATAAGTTTCGTTCCCGACCAAAAAAAAGGTTATCAGAGTAGAATAAAAGCCCAAGTAGTTTGATAACGATGAGGAGAGCTTTTTGTGAGAAAAAATATTACTTTAATACGAAATGAATAATAGAAATATGTGGATTAAAATAATGTATTTAAGTTCAGTTAACTCGTAATATATGCACTCAGAGTACACAAAGAAACTAAATAACTAAATTAAATAATTAAATAACTAAATTGAATAAAATCATTTCAAACAATTCTTCCAAAAGTTAGCCATAAATTGACAATGAATAAATTATTAAATTACTCTCATTTATGCCTAAATTTTTTTACTGACCTTTTCAACGAGATAATCAGCGTGATCCAATTGATTTCGGTATTTGTGATCATCACGATTTGTTATAGCATGACGTTTATAAACTATTCTATCATCCAATCTACAATACATTGAATTTTTATTTGAATAAAAAGAAATTCAGAAAAATCAATGCCTAATATCAGCAATGATAATCATCATCTGATAAAGAATTATGTTGTTTGAAGTGAGAAGCCAACTGAAGCCATCCCTCATTACATTGAAATGTTAATTTCAACAGAGAATGTCAAATATTTTAAAATTATAGCAGCAAACAAATCTCTGTAAAAAAAAACAAATTACTAAACAGGTAAACACTTCACAACTTCGTTATTAAAAATTATAAATAAAAAATAAACTTATAAAATAAAAATATATATCATCTAATATTTTTGCTAAATTGTTGGTGTTATCTTCTTACATCCATGCTTTAATTTATTTCAATTTTTTTTCAAAGATATAATTTTAGGTTTCTAATCTGAGTTTTAGATATGATAATGTATTTCATTATTTCTTTCATTTTCAATTAATATTAAAAGCTTTTAGGCTATAATAAACAAATCTTCATACATTTTCAAAATAGTTCAGAAAATACTTTGGTAATCGAAGAAATCGAAAAAAGGATGGACAAAATAAACAAACTTCTCTTTTTTAATAGCTGACAAATCATGGATGACTGTATCATCAATTTCTTCCTCTTCACTTTCTTCATCTTCCTCATCATTTTCATCCTTTTCTTTATCATCTTCAGTTAACTTGAAACCAGTTGGCAATTGTTGCTTATTACGATTCGACATAGAAACCTAAAAAAACCAATTTTACAAGTTAGGATTCGGAAAACCTACGACATTTACAGTTTATTCATTTCTCGGATGTAAGTTTTATAAAAAAAGACAACTGAAAATTGAAGATGATTAAATCAGGATAAATTATTTCTCTTTAACCTTTATCAATTGCTTGTAATAGCATGTGCACTCAATTTCAAGATTTTTAAATCAAATATATTTTTCGATTAAAGTAAGATTTCGCTTACTCCTTTAGATAGTATCTAATTTTAAATATTTTCATTAAAATATGAAATGTGAAATAATATTTGTATAAAACATACGGGTATTTGTTTCAAAAGTGACATTCGTGGGTGATGATCATATTCAGGTAGAAAATTCTTCCGTTTAGATTCCTGAATTAAGAATTTTGAAATTTAATATAATTCAAATTAATTCATTTGGATAAATGTTCAAATATAAAACTGAGAAATAGAATTCATACTTAAAATGTGTTCCTCAACATATCATATTTTTGGCATAGTTATCTTTTACTGATAGAAATATAAAAATAAAATGTATAAATTACATATTTCGATTTTTCCATATTAGAAGATGGAATCTTTCTTCTTGACTTAATTTTCGATTTCTTCTTTCGATCATATTCTTCTTCACTCTTTTCTTCTTCATCCTCCACTTCACCTTCTTCTTCCTGTAATTCAATCCTAGCAACAGAGGACGTTTTCTTTCTTTAAACTAAAGCTGACATCTAACTAACAACTTTGGTACCCATAAATCTTCCAATAAAACTTACTTCATCTTCCACATTATCGTCAATTTGAATTTCTTTTCCATCTCTTTCATCCTTTCTCTCTTCCTCTTCTTCTTTCACCTTCTTTGCCATCTTTCTTTCCTTCTCTTTCTCCTTCTCATTATCATCATTATCATCCATAACTTTGGGGCGTTTACGATGGGCCTAGGAAAATCTATGTGTTCAATGATCAGTATGCCTTTTAATGATCAAATGAGATATTTAGAATCGTTTATTTCGATACCTTGGCTCGTTTTGGCTCGATTGTTTTATCCTTCTTCTCTTCCTCTTCCTCCTCCTTCATATGCCTATCCTCCGATGGCTCAGGTATCTAAAATATCAGAATCATTAATTTAAATTCAACTATTTCATTTATTTAAGTCACAACCAAACAGTGCAAAAAAATCAATAGAGAGAAAGTAAATGGTAACCTTATCAACATCATTATCATCGTTTTCATCATTGCCGCCATCAGCATTGTCACTAACATCATGCTCAACATTTTCAATTACCTTATCCAATACTTTGTTGCTTTTTCGTTCAGCTTTTGCTCGAAGATCGGCCAGACGCGCTTCTTCCTCATCATCTAATGTATCATCATCAGCTGCAAAATGATAATTCTGAATTTTGAATTTTTGTATTTTATTTGAACCTATTAGATATATTTTACCATACGCAATAACAGTAAAATTCCTATGTATGAACCAATTTAACTTCATTTAATATAATATTTTATTTAGTTAAAAAAAAGCATCAACTGTAAATTATTTTAGCATAAAATATTTCTAAAAAATGGAAATTAAATTTTGAATATGAAATTTCAACACGTTCTGAAAATACATATGCGATTCGAAATATCATTTCCAAAAGTATGTAATTTATTAGGCTAAGATGAAATACTTGAATCCGGCACATCCTGAATTGATTGATGAGCTTTTCGATTTTCTTCAAATGTTTTAGATCGTGATATATATTCTCGTGATGGAGTGGTATCCTTTTCAGCTCGTCGATTATGTATCGCCATCTCATCTGCGTCATCATCAATATCACCATCATAATCGAAGTTTTCATCGCCATCAATTTCTACCAATGAAGTTTGTATAAGTTATTTGCATAATAATTGTTGTTGTTGTTATAATTCGTTAAAAAATCTTAATGTATGATAAAAGATTTTATTTGGCTTGTTTTGATAACTTTAGAAATTATGATTGATTATATTTACTTATACTGGAAAGAATAAAAGCGAACAAATATTTATGATCATTTGTGTTCGAAATTTTACTATTTCTGATACATTTTCATAATGCATAACATTTTTTAAATGTAAAATTTAACAACTATGCAAAATTATAATAATTCATTTAGATTGTTTATAATATAAAAATAGATTACCAAATGCCACTTCTGCTAATTCTACGGTTGAAAATAAGGTATAAAAGCTGGAGCAAAGGATAACAAATACCAATAGCACAGCCCAAAGTCTTACACCACCTTTTGTTACACTATAATCTACCCTGCTAGGCGCAACCATAACCGCCATCGGCGCAACATGTCCTGCGCCATTCACTGAAAATTATATGTTTTGTTTGAAAATTTAGAATTCAAAATGATTTATCTCATTCTAATTAAATCATTCGATGCTACTTCTTACATTACATCCAATGATGTATCTAAAGAGATACTTTCCTCATAAAACGAAATTTTATATCCATTAAATACTCACAGTAAATTTAAATCTTCATAAATTAATTTAGCACATTTTGTAAATTTCCTGAAGACAAATTTTATTGAAATTATGATGCATACTATATATTGCAACAACGGCAAACAACATATTGTGCTCTGCAGATGCTCCCATTTATTTGAATCTATTCGATGAATTCATTAGGTTTTAATTTAAGCATTTTATTAGATTTAAAATTTAAACAATAGAATCAAAGAGTATTTAAACTTCATTAGTATAATGATTAAATTATTCGGATGAAAATTCTAAAATTTCAGTAAAGTGAAAGTCAGAAAGATAAATATTTCCACTATGTTTTATAATCTTTCAAAAATTTTTTCTTTCCACGAAAATTTGAAAAGTGAAAAAGGAGCAGCAAAAGTATTTACCCATTATTACAAAAACACCTGTTTCCTATTGAATCGCTGCTCAACAGGTGACTTTTCCAATAAAAATGAGATATTTTTGTGTTTGTGAATTGCTGATGATGATAAAAGAAGACGGATAAATGAGTTAGAAATACCAATCATATAATGTGACCTGTCAACAAGAAATTTGATCTTTCTAACTTTTCACTGCACTACCATAAACCTGAAACTAAAATGGAATACCTATTGCTAAATAATTGTTAATTATTAGACAACAATTCGATGCTAATGGATCATTTCAATTTTTCTGAGAAGTTATATTGAATGAAATACATTTCAAATTAATGATAATATTTTTCGCTTTAAATCAATAATATATCTATTCTATATTATGCATAGATAAACATTCTTAAATTCAATCTGTCACAAAAAAAATTAAATTTAAACTATTTTTTTTTGAATGATAAAAAGCTGAAGATATTCTGAATAAAACAAAGAGAAAATTTTCATTTCAATTTTCAATTCAAATATAAAATTTGAATTATTATTACTATTTATGTGAGTAATAACTCATATCTAACTTATTTGTATTTATACGACACTTTCACTTTTCCATCAAAATTATACGACACTTTCATTTTTCCATCAAAATTATACGACACTTTCATTTTTCCATCAAAATTATACGACACTTTCATTTTTCCTTAAAATATATTTCAAAGAATAAAAAAGAGAAAACAAAATTGAGGAAGGAACAAAAAGATATGAGAAGTTTAAGATAGATAAAGATATCCGTGAAGAAGTTGTTGAAAAAATTCATTCATTCAGTAAGTGAGTCTCAAACACTCACAACACACAAATGTACACACACATACACACACACACACACACACACACACACACACACAAACACATACACAATATATCATATATATACAGATAGACAAAACCAGCATGTTATCTTCTTGTGTGCAGCTTTGTTCCCGAAAGCATCGAGGAAAAACATCTCTCTTTCATCCTCCCGGAATAAGTATGTATTTTAAAAATAATCAGTGTAAGCATAGGCAGCATATCTGGAATGCTTAGGCCTATGCAATGTAGCTGTTTTCGCTATTTACATTACAATAAGAAGAGGCCTGGTAAAAGATAATAAAAATACTTCAGTACAGTTCCACTTATATAATTCCACTTATATCGGAATGATTCATTTCACTATATTCATGCTTCATTTTATCCTGAATATTCGAGAAATGTGCAACCATTTCACCGATGTTTCTGATCATTACATTTATTGCTCTCATCATTGCTTATCTGCTTATGTTGTTTAATTCCGCCTGATCTATCATCATCTGATTTTCATCTAACATTTCTAATTTATTCATTGTAACAAAAAAATTAAAATTAAAAATAATCTAACGATGATCTCACACTGCATACTGTTCATTTATCATTTCCCTCTCATCATTGTTATTTCAGTCTAACTGATAATTAGTATTTAAAGCTATTTTAATTCCAATTCTATTCTTAAAGTGATAATTAGGAAAAGTAAGTTATTGACGCTTGAATTGAAGCTTAAACTATGCTTGTGTGCTTGTTATTCATTAATTTCGCATTATCATTAAAATATAGTAAGAATGAAGTTTTCGACTCAGTCGACAAAATTATTGACACAGGAATAAACTTGAAAATAAATTTGCGAAATGATTGAAGAAGAACTGCACCTTTCCTTCTTCTGGAATAAATTTTGACGAGCTCGGGAATGAAAAATGGAAATCAACGTAAAATTATTCACAGTGCTAGCAGTCAATCAGTAGACTTCCGGAAATACTACCATATCAATAAAGCATATTTGCAGTGAAATAATAGTAGTTATCCTGATGTTTATTGATGTTTCGTTCATTTCGGACATCATTTTCGATATATCTAAATAATAAATGATCAAATTTAGATTATCACATCATTGATACATCAGGTATCGAAAATTATTTTCAGAAGTCTGAAATACAATAATGACTACTACAACAGTGAAGTACCCAATAAAATGTATATTATGGTATTAGTTTGGAAAACTTAAAAGATGTAAATTAATTCCGCTGTAAAAATTACAACAATTAAGATAATAATTTAAATAGACTAATCGAATTTTCCATTTTTAATAGCAAATTATCCAACAAATATTTTGTTACAACAAAAAAAAAAACATATCCATCGGTGATAATTCTGCATTATCAACTAAATATTATACAGTCAATATTAGTTGTACCTTATCAATGATTACTTTAAAATTCCGATTTAAATTATATTCCAAATATATTTTTGTCAAAAAAATAATTAATTCCTGTTTATAATTTATTAGCAAATAAATGAGTACCAATAATTCTTGCAGAGAATAATCGTATTTTTGCATAATTTCTCTATTACTATAAAATGTATCAACTAGAACTATTGAAAACAACAATGCAATGAAAATGAGCATTTGTTAAGGTACCGTTGAAAACACATCAAATTTTGACAATGTCAAGATCGCCTATTTCGAATGCTATTTGAAGTGTTGCAGATAAGAAAAAAAGAAACGAAGAAGTTGACAATGAATTGAAAATGTGGGAAGTAACAATCAGACAAGAATATATATACTCTGTGAAATTTAAAAAACTTCGTGACAGTCGTAAGCATTATGCAAAAAATTGGATGAGTAATTTATTTACCATCTCCTATTAATCGCTGTTAATTTCATGTTCGCTAATTATTTCAACTAATGAAGCATTTTGCTTCATTTAGATCTTAAAATGATCAAATTTTCGAAAATTTGCCATTTAAATAAAATGAAAATCAAATTAATAATGGATAGAAAATTATTATCATTTCTATAAAAGTTTCGAATTAATCATTCCTTAATTATATAATATGCATTTCCAATCACTTTCCCATTCCTTATTATTTATTTGAAATATTCTACTGAATATGAATTAAGTTGTCAATTATAAGTGTAATAGAGAAAAACATATAGAGGAATGATAATCATCAATATCTCATCATTATAGGTGTAATAAGGGAAATATATAGAAGGATAATAATCATCGATATCTCATCATGAAATGCTGAAATTTTAAAAAAGGACTAATTTATGCCTATCATCTAATATGTGATTTTCAAATTTGCAAGAATTTGAAAGTACGAAAAATTACTTCGCATTATCCTATCACTTACAGAATAATGCGAAATAATTCATAGCTTTCGGACTATTTTAATTTTGCTTTCTATAAATCTAAATAATGAAATAATCATTAGATAGAAATTTGATTACTATATTTTAGTTTCATTAAAAAATAATTAAATATGTGAGAAAAGGATTGTAGTGAATTTTGGATTGGTAGGTAATAAATTAGCAACAAATATTTAGACGATTGATAATCATTGATATCTTATCATGAAATACTGAAATATCTTCTGCTGAAATGTTTCGAAATAAAATTAATTAATTTTTATGCTTTATCGATAGAGAAATGATATTATTCAGGTTATAGAACCTAAATAAAACCTTCAAGATTATCAAATGTAATAATAAAATGAATTTCATTCATGACTTCCAAATAGATTAAACAAAGGTTAAAATGAGTCACAAATAATATCTGGGACGATCATGACATTTTGGTGAAATAAAAATTAAATCTCAAATTATCATGTTAAAATTAATCTTTCTAGGCACTCGAATTCTACGATGACTAAAGGGTTACTAATTTATCACGCAGAAGATAAGATGACAGTTGTAGCGCTATGAAATATTCATGCAATTTATTATAATGCATGTATAACTCCTAAATTACGGATGTGCATGTTATGGTTGAGCATCAAAGCATCTCAACCACTTCATAGTCAAACTTAAATTCTAATTTGTTTGAACTAAATCTTAATGAACTTAACAAATATAAATTCCGATGAAAAGTGCTAATAACAATTAAGGCTTCGGAGATCTTAGTAGGAGGCTATTTCTTTCCACTAAAAAATAAATTTGGTTTTGTAGAATAATATGAAATTAATTTATTTGTTGCATTTCACAAATTGACGCAAGAAATGGCTCAATTAAGTTCATCGAATTTGAATTCTCACGGAGAAAGATCATTTCCAATCCATCGATACCATTCATCATTCAAATTTGATGTTAAATAATTGGGAAACAAAAACTGGATTACTATCTTTTGGATTAAAAATCTAATCTAACTAGATTATATCGCAAAATCCAACTATAAAAATGATCAACCTATTAGCTATTTTCCAACTGCTAGCTAATCATCTGTTGATGTTAAACTGGTTGTTGATTAGAAATTAGAAGATTGCTGATAAATTTTTTTTAATGGTTGTTTGTTCAAGATATTAATATCAGATAAAACATCGTATTTAACTTTAATTTTTGAATGTGACAGCTTGCAGAATTAATGCGTAATTTGATCTCAAAACAGATTCATTCATCTCACCGCTCATTAACTTTGATCATTCACGTCGAAATTTGTCTACCATCGAAACTGCAATCCAATCTTCTTCACCCAAAATGGAATATTCGAATGAACCGATCGTGAACATTAAGATTTAGAAAAGGTAATAATGATCAGGTATTTCATACAAATACACGTTATACTTTAAAATAGCTTTATCGATTGATTTTTTTAAATATGCGATGCAAAATTTAGAAAAAAGAAAATTCAACGATTGATGTTTAAGCTTTGATTGAGCTATTCCTCTAGAAGCTCTTTTATTTGTTGTTATTCAATAACTATATGAGTAGCAAATGATAAATGATAAGTAGAAAATATCCTTATGGAATAAGTATAGAAGTTGAAAATAAAACAATGCCGATAAGCAACAACTACAGCAATTTATCTTTGATCAACACAGATGTCAGAGAGGGATAAACAGATGACGGATAACTAAGAATGATACGTATTGAAATGAAAAAGAGAGGGAGAGATGGTGAAGAATTCAATATGAGAACAATTGGTTAGAAGCATGGCCTAAAATTCATTTGTTATGTTGAAAACAAAGCAATTCATAGGATATGCTTGATTTGTTTCATTGGTAGCATTTCATTAAAAAAATTAAAAAAAAAAGAATTGTAAGAATTTTTAAATATCCGTTTCATTTTTGCCGACAATACACAATTTCAATGATATGAAAAAAGATTGAGAAATGAGATGAGAATCAGTAAATGAAAGATGAGTTGGTATATATGTCTTTAAATATCATACCTTCTAAGGAATCACATAAGGAATTCAACTCTTTATTTCATAAGTTCAAATTTACATACTGCTTGTTTTAGCAATTCAAGATTTTCAACAAGCCTATTAAATTTATGACAGAAATGCAATCAAGCAAGTAAACAAACAATCAATATGAAAGCTGAGTTAGCAACCGAATCAATTTCTCAAGGAGTTCACTGAATGAAATAAGCCAACTTTTATAAATCAATCAATTAATTATTCAATAATCATCAGCAAGAAGATAAGTTCATATCACTAGTAGCGAAATTCCATGCGAACATTCTAGCATGATTATGGGAAAAGTGGAATCACTAAGTTAATCCTCCATAACAGCAAAAAAAATGAAGCAATCAATAACCAACTCCACGACGACCGGCATATCAAATCAGATTACTTATTTTTACCACAGTTGTAGTAATTAGGATGCATTTATCCTTAAGCATAAAATATATAATAATCTGGATGATCAGAAGATCTAACACAATCTTAGCTGACTTTTTCCTAATCCTTGCAACTGTAGCTCCCCAACATCAATTTTCTTGCAGTCTCAAAATTTAATTACTTGATTTTTCTGTGATATATTGGAAATCCGAATCCTTGACATAATTTCTTTATACATAGTTTACCCAGGCGAGAGAACACAGAAGTACAAAATTTCGAATGTCTGATGCAGAAATAAAATTACAAAACATGAAATTACAAACAAAAAGTGAAAATTATGGTAATCCATTTCACATTAAATTTCGAAGCTTTGTGATCGCAGAAAGGAAATGAATGGGAATATAATTATTCCGGCAATATAAAAAGCAAAGCTTTCTTTGTTGACGCATGTTAAAATTGGATTTTCCTATTCATTTATGCGAACTTCATTGAAAACTTCTTCGATCATTCTATAAACACTGCTTTGGATTATGCCTACATTGAAATAAATTCAAATTAGTAGACTTCTACACTTACATGTATTTATTTTGCCAATTGTTTTTGGTTCCTTTTTCAAGACGACATTTTTACCATAGTAAAAAAAATTTGATATAAATATCGTACAGAAATTTAGAACACTTTCCACGCATTATATACCGGGACAACTTAATGCTAAATAATTAATTTCAACATAAACAGAGTTTCTGTTACGCCAATAGCAACATCCGGGATCTAATTGCCTGAATTGTAACTCAGAAGTTGGTGAATTTCTATAGTGAAACACATGAAAATAATGAAATAAATATTCCTAATATTAGCAAACAGATAACATGGTGATAAAAAACTTTCCGACCTAAAACATTCTTAACGCTATTGCTAATATTTTCACGTGAAGACATGAGCGAATGACAGAAACTGCAAAAAATGTTTTTTTTTTGGAAAAAAATAGAGACCTAAAGATCGAGTAAAGTGTGAACAAAAAATTCCAATAGGAAATTGAACTTATCAGTCAAAAAAAATAGATGAAGAAAATGATTGCTGCCTATATTTTAAGTATGCTTATATTTTTGTTTTAGTAAAGAATGAGCTATATTCTCAGCCATGTCAAAAGCGTTATCACTGGATTTTTTATCAGGACGTGCTGTTTTCCAATTCTTTATGCCCTGTAGAAGGATCTCTTCCAAGCTGAGACTATCCAAGTATGCCATCTAAACCAACAAAATTTAGAAATAATTGTAATAATCAATTTATAAAAATAATTGATTTGTAAATAATATACATAAACAAGATTTATGTTCCCAACCTTTCGCTTCCAGAAAATTTCATCTTGAATAATAAAAATTTCATCTTAAACAAAAAAATTTCATCTTAAATTTTTTAGAACACGAATACCATTCATGTAAACTTGGCCACAGAAGCTTTGTTTTTATTTACATCTGAAACAAACCGTTCCGCGCACATAATACGCTGCTCGATTTAGATGAATTGGATCTATGGATCGTTGCATGTAAAGATTGCGCCATAAGGCACCAGCTAGTGCAGTATCATCGGATAGAAATCCCTGAATTACTCAATTATTTACACATACAAAAAGAAAAACAAAATTTACAAATCCCAAAATACTTATATCAATAAATTGTGAATATAGTAAATTTAAAAAATGTATTAACCTCATCATATTCGAAAAATGTTTGCAAATACAAACCGGCCATACGACGTTTGTCCTTTTTATGGTACAACATTTCGTCCAACTCTTCCTGCAAAAATTACGTAGGTGTCCAAAAGTTTCAGTAGAGTGAAGATTAAAAAATGCCTGTTGAATAAAGCCTTCTCTGTTCAGAATTATGAAAAATACCGAAACGACTCTTAGACGGTTATCAATGTCACCAAACATAATTTCGATAACGCTATTTCTAATTCTGGTAAAAGCTGCTGCTTCTAACACAGACTGTAAGCGAACAAGCAACATCCTGTAAATTATCAGCCAATCAAGAGAATGAAAAAACTGTGTTAAATAAAAAAAGCTAAAATTAAATAAAAAAATTTTAAATAAAGAAATTTTTAAATAAAAAGATACAGAAATAAAATATGGAAAGTAAGCAGATAAAAGTTCAGTTACACAAATAAATGAAAACAAAAAATAGACTAACCAGGTATGCATTAGGGTGAGCTTGTACCATGTTGAAAGATAGTCTGGCAAGCAAAGCGCTGCAACAAAACAAGCAATTTAGACAAAAATAACATCCGCTAACTCTCATCCTAAAAGGAAATCAAAAAATAGAGACTCTGCAAAATGAATTTGAAAACTTCACCGAATTTAAAAGCGTATAAACTTACCGGTACAAAGCTTCAAATATGGAAATCGATTAGCACAATCAAAATACAACTGGGCAGCAGAATGGTCCAAGTTCTAAAACTTGCAGTACCTGACAATACTCAATAATATATAGAAGACAAAAACTGTAAAAAAAGACAAATTGTGTCTCGTTCTAAGTAAATGACCATTAATTAGAGCAAAATATGATACAATTTTTTTAAGAACACGTAGATCGCCATGATTTAGTAACTCGACAGAAACACAATCGTAGAACAATGTTCAAATGAAGGCCGGTGGAGGGAAAGGAAGTTAGAAGCCAACTTTTAGGATAGTCATTTCACTTCATCTGCTAAAAAGTTTCACATCTGCCAAAAATAGTTCGATTTCTCTTCCTTATTTTTTTTAATACTAAATGGTTATCTTAACTGACACATCAAGTTTCATTGCGAAAAAGAGTCGAAATTAAATCTAATCCTTATTTGACAATTTCCAAACACAAATTTTCGATTATACTTATATGTGGCATAAATAAAAAATTACTGCCAGCATTTCTTTCGTATATGTAACTTGATCTTCAGGTCGTACTGATCGTGCCTTCCTGAGTTCCATCTTTAATTTCCATTTTTCATTGAATTTCTTGAAAAAGTTTTCATGCTCTGTTCGCTCATCAAATTGCTGTAACGCCTCTTGTATCTTTTTGATGCGTAACTGGTATAAAATAGTTGCTTCAGCGAGAGTTTTTGGATCTGTGTTACTCAAATCGATTAACTCTTCTGATTCATTTTCCTACAATAAATATAGAATCGATAAATATTGTGCAAATGTGAGCGTTTATATTTCAGAAAAGCCATAAAAAATAATTGTATCAGAATGGTGTTCATAGACTGCCAGAGCTTAGCTAAAGGCGCATTTATTTAAAACGTTTCGCTGCAGAAACAATTATTCCAAAGATTACTGTAATAGTACAATTAAAATGTGCTGTTTGCCCTATGAAAAATCACTATCATCTGATAAAGATACGAATAAAGAAATAATCCTAATTACTTTAAGGGCGGAGGATGTTTCTGGCTCACTTGGCGTCTGCTGTTCAAATAACTCGTCCCACACAATCTTTTTACGAACCTTGAAAAGTGGTTCACTAGAACACCGCCTGCTGGACATCTGAAAAACGGTTCATACACAAAACAAAGCATTCTTCTTACAAAGAAAAGTTAAGAAATGAATTTTCATTATGAAATTTTAAATTATGATTATGCAGTCCGATAGTTTGATTTCCCAACAGAAGAGAAGAGATAAATAAAAATAGAAGAACATATTAAGGACGGTTAAAGAAATCATTTTCTTCCAAGTTCAAGAAAATTTTAATGATATCAAATCAAATGTAACAGAAGGAAGTTGTGAGAGAGAGAGGATAGAATGAAGTAAGAGCTTGAAACAGTTACTTGGGAATTTCCATACAAGGAACCTACCCACAGTGAATTCCATGAATACCTGCTTCCATTAGCTGAATGGAACCCCACTTCCGAAAATATGGCTGGTGAAATGCATTTCCATAGCACATGCGTTTTTCGAATCATCGTAAAGGCACTATGTGTAACTATTTGCAACGTGTGCAATTATTTATAATTTATCTTCTAGCAGAAGCATTTGCAAATTCTTCCTGAAAAAAAGTATCAGAAACCAGTGCAATCCAAAATCCATCTTAAAATAGAGACCAAAATCTTTGGCAAACAAAATTTTACAAAACAGAAATGTGGTTCCAACTTTGAAAAGGTAATTTTGAAAAGGAGGAAAAATCTGCATTTCAAATCCTTTAAAAATTACAAACTAAATGCCTCTTTGTGTCGTATATCTTGCCAATTTCGCTCACCAAAGTTTTTTAGCCGTTCTCATCTTCCGGTTCCAGCTACCGCTATTTCAATTCATATGCCTCTCCTCAAATTATTTTACTCCCAATCAAAGTAAATTCTAATCCTCTCTCCGCTATAAACGCCATACCATTTCCTCCACCCGCCAGCAATATACCTTTCCCCCCTCCCCCGACCATTTCTCAATTCCGATCTTTCCATTTCATTTTTATATCACATTGAAGTGGTCCGCATGAAAACCATCCTTCTAACTTCAGCAGTGATTGGAGATAGTAAGAAATTTCGGAAAGTCGGTAAAAGATATTGGGAGTAGTAACTCGTTCAACTTCGAAGAATATATTTTTTTTCATGCCTATGATGACCTGTTCTATAATTAATTTGACTTAATGAAAGAGGGATAAAATACCGTTTGTGATACAATAACAGAAAATCAAAATAATACAATCGCTTTTCGTTGTAATTACATTATACCTCATATTTCATTAAAAATTCTATTATATCATGTTTTTTTTGTCGGAGGAATATTTTATTAAAATTTTAATAGATTGGAAGCACATATAAAATGTGTAAGTAAAAGAGCGTACATATATCATATTAAGCAACCTATAATGCGGAAATAGTGGAAATAAACAAACAATGAAAATACAATAAACAATCAGCGATATAGTCCGCTTCATTAACCCGTATCATTCACAGTATCATTTACGTACAAACAATTACTCCAAAATAGCAAATTTTATTGCTATTCACTCCAAAATAATCACTACGATGAATAATATAAACAATATTTGCTATCTGTCATAATCTGAAAATTTGCTTAGAATTTAATCTTAAAATGGAAAGGTAATCATTTTCACCTATTCAGAATATCATAAATTCTGTAAAATGATGCAAAGGATAAGGAGCAATCCTTGTAAAACATTACTTACTTATTTTTCATCAAATAGTTTTAAAATAAATAATTGCTGTTGCAATCTATCAAGCAAACATTAATCGTTTAAACTTTATTTTACATCGATGAAAAGTTTTATATTGTTTATTATTTTGTGATTTGCCTTTTGTTTTAAATCTTCTACTTCATTTAATTCTTAATTTCGACTACTATTTGTTGTCAGACGTTATTTTTTCTTGACAGACCATTTTTTCACATTATCTTTTTCACGTCAGTTCTTACGTCATTTTTTTCAATCTTTTATAATAGGTGGAGATCATGAGCCTTCACTGGATGTATTGACATTCATTCCAGTTTGCATTGTTTGATTCAAGCTCATCATTTCATTATCCAAAGTTATCTCCGAATCGCGATATCCTCGTGATCGTCTGTTACAGGCACATGTATAGCTGTAAGTTGATAGTATATAAAATAAAATAAAAACGATAAGTTATCAATGAGTAAAGATTTTTTGGCAATATAAAAGGTGTAAAAATTAAACAATAAATTAAGAATGCTTGCTAAGTTAATATCGGCTAATAATTTGATTCAGTTTAATTAATATATTCGATATTTGATAAGTATAAAATACCTCAAATCAGTTTGATCATTACGATAACTATATGATGAACGATTTCGATTAGGAATGCTGAATAAAAATCGTTTCAATGTTACTCGATATGGTGCATATATTAGTCCAGTTATCAAAGGATTGATTATCTGAAAAATTATGAAATAAAATTAAATGATAAAATTTAGTGCTACAGTGATTTCCTTAGCAAAATAGAATGATGAAATTTAAAATAGAATAACATCATATCATTAAGTAACAAAAGTTGCGAATGTAATAACTCTAATCTAATCTTCGTTCTAAGTTTGGTAGTGACGAAAGAGTGCTAACCGGATTCAAGAAAAGTAGATAGAGTAGCACGTGAGCAAGCCAATTCATTTTAGACTGTGTATCGCAATCTAATGTATTCCATTCTAATAAATGCATTCGACAAATATTGAAAATGCGATACGGTAATAAGCTGAATGATGTCCACAATGTTGTAGCAAAAATAAACACCAGTGATTTCATCTGCACTTAACATCTTTGTTTCAATCAATAGAAGTTACCTATTTTACTGTTTTGTTCTGTTGAATTCTTTAAGAAATAAAAAACCGAGAGAAGAAATATAATTCGCTGATTTGCAGAAGGAAAAAGTGTACTGATGAAGTGACGAGGAAAATAAACTATGAACTCTCGATATTTTGTTCCTTGACTCAGACTAAATATCAGAGTCAACTTCTTTCCTTGAAAGAATAAAATGAAATAAACGTGTGTTCATTTGTAGTAAATAAAATAAGCGCTTTCTTGTCTTGAAAAGAAAACATGAAAATTCAAAAAGTAAGCTTAGTTCAAAAAGCTTCACAATAAGGATCTAATTAGATCATTAAGAGATTGTTGATACGAGGTTGATTTTATTTTTATTTTGGAAAGTGTAAATAAGCTTACTTTACTTTTAAACTTTTGTGATTGTCCCATAGAAACTCCATTATGACGTTTTTCATGAGTAAGTTGATATAAATAACCACTAAGAATTAGAGATGAGGTTACTGGCAATACACAATAAGTTACCATAAATATGTCGTAAAAATACATCTGATCACCAGTCATCTGTAATAAATTTTTAATTTCCACTAATTTTATGTACTTTTTATTGTTTTAAAGAAAAATCAAATGTTAAATTAATTTTCGAAATATTTTTTAAAAAATATCAAAAGCAAATTTGAGTAAATATTTGAAAATATTAGTTGAGCATAGATGACCTTTCAGTAAAACGCTATTTGCGCTTATATTAAGTATAAGATTATATATATATAAGATGTTATCAACAGCATCATCTCATAGATGAGGATGATAGAGTTTTAGGTATTATATGTAGGAATAGGAAATGATCTCTATTAAAAAATTTACAACAATCAGTAAGAATTTATCAGAGAAAGTATTGATCAAAAAGATAGCGAATAATTTTGTGGAAATTAAATTGATAACAATAATAATGTATCTTGTAAATATTTACTTGTAAATTGCAGTTTTTACCGATGTAAACAACATTGAACATCCAAACCCATGTCACATATCTGAAATATTATTTACGACTGAAATATTATTTACAAAATATTTTTTGCTTACTGAAATATTGTTTATTTATTTATGAAATAATTATAACAATATGGAAATGCATTGCATGTCGTGTAATTTTGCAGAATTAAAAACAGTTTATTATGATTTCAAATTATTTGTGAGTTATAAATTTGTGAGTTAGCATTTCGAGAAAATTTATTAAAAATGATTTTGAATTTAAAGATGAAGTTATTCTTATAGGAATTAAAATTTCATTGGAAGATAAGAAGAAGAAGAAGAAGAAGAAGAAGAAGCTAAACTTGCCCGACTGAAATGCTCCAAATAAATGCGCATAAAATAGAAGCCCTTTTTTTTGACATTGTACGATCGTAGCTTAATGGCCATTGAAAATAAATGAGCTTGTCAAGATTGAGCATTGTTAGTGATAAGCCTGATACTGCTAAGCCTAACCAATTGCAAAAATGAGTTATTGCACATAGAAGCGCATGTCGCAGAAATTCATGTTTACGAATCAGGAATTCATTTGGATGACAAAATACTAAAAATTAAATTTGATTTTAATTAATCCAATTGCATTTTAAATCTTTTATAGGATTTTAATGTTTAGCTCATAAATTAAAATTATAATGAGCTGTAACGAGTGGATCATTAAAAGTACTTCAAAGTTTTTAAGCGTATCGATTTTTTTCTTGTTAGCCATAGCAAAAAAGAAATTAAAGACACATTAAAATTTCAACAGGTGACATAAGATATTATTTACTTTTACTCCTTCACAAGCACGTTAAATTCTCAGGTATTCTCAGGTTTTTCTACACTCAAATCATTCAATTTTTATCTCTCACAAAATATACAATGTAATTTATTTCGAATGTATTTTATTAACTAAAACATTTCATTACAACAACAGTGAAATGGTAATAATAGAATTTTAGCTTTTTTTTAATTCCCAAATTTTTGAATTTCTATCTAAAATAATTTCAAATTTTCATTTCAAATTCTTATCTCAAAATGCCAATACTGAAACATACTTAGTCAGTCATTATTAGCCAAATCGAATTAATCACCTGTAAGTAATAAGTCACCAACGGTCATACTAATAATAAATATATGCATCGTATCGCCACTTCGTCGAAGTAATTTTATAGCACAAAAAATTACCAAAACATTGAAAACAGTTGCTGCAACACTTGCTGCTAATAACAAATCATCTACCTATAAATATTAATTATGCAAAAGATTTCGTTCTATAAGATAAAAGTTAGATTTTTTGTTAATCGATTTAGAATGAAATGTCACAGTTCTATTAGAATCTTTCCTCAAATCTATCAGTAAATTTTCACTTTGATTAGCACATATAGCTAACATTTAAAAAATTAATGATATCAGATCAAGCATTTGATAACATATCATAGCTGCTTTTATCAAGCGAAGAGCATCAAAGGAAAAGTGAGTGGTAAAATTTCGATAAGGTATCAACAATTTTGCCATATGATGCAAGAAAGCTATCATTGCAACAACAAAGAAAAATCTCATAATGTTGAAAAGAATTTTAAACTTGCCGTTTTCTGAAATGTTTGAAAATTAACGGATTCATAGCATTTCATTTGAATTGAATTATCCGCCTGTATGATGTCCATATCATTCGTGCCATTTCCAAAATTACCAAATATTTCTTTGTCACTTATTTTCATCATCAATCCTTCCTGAATCCTCATTTCTTCCAAAACATGTTGTAATAGTTACATATCGAAATGTATTCGAATTTCTTCAATATGGCGCAATAATTTTTAAATAAAAGTTATCATCGCGAAGCAGTTTGAAATGAATAATTGAATAATTGAATAATCTGCCAAAATGAAAATAATTTATTTAATAGTACTATGAATATAGAATGAAAAAAAAATATATAAGATAATAAAAATTTATTCAAATCTTTCGTCATTAACAACTTTTAATTAGGATTAGCAACAAAACAAAGTTAAAGTTTATTCGCAGCAAAAATACAAAATGTCTAAAACTGGCAAAATTGCACAAAAGTTATCAGAATGACCATTTCCAGGAAAAAAATCATCCATTATTCTTTTTGGTATTTCATTTCTTTTTCCAATGAATTAACGATGATTGACAGGTAGAATAAATGAAGTACAACATCATAGAAACCAGTTTGAAAGGTAATTTCATCAATAGAAGAAAACAGTGAAAAAAAAATATGAACGGTGACAAGGTCGAAAGTATAGAATAAAAAAAGTTGCTGTGTTCAAATCCTTTCTAGAAACTTTATCAAACTTTCCCACTTTCTTCTTTTTCAATGACAATTACCGACGTGTATCATATCATTTCATCATCAAATTTCCGATGATAAATATGACACAAAATTCTATTCTGCAAAAATAACATAACACCGAAAAATTTGTATTTATAAAAGAAAAAGGTTTCGAAACGGAAAGTGAGCAATATTTAAGACTCATTTAAATTCTTTGATTTTATGTCGTAATTTTGCAACACGAATTCATTCATCGATGACATAATGAAATGATCGGTACCGATCAACTAATTTCTCCGTATGAAGAAATTTGATATAACTTTGTTAGATCAAATTTCAATTCCAATTTGTAGTTTTTAATCTTTTCGATATTCTTATCAAAAAAACGAGATTTAAAAGATTAAAATAAGACTGTGGAATGATATCAAAGCTGCCAGACGCTGTGAAATAATATCAAAGCTGCCAGACGCTCAAATTTTTGATGACAATTAATTAAGGCGCCTATTCAATGTTTCCAATTCCATAGCAAATATCAATAGCGAAATATACCGTATTGTTGAGAAAAGAAAAAGACTAATTTACAGGAAAAAATTATGCATTTATTTACCTGAAAACGAATAAAATTGCAAATTAACCGGATATTGCAAAAATTCAATCTTTGCAGGCATGTTTATGCTCGTATGCGTAAAGATGTTCACGTACGTACGTCTAAATATATATTGTACGTATTCGTATAAGTTAGCTAATTATCTGTATATAATTTTGAATGTAATATTTTTAATGATTTATATGAATGATTATAATTATGGTGCGTAGAATAAAAAAGTAAATTAGGAATAAAATTTATCGATTAATTAAGAATGATAAATGAATTCAAAAATTAATTATTTTTTGGCGAATTAAATTTTCAATGCATTTGTATAGATAAGTAAACAAATAGATGCATAATTTAAATATCGCATAATTATATAAAATAGGAAGGCATAATAAAAAATGAAAAACGATTCGATCGTTTTTGTTATTCTTCAAGTCAGTGCGCTCATCTCTCTATTTGATAACATTTTGAGATATACATCGATCGCTGATACATAATGTCTGAAAGTAAAAATGATTGAGTGAGAGAAATTGACTAAAACATTAACAATTATTAAATCCCCTAGGAAAAGTATTAATTATTAGTAAAGAGAATGAATGATAGGAAGATATTGGGTGTTTGTTGCTAAAGTGTAACAACTTTAAAGTATGTCTGTGTGTAAACAAGCATATGGTTTTTAATTTTGTAGCATTCGTTTTCCTAAAATCTCTTAATGAGATTTCTTTTGCAGCAATATTTATTACCTTAAATAGGCTTTTAAAATTTTTTTGCTTCTTCTATTCTTTCCTTTAGAATTCATTTATTGCTAGAATTAATTTATCCTAAAATTATTCCCTAAAATTAAATACTTTCTTTTATCAATTTGTCAAAAATTATTTCATCACTTTTAAAAAGATTGCAACAATGGATTATTGCATTATTTTAAATGATAATAATTGATGTGACAGTTTTATAACACTTATTGCTCTCAATGATAACAATCAATCATTTTATTATCATTCTTAATGAGTGTTAATATCAATGATTTATGCTTGCTGAGAGATAGAGAGAAAGAAAGAGAGAGGAAAGAGAGAAGACATTGACAGTGAAAATATTCAATCATAAATATTCTCTAAGATACGATGATATTACGCTAATTATAGAAAAATGCAAAAACGAAGCTCATAAACATGTGTTCTCCAGACATGTTTCAAAAGTTATTTTTGAAAATTTCAAAAGTTTCAAAATTAGTTTTAAAAGCGAGTGAATTAACAGTTCAGAAATTTTTCAACAGCCAGAAGATGTCAGCTGTTGAATTGGTCAAGAAATTTCGAAATTTAATAGACTAAAGGTATAGGTTGGTTGATAAAGGTAAGATACAGCGTAATTCATCACAGTACAAATATTCTTCAAGTTTACAGTTATTGCCATTTCATTGAAAGCTTTTAGTAAATTATAATGAGAGAAAAAGTAATTTAATTTTAATTCATTACTTTTTTTGAACTTGTGAACTGTTTTTTGAACTTGACATTGGATGGACAAGAAAGACCAATGAGAAATGGCCTAGACTAATATATATGGGGTATATCACAAATTGCATTATTCTTACTTAAAATTACTAGAATTTTCTTCGGTAAAATCACGATGAACTATTAGATTGAAATACGATCTGATTGTATGTTAATCGTTCATTTCGGCAGCGATTGCGTCGGTTATATGATTGTAACCGATTGAAATTTAGGATAAAATTGTTTATTTACATTAGAGAGCAAAGAATTCGATGAACGGCGCAAAATGTGGATTAATTTTAAGAATGAAATAGGAGACCGTAAAGATAATAAAAGTTAAGAGAAAGAATTACATCTAATTTACAATATTTTCCGATATATCAACCAGCTGATAATTGCAACAAATTTGATATTATTAGATAATAAATCCTCAAATTTTTTGATGTAGAAAGAATCTAAATTGATCTGTATATTAGAACTATCGCACAATTTACCCATAAACAATAAAACAGTTAATTAATTTTGAAATTTTCGAAATTAAACTTTTGTAAAGTTGTCAAATCGAAGTTTTGTTTTATTGCCACCTTTCCACTCTTTTTTGCTCATTTAGTTGCAGTAATTACGCAACAATATTTCATAGAAATTATTACATTGTTGAAATTTTCACAGAATTAAAAATTTAGCAACAATCGTTTACTTCAAAAATAAATCTAATAGAAAAACGAACTTTCAAAAATTTGGCCTTCAAGGAATTTGCAGGAAGAAAAGTTTCCATACTTGATTACATTCTTGTATATTTCTTTCAACTGTTGAAATTTTTCGCTTTACAAATTTCTTGAAGATTAAACTATTGAAATTTGCTTTTTCCATAAATCTTTTGAAGCATGGAACTATCGTTAAATTTTTAACTCTATGAAGATATGAGTAAATGTAATAATTATGCAGAACATAATTGAAAATATTCATTCATTCATTCAACCTAAAAACTTGCCCGTATAAATAATTAATGACTGAAAATGAATTTTCAAATTTTCAACGAAAAATATTAGCCATAAATAGAAGTATTTTTGATGACGCGCATCTAAAATTATTGGTCTCTTCGTACCAGTCCTCGTAACTCAACTTGTTTTCACTTTAAATTGTCTGTTTTATTTTTTTATCGTTGAAAAAATTTTACAACAAATTTTACTGAGAAAAAAAATCGATTAATACATCCTCACAATGTTTCAATAATTTGAATTTCTTTTAATGTTTAGTTATGAAATTATTATTCATTGATATGATGATATGATGAAATGTACTTAAGCGATATGATCTGATGATACGATCAAATTAAATTTATTTAATTAGCACACTTATTACAATCGATTATTAAATATAATTGCTCAGTTAAAAATTGCATTCTCTCAATTCATATACTTTAATAGAATTAATCCTGAAATGGAATTATTTTATATCATTCTATTCTGAAAGAATTATTATTTGAAATTAAAACAGTAGATGAAATAATTAATGAAAAGCAATATGCTTAATTCTTTCTTACATAAAATTTATTTCCATATTGAATTATAATTTCATTACTGCTAATGACTTAAGATATTTTAATTAGTAATAGAAATTTTAAATAAAAATGCGATATATTATATATGTGAATAAATTATAATTTTTTAAAATTAACATCACTAATTTCTATTACTAATTTGTGATAATAATGATAATATCTAACAAAAATTCTCAAAATGTTTATCATTTGTAAAATAAACAAAGAATAGAAATAATTTAATTATATATTTTAAACTATTCAAATAAATAACAGGAATGATTCACACGTCAAAAATGTTTTTTCCTAAAATCGATGATTAGATAAAAACAAAAAGTAAACATCTTCAAAATCTCTCCTATTGAGATAAACCGCAATTAGTCAATTGAGTGAAAGTTAACATTCCCTTTCTAATAAACAAATCACTTCTGAAATTTGAAATTTATGGCTTTCTGAAAGAAGCTATATGTTTATGCTAAAGTTTTCAGCAATAATTTTAAAGACGAAATTTTTGAGAAGAAATTAGCGAAGATTTAAAGAGCGATAAGAGGCGCATAAAACAATATATAATCCAGTATCACTCTTCATAAAATTAATGCCAATTTTCTTCCATTGAATTGAAACAATTTCTATTTATTCCTTTCTATTAAATTAACTTCATTTAATTATTATAACAATTAATCCAATTATTTTATTCATTAAACTATTAAGTTAATAAATTAAACTTGAAAATGAACGGAAAATGCTTCATCTCATTTTCCTATATAACATTTTCCTATATAATTATAATCCAATAAAGTTTAATAGAAATAAATCGAATAGGAATTGTTTAATCGATAAGAAAAATTAGACAGGTAAATATTGCAATGAAATAATTACTAAAATATCCAAATTATATTATATGATATTGAACTTATTTTCAATAAAGAATTCGGGCAATAATTAATTTAATAAAATTGATTTTTTCATTTTCATAAGTATTACTTCCTTTTATGAAACAAATTATTACGATTATTATTGATAATAATGATAATAGTAATAATAATTATTATTAATTAATATTATTATTGACTATTATTATTGTTATCTTTCTCGCAATCTAACTATAAATAATTTATCTTCTCAATTTAAGTGATTAGTTGGATACATTTTAAAATCATATTATGCTATACTATAAAATTTTTCCCCAATATTTCACTCAAGAGAATTAATTGATTTGATTTTCGATGATAATTCAGGCAAGAATTTTTGTGTCAAGAAATTTAAAATCATATTAATCCATGAGTATAAAATAAAGACAAAAAATTAAATCAAAAAAGGAAATCGAAAGAAATAAATTAAAAGAACAATGGAAATATCAATTTAAAGATCAAAAACAAAAACAAAAACAAATCGTATAATATATTTTATTACAATTTATCACAACTTTATCACAATTATCACAATTATCAAATTATCAAATTATCACAATTTATCACAATTTTATCACAATTCAAATATATTAAATTTATTACTTAAATTATTGCAATTAGACTAATATTATTACTATAATTATACTTAAATTTTAATTTTTACCTTTTCTATTCACAAAATTTCATTCTTTTTGTTAATTAAATTAAAACAAAAAAAGGCAAATTCAAAAATTAAATGAAAATTAAAATTTGAACAGGTAATTTTACAATTTTTTCACAGTCCATTAACAGTCGACTTTAATTAATAACAAAATATCTTATTAAAAGGAATAGCGATATTTTGATCGGAAGAAATCTCTACTAATTACATTCTTAAAATTGTTTACAAACATTGGGCATAAACAAATTTTGATCATTTCTCTTTCACATTCTTCTTAATTAGTAACAAGTTTTTAGTGACAGTAAGCTTTCTTCAACAATTTAAGATTTTGAAATTTTTTTTAAATTAATTAAATTTATAAAGGAAAAAAATATTTTGGCAATATTTGATGATTAGAATTAATTAATTCGATGATATTTGCATTAAAATTAAATTCAATTATTTGTCAATTAATTTTACAATAATTTTTTGTTTAAATTATTTGCAATGTTGGAAGATTGAAGAAATTTAGATGGAATCCACGGATGAAATTCTTCGCATTGTTATTACCACCAAAGCAAAAAATAATATTTAAAGTAAACAGGCGCAGCTGCAATGTATAAATAAATAATCAGTGATTTTATCATTGTGTGATACCTTCTTAAATTAACGCAATGATTAAAATCTATGTAAGAGAGAGAGAGAGAGAGAGAGAGAGAGTAAATTCATCATTGAAATTAAAGAATAAAATTTCAACAGGAATTTTCATTTACAGTTTAAATTTGTCATTTGTTTAAAGAAAGTATTATACTGTTTTTTCGTTTAATGGAAGAAAGTACATAATATTTTTAAGAACACTTCTTCTAATTATGAGTTTACCTGGAAATTGTTGACAAATAGCAAATGAAATGAATAATTTGTAATTAATAGCAATAAAATGTGAGGGACTAATTTTTGCAATGATTTTACTAATTTTTGTTATCAATTAGTTTAACAAATTTAGCATGAAAATGAAATTCTAATTAAATGTATACTAAATTATTCTATTGTTTACCTGAGAGATATTAATTAATTTTTGATGAAAAAAAGATAGCGTAAGTTGGAATAATCAATAATTTTCTTTAAACAAAAAACGAAGAATCAAAAGTATGAGAATATGAATTTGTGAAGATGAACGATGCTTACAATGAAAATAAAATATTTGTGGCAGTTTCACATTTTATAAACATTACCTCAATTGTATTGTATATATGTGTGCGTGTGTCATTTATCAAACAAAAATTGCCAGTTGTTTATTTTATAAATTCATTAACTAACTAAATTTACCTTATCATATCATTTATTATAATCAAATAATTTGCGCATTCTTCTATTAGCTGATTAAACATTTGAGAGAAAATAGAAAATATAACTTTATTTTTGCGCCAAAGATCAAAGAAATGATAGTTCCAAAAAAAGAAATATTTAAACAATTGTTATTAATTATAAAAGTGATAAAATGAATTTAAAGGAAATTATAAAATTATCGAATTGCACGCAGAATGCATTAATTATAATTTATAATTAATAAAAAGCTAATGAATAATTCTGAAACATTCGTTAGTTATATTAGTCAAAAGACAAATTACTTCATTATTATTTTCATAGTTAAGAGGTTGTCAATTAAATTTACTATAAAAATATAACTAATGGTATGAGTTATTGATGTCTAATTAATTCTCTAATATATTGATAATCTATAAAGATTTTATTATAATCTATAGTTAATACCTATAACCGATAACCTATAACCTATAATTCTATTATGTGATCTATCTAATAAATCGTGCGTTTACTACAGAATTATAGCCTATTGGTATGAGTCACTTATGTCTAATTGATTCTCTAATATACTAATAACCTGTTAATAATGATTCTATTATAACCGATTGCTATAACCTATAATCGATAACCTATAACCAATGATTCAATTATATGATCTATCTAATAAATAGTGTTTTCTGAATCAGATTCAAAAGTTCATGACATCACTTTTTTCATTGTTTTAAATTTAAATTTGCAACAAGTTTCATATTCCTTTAAATGTGAATTAGAAAGTATTGAAACTCACTTTTTGCATAAAGTTATATTATTTATTGGTATTACAATTTTGAAAAACAAATAGTAAAATGTAAATAAATATCAATAGTTTTATTAATTGAAATATAAACAGATTAATTAGCCCATATTACTTCATAAATGAAATTCTGACCAGCTATCAGCCATTTATTATAGGATTTCATCCATTCACTATTCAGGATTGTATCATAAGTACCACGGAAACGATAATCTTCATTCATTAGACACATTATCAGAGTACGTGCAGCAGGTGATAGAATACCTTCAGAAAATATCATACCATCTGATGTCTTTTTATCTTTTTCATATGGATCCTACAAAAAAGTTCATTCTTTAAAAATTTTCTTTTTCGCCGCGAAAATAAATCTTTATTAATGACAAACTTAATTACACATTTACATATTTAAGAATAAATGAAAACAACAAACACATGGCCATTTTCCGATAAGCATTGTATAAAGTAATACACCCATAGCATACCAATCACTAGCATATGCGTTATATGGAAGATGTCTGAATTCAAATTCTCAAACAGATACGATTTTATTCCGGAATGAAAGGGATAAAAGTTTCGATGAAAATTTAGACTCAAATAAAAAAAGAAATTCACGGCTAGCAAGTAATATAAGCATATTAAAATTTATGGCTGGCAGGTAGTATAAGCATGTTTGCAATTGGTTTACAAATTTATTTAGCAATGCCAATAAGATTTAATTAAATGAAAAATTGAGTAAGATGGTTTTGATCTATAAATTAATTACAGTAATTTTTTTTGCTACCAGCTAATTAAATAATTTTGGCTAATATTATTTTTTCTTATATTAGCATAGATTTTACAGTAATATTTTGCTTTGTGTTGCTGAATTCAAATCAAAAATAGTGCAATAATACATCAATTTGTGCATTTTAACATATTTCATTTCAAACTCACTGAACAATTTCTGGCGAAGAATATGGTTTAGTGCCACAAAAAGATTGTGACAACTCATTTTGGTTAATATAACGAGCAAAACCAAAATCGGTAAGTTTTACATCGCCGTTTGAATCCAAAAGTACATTTTCAGCTTTAATATCACGATGTACAATACCACGATCATGAAGATAATGAATCGCTTCAGTTAGTTGACGAAATAGACGACAAGCTTGTGGAAATTCTGATAGTGAAAATTTAGATTCTTTCATGGAATAATTAAAATTTTTGCTGATTTATGAGAATACAGTATCGCTCAGATCAGATCAATCTATCACTTTAAACAGAATATAAATTTGTAGGTAATTATGATCTGATGAAGAAATGAATATATGAAATAAATATTTAAAAGGCTCAACTGTTTGTTTCTAACAAAAGCATTACCGCCACACTTACATATATTACATTAAGAAATTATAATAATTCTATTTGAAAAAGTTTAGTTAACCAGGAATTCTTTTGCGTTGGATGATTAGATGCAGTAGAGTTCCACCAGGATAATATTCACTAATAATAGCAATTTTAGTTGGATGAGGTATTTGAATTGATAATGCCTAATTTTTGATAACGGATAGATAACATTGAAAGCATATCATTATTCGTTACATATGCAAAAAAATGAAGCAATCCGATAGATTTTCATCTTAGCAAATTTTTTAGTTGAATTCATCCTTTTGACAAACAATTAGATATCAATCAGAAGCTTACACGGGCAATATGTGGATGTCGAACCATTTTGGTAAATAATAATTCGCGAGGTAAAAATTTTGTAGCAATCGATTTTGGTAATGCGTTTACATTGATTATTTTAATAGCAACTAAGCGTTTATAGCTGTAAGGAAAGTTTGCCACAGTTACATATCCGGTTAAATGAAATTTTGGCTGACTATTTTTGAAACTATTAACAATAAATTAAGCACTAAAACCGGTTTAATTGTCTAATATTTGTAGCGTCGTGTGGAAAGAAATCTTGTACGATCGTATGCATCCGGTAATTAATCGTTAATCACTAAGATGCTTTATATTCAGATAAATTAGAATATAACCGGATCAAGTTCTTGTTTATGCAGCTAGTTCATGATTCACTGACTACTTCAAGTTTTTGCTGTTATTTTTTACTTGTTGAAAATTGATTCACTCGGAAGATCATTTTTGATAAATAGGTTGCAAAGAAGATTGAATTCATCAATTCTAAACTATTCTTTTAATACAGAAATTCTAGAAGATGCAAAAAGATAATTCTACGATTCTAGGCTCAAATGATAATTTCAATCTTTGAAGATTTTAGGCTTCTCAAAGATAGTAACATTAATTTAATAACCAAAACCACAAACAGGCCTGATTTAACACAATAAACGGTGGAATGAGATGTTTGAGCAATCTTCGATTCGATAGAGCCATTAATCGAATGAAGAATACTGTGGAGAGCAAATTCCATCGACAAAGAATGTTGTAACAGACCACCACATCCTGCCATTTCATTTAATAGCAATACGCAATTCTCGATAGTTCTCAAATTTATTAATTTTTGAAAATTGCTACAATGAAAACTTTTATTCAAATATTAATTTGTAAGATATGATTTTCTGATTTTTAGTATCGCAGAAAATTACTACAACGACAGTCATGCGAAAGAAGCGTCAACAATTTACTAGAATTACAAGAAGGAAATGTAAGACTTGTTGATAACAAAGATAACGAACATAATGCTGAAACAATTACGCATCGTAGCGACATATAAAACGAATGGCTAAGATTGAGAAACTTTTCAGTACGGCAATACCGCCACTGAATCGCCATGAGCAAAATTCACTTTTTTGATCTTCTTTTTAGCATCGCATATAGTGACATCGTTACAGCCATAAATTTTGTGCTTTCTCTTTCTTTGCAATGTAGCTGATATTATTGATAATATCAGGCAATGACTTTCAAAAATTTGTAAATCTTTTTCGTCAAATTAATAATCTCTCGGAAGCTATCTTTCTTATCAATCCTTGCTTTTTTTAATATTCTTCAGCAAACATGGAAGACTCAAAATCACATTATCAGTTGCAGGAAACGTGACAGTTTAAAATAACATATTCAGGAATGTATATTATGTAACTAATAATTTATTATTATGATCCTGCCAATAAAGTCTGAATGTTCTCGCTTAATTTGACAATTTCATTATTCAAAAAAGAAAACGATAATTGCACAATAATTCAAATTTATCAGAATCCTTCTTTTCTAATTTCTTATGCCTGAAGCATTAATCTTCTACGTTAATATCTTCCTTAAATAATCTTAAGCTTCTAAAAATTTAAATATAAAAAGAATTAATAAATTTTCTTTGAAATATAATACTTTTCTCTTTGTCTTAAAATTAACACCTATTTAATGTTTTTACCATAATAACTTTATAATTAGTGGTGAAATGATAAGAAAATTTTCTGAGTCATTCATTTTACATTATTATCTTCACTCTCTATTACTATTTCAATTGACCTTCAAAAAAAGAAAGAAGGAGAAACCTGAAACAAAGAAATAGATAAAATGGATGATAACAGGTTTATCATTTGCATCCTATCGACACTTCACAACTTCACATATTAAATATTAAGCTCCGCGTGCAACATAAAAACATTTATCATATTGGTGCAATAAGCGTTATGATATAAATTTGTAACAAAAGAAGTTATCATTTATCATTTTTTGAATATTTGCTTCAATAGTAATTAAAAAGAAATAAGAATTAAAAGAAAGAGTAGAAGTAAGAGTAGAAAAGATAAGGAATAAGTACTGAATCGAATGGATTATTAGAGAAAATAAAATAGAAATAGATAAATATGAATTTTCTTCAGTTAGCAATTTAATAGATATCTTTGAGAATTTATTAAATTTCAAAGTTTAATTGTAATTAAGTAGTAGTTCTCAGTGGAAAGTAAGAAAAGAAAAAGCTTTAAAAAATTATGTGTAATATAAATATAAAAATTATAATTTATAAATTATATATTGACATAAATTTGCATAAGACAAAAACACTTTTATTTTAAACTTGAAATTAATTCTTTTCCTGATATATATAATTATTTAGAGTTATTATATTAAAATTATTACTTTCCATTATCTCGGAAATGTTACATAGCAAAAGATTTTCTTTGCTACACAATATCAAACTACAAAATTATTGTATTTCGTGAATTAGAAATCCTTCAATATTGAAGTAATTTTGAATGAGAAGAGATATAAATGATACTAATATGATAATCTGTCAATAAAATTTTATAAAAATTCAGAAATATAAATTAGAAATGGATATTGTTGCTAAGAAGATGTATAATTTATTAGAAATCTTTCAGAGAATTTAACTTCAAAACTTTTATGCAAAAACATTCATTTAGATATTCCCTAAATTATAAAAATGAAAATTTCAATTTTTTGTCTTTCTTTCGAAATGAATGACAAATCGGAAAATATTTGAAAGTGTGGTGAAGTAAAAGAGAGATGGTGATAGAAGTAGAAAACATTGAAGAAGGCATAGTTAACGGATTCAACAATGCATTAATTTCCCTACCCCATTGTATATACTATTGCCATTATCACAATCATACCAATTTAACAAATTTGATCTTTGTTCATTGAAATGGGGAGTGATTTAATTATCATGAAGTGAGCCTATAAAATGTTAAAATTGCCGAAAATTTCATGAAATTAATTTGTTTTTACATCTTCGAGAAATTTGTCGCTTATGATACGTGAAATTTCCATTGTTCATTTTCTAATATTAAATTTTTCTTTTCTGATTTCGTAATGAATGAAATATTTTTGATTGTTGAAATTTTGTAAGACAGTTTTGTTTATAATTTGTTCTTCAAATCACTTCTCTTATCTGTAATGTGAAGGTGATATTATCCGAAACAAACTCATACGATACGTTTACTTTTCTATCATTCGATGTAAATTCAATTGAATCATCGATCTTCAATGCTTTTTTTCCTTCTAAGCTTACAATTATGTAGCTATAATTGACGTTTAAGAATTTACGATAGAAATACGTCCCAATTAATCAAGCAAGACCTACACTGGTGTAGCAGAAATGTCTACAGTATTACCTGCATTTATCATCGTCACTATGGCGATTATGGTATATTCTCAATCGCTTCTCAATAATCCTGAAATAAAGGATAATGTTGATCATACGTAAGTTATTTTCTACTGTATTGAGACACTTTTACGAAGATTATTAATCCATTTAATTTTAGAAATAAATGAATCATTGGACTACCACTCGCTTAAACTTTACTTGTATCTCAATACACAAATTACCGCTCGTCTAATACTTTGCTTATATCTCAATACACAAATTATCACTCGTCTCATACTTTACTTGTATCTTATCTAATACACAAATTATCACTCGTCTAATACTTTACTTATATCTCAATACACAAATTACTACTCATCTAATACTTACATTTCAATATCTCTTTTGCATAACCCATTTATTCCTAAATCAGTTTTTACTTTTTGTTTTAGAAATTAAAATTCAAAAAATTAGCAGTATTAATCAATATATTCAACATTTTTAATTTTTAACTAAAAGTATAATTCAAACTGTTAACTATCATTATTTTTTATTTCATAAATATTTAACAGATTTTGTATATATATTTCAGGAAAAGAGTGAAAAGGCAATGGAATCCTTGGAGTCCGTTCTCATACGTATCATACAAATACAGAACACCTTTTACTAGAATGAAATTCAGAAGCTTCGGTAATGCTCCATATGATCATGGATTTGGTGGATATGGTGGATATGGTGGATATGGTGGATTTGGTGGACGTGGTGGATTTGGTGGACTTGGTGGATTTGGTGGATTTGGTGGATATCCTGGGTTTGGTGGGTATGGTGGGTATGGTGGGTATGGTGGATACCATCCTTTTTCTATGTCATTTGGATGGTTTGGTTGAATTTAGTTTCAACTATAACCAAGCATATTTAAAATTGAATTAATATAATAATCGTTAAAATTTTTTTTAAAAAAATTAAAATTAAAAATTAAAAAATTCTAAAAATGTAATACATTAAACTAAATGAACTTCCATTTATTGATTGTTACGATAATACAATCTAAAAGTAAGATTATCTATCTATAATAAATTAAAGCTTATAAATAATGTTAAAAAGTATTACGCAAATGATTGTATTCATTTCAGATTAAGCATTATTTGATTTATGTTATCATAAATCATCAATCAAAAATTTCATTCTAAAATTCTCTCTGAATTCAGTAATTCCAATCAGTAGCTGCTATCAGCAGCAGTAAAAAGATATTTCATTGAAATTTCATAACTTCATTGATTTTATTTTCTATATTTTATTAAAACACTTTTCTATTATTATTGTCTTGTCTTTTCCTAAAATCTATCACTTCTATAATATATTTTATTTTATTTCAATAATTCTTTTCATCAAAAAAAATTTAGAAATATTTGATATCATTGATAATAATGCGTCCCAATAATATCATTGATGGATTTATGCTTGAAATTACAAATAAAATTAATATAAAAATGTTAATTGCTAAAATTAACTGATAAAATTTGATATCATTGATCAATTATGATATCACCAGTTCTCATCATATCATTCTCACTATTAAGTAAAAAATATTTTATTATTATTAATAATAATACTAATACTAATACTAATAATAATAATAATAGTAATAATAATAATAATATTTATGAGAATTAAAAATTGCATGAAGAAATTTTTGAAATTAATAAATTGTTCAATTTACAATTATCAATTATTTGTTGAATCATTTTATGTTTACATTTTTCTCTTCTCAATTATCGATTATAATATTAATTATTTTTTTTTACTTTGTATTTGAGAGCTGAAAATCAAAATAATAAACATATCCAAATGCTAAGATCACAATTTAATGTATGAGTAAATGGTAATCAATTCCTAGAATTCATTCTCTTTTATTCCTATGCAAGATATTTTTAGGACTTCTAAAATATGAGATGAAATTATTTCATCGTGCCGTTCACTATTTTAATTGTTGTTATTTCTAAATTCAATTATCAAAAAATGTTTTCAAATAGTCAGTTTATGCAAGGTGTTTACAAAACTCATTAAAGATTCTTTATTAATTTAATGAATTCCCAATATCATGCCTGTAGATTAATTATGCATTTCATTTGGAATATTTTATGCGCTTTATGGTTACTCGATAATATGTAAGAAACTGAATGAAACTTAAATTCAAATTTTTTTTCAGATAATGTTTAGGGAATTGTATTTAACAGTTCTTTTCTGCACAGTATGTTTTGCTGTGCCAATAATATCTGATTTACACTCAATAAATGATAATAATGAAATGGAAAAGTATGTCTTTTTCCTCCCTTGCCATTATTCATTTTTAATTCCTTGTTTACCTTTGAACCCAAATTTTTTTTAACATTATAATAGATAAGAAAACATCATATATATATGATTAAGGAAAATGAAAAATTATTTTGATCAGTTTAGCAATCGACTAATCAATAATATTTCAACATTACTGTAAAAATTTCACATATAAGCTTCAATTAATTTGAAACAATTATTTGCAAAATTTTCCTAAATTTTCAGCATCCGAGTGAAACGTTATGGCTTTCCTGGTGATTACAATCCGTATGTGCCATACACATACAAATTTAAAACTCCACTTTTCAAGATTAAAATTAAAAGTGGCCACCAAAATAATTTAGGTTATATGCCGTCATATGGGTACGGTAACCCTGCCGGCTTCCATCCTTCAAATGGTGCATTTCATCCGGGATTTAATTCACCTTATGGTTATCATCAAAATCCATTTGGATATGGATGGCAGGGATAGATAATGATACTGTTGTTTTTCTCATCCCGAAAATTTCTGTATATTCTGCTATGTTGAACTCTTGTTGACTTATATCTATTGTTTTGTTTTACCATATTGTAATCGCATAATTAGGTCATAATTTTAAATGTGTTGAAAGAAGAATTAAAGTCTATTAAAAAGAAAGAAGCCTATTAATGGATCAGTAAAGGAAGGAAAAAGCCTATGATTAAAATCTCCATTTACAAGTCCGAATATAAATGAGAGAGAAATTAAAGAGACAGAGATTATTTTTTCCAGATTTTAAATGTAGCACTTCTTATCATCTATCCAAGCAATTTTTGAATTTGTTTTAACTGAATTAAATAATTTAATAAATCGAACTTAAAAAAGAAACGATAACCAATGGTACTTGCAGAAATGTGATCCATTTTTAGCTACGAAAGATAATAGAAGATCGAACTTACGATGCACTAATTTTGCTGTTTATTTATTTTTTTACTACTTCAATTACTTTAAACTTAACATTCAATGAATTCCCGTAATTTCATCAATCAATGTATTTCTGTAATTAGCAAATTGTTGTGCAGTTTTTTTCAGCATAATTTAGATTCATTTCAAAATAACATTTCTTGGAAGAGTTATTTAAACAAGGAGCTGAAAAGTTTTAAAGTCACGGTTCACAATAATTAAGCATTTTCAATTTAACTTTTTAATTATTATTTTTTGAATACGCATATTTAGGTGACAAATCTAATTCGCGTTATAAATTATAAGCATTGGATAGCTCTTATTCATTGCTGATTAGCTGCCGGATTGAAAATATTGAATTGATTTGTAGATAACAAAAATTTTCGCCCAAATATATTTCACCTGTAAATATCATAGGTGAGCTACAAATACAATCGATAAATTGTCATAATTCAAAAAGAAAAAATAGAATAAAGAAAAAGAGTAAATATTTGAATTTCGATTGGAGAAACAGAAAAGCTGTAATTAATTTTGAAATTTCTATTATATTATGAAAATGTTTGATTACGAAAGTTTTAAATCTTCGACAGATGCAAAACGAAATTCAAATAATTTCAATCAAAATGTAAACATATATACAAATGAAATAGCAAAATTAAATTTTCATTAAATTATCACACTTTTTAATATTTCTGAAAAGCTCTCTCTAATAGCAATTTACAATTAGTATGGTTAATTAATTATTGAATTTGAACTGAATCGATTGAATATGAAGTTGGCTTAACGCTGTAATCAGTATGACCATTCTGATATTCTTTTCTTATCTTTTCATATACTATGATCTGAAATTTACCTTTTGTTATTAATTTACTTAGTTCAATTAGAAAAACAAAAGAAAAAATGTGGTGTAAAAAAGAATAATGAAATGAAATAGAAATCATCCTAGGAGAATACCTTAAGCATTTTTAAAAATTCTCTCTAACAAAGATTTTCTAAAGTAAAAAGATTGGCTTATACACCTGTAAATTTACTCCTTAGAATACTCCTCGAAAAAACTCTTAGCAAAAGATAATATTCCAAAGCACTAATCTGATTCTCTCGTCATTTTGTTTTCTCAAATAAAAGTAAATTTTAAAAATTACGACCTTCACTAAATTTTTAAGAACGTAAAAGTCAAAGATCATATAAATCAAATTCTGAGCAAATATGAAACATGTAATTATAAGAATGCTATTCGGTCACATTTTAAAAACTAAAAATTATTTACAAAATTGTTGAAATGATTTACCTCATCATCCGTATCATTACGTGTGCTAAACGCTTTGTTGATTTCGGTGACGTAAAAATGCACATTACGACATTGTTGTAGTTCAAAAATTTTCATCAGACGACGAAAAATGATAATTTCAAATGATTTTTCGAATGCTGTCACTAATAAGAGAATAGATAGTAACGGTGAAATATCCCAGTAAATTTGACACAATGAAAAGATGGTCCCTTTAATACAAATTTTTCATCTTCAATAACAATATTAAAATGGGAAATAATTATAATACCTGAAGAATTTTTCCAGAGGGAATACAGAAGGAATAAATTCAATGAAATTTATATCAAAATTACTATATCGTATAGTTTAAAATCAGTAGGTAGTAATATTTATTATATATATATTGAATAAAAATCAAACGTATCTATTCAGAAAGAGAGGAAGAGAAAGAGAGAAAGAGAAAGAATTTATCAGGAAAATAATAAAAAGTATATATGTAAGCTAATTGAAATATCTTTCTAGAAAACTGGAAAAGAATATTTAATAAAAATAATTTGCATATTTCAGCGAACTAAAAAAAAAAATTGCGAGAAACGAAAGAAACGAACCGTAATATGTAAAGAGATGATGTAAATTACTGAAATGAGAACAGAAGAATTTACTGAATGATACGAAAATCCATGCCGATAATAAAATGATGACAAATATCACCTGAAAATTTCAAAAACTTCGTTGTTTAATTAATTAAAATTAATATAATGTGTAAAAAGGAATCTAATAAGATAATAAGGTATTGTAGCTTCCTCTAAAATAGTAATTGATCGTTTCTACAGTATAAATGATCTCCTGGAAAGAAATCTTTAAGGAATGAAAAACGATAAATAGGCCTATTCGATATTTTATATTATTTAATTCCAAGAATGAAAAAAAGTTTCTCTTCAGCCAGTTAATATATATTATCGCTCTGTTTTAGAAATGTAATTACTCAACCATAGTTTTTCTAAAAACTTCAAAATAGACTTTTAGAAACTTCAAAATAGGCGTTTGAGACAATAGCAAAATTGATCGATTCAAGCTTTAAAAAATGGTTATATAAGATTATCTTATCATTCAATTGATGTCATCTGTCTTATCATCAACTGATCTTCCTTTATCAGGAAATTTTTTAATCAATAAATGAAACAAACCGTGGTGGCAAGAATCGGATATAACATGATATTATTATTATCTTTAAGAGCAAACATAGCGCAAATAAGTGATATGATATACGTAAAAGTGAAGAAGGAATATTTCAATGCAACATCAGTGAATTGTGATTCCAGAATGAGAAGTATCAAGAGAGTTATCAGGCTACCGATTACTAACAACCATCCAACTAACTGCAATCGAATTTAGTAGAAGTATTGAACAAATATGATTAGGAATCAGATATATCAATATTCCGAATTATTTCAGAATCATTCATTCTTCTTTTCTTTGTTTAACCTTTCTTGCCTATTCTTACACATTATTTCTACTCTTTGTTTTATAGACTAATTCCCTCTTCTTTTTATTTGATAAATTCAATACTGGAAAAAATGACTAACTTTAAAATTTTTAACTGAATTCGCTGATATTGTTGCAAATTCAATTGCTTCATTCTGCTTTGATAGTGGAGCAGCCATTATTCGTTGACAAACTTTCTTCCTCCAATTAAACGTTTAATTTTAATATCATCCCTGCAACACTTCCCTCACTTGAAATAACCGATTTTTCTGTAGCATAAAGAGTATTGTGCTGTGATTTTTGCTATGTTTGCTAAGAAGTTTCAATGAGTTTTATTTTTTGGAAAATTTTCTCTTTCAAAAAATTTCATTCAACTTTATATTACAAAATTTATGTTGAGATTATACGAATCTTTAGTAATTTTTTGATGAAAGTTTAATGTAATTGATCTCATTAATCTTCTATATTAATATGCAACTAAAAGGACTTTAATTTATTTGGTACCATCAAAATTTAGGATCGATAAATTTTGGAATGAATAAAAGTATTCTATTTAGCAAAACATTAGATGATAACGTGATTGATTGATTGATCGGATAAAATAGAAAAATTTTATAACTGAATGAAAAATAAATATTTTCGACAAATTAGGATATCATAGAATATACGGAATTGTTCAATCTAATGTAAAAGAAATAGCGAATGGATTAGTGGATAAAAATTTAGGAGATGAATTAAATGCATTTTTTAAATTCAACACATCTTTATATATGTATATATATATACCATTCTGATGCTGTCACAGCTGTTTAATAGCGGATCATCAAAGTTTGCACAATATTTTCTTCCCATAAACAGATTTTTCTCTATTGCTATCAAATTTCGAAATTCAATATAAATGTAAAGTTAAAAATTGAAATTAGTCAACAATTAGTTTTATCAAAAAGTTGGCCTCAATGTGATGTTACGTTAGAAAGTTGCTTCTTTACAGTTATTATCCACAAATAAACACATATGAATTTATTCAGAACAATTAATTAACTAAATAGTAAAGATTTCTCGGGGAAAAAAGAACACAATAAAGAAGAGAGAATGAGAAATAGGTTGTTCAGTCGTTTTTTGAGGATTAGTCAGGTGACAATGATTGACCAGGTGATTATTAATAGTAAACTTCTAACAAAATTGTAATGGTCAAATGAGCTATGTATACTAATACAAATACTTCCAAAATTCTTTCGAAACATTCCGCTTAAATGCATTTTATACCAAAATTTCAATTTCAATTTTTTGTTTACTTTATCTTTTCTCATATCAATCAATGTTTCAATAAAAATTTTATTATTCGAAATTAAAATTTTGTTATAAAGCAACAAAATGTCAAACAAATGATAATAGCATAATATATACATATAGAAGGGAAATGTAATATTATTCAGGAAAAATAAGTTATAAGGAAAAATATAAGAAGGAAATGATAAGTGAAATATAAAACTAACTTTTTGCATATGAAATGTAACGAGTGATAAAATTGAATAGTTAAGATTTGAATTAAAAAAAGTCTACTAATTACAACCTTACCTATTACAATCTTACCTACTTATTACAGCTATCAGCAGTTCAACAATGAATGGTTTAATAATTAAGCCTTCTCATTTTCTTCAGTTAAAAACTTATAAAGATGTAAAGTTGGAAAAAGCAGTAAAATTTCCTAAAAAAAATTTTAGCATAATTAATAAAATTTCACACCAATATAAATTTAGAAATAATACACAAGCTTTTGATGATCATAGTTTTGATTTGAATTACACATATCGCCAGGGGGGAAAAACTCGTTAAAGTATCATCATATGCATAAATGAAGCAATAGATCAACTACAAATATGTACGGAGAAGGAATTGCCAATATCATATTCATTTCGAATGTACGAATTTATTTCGGATGTATAAAAAAGAAAGCATAAAATATATTTTTATTTTGTTTAGTATGAAAATGAAATAGCTTTAAACACGAACCAAACAGTACAGCTGAAAAAGCTTTTTGAATTCTAATTTTTTTCGAATTTATTCCCTACCCTTCGAATAAACTGGAAACAATGTGCTAGTCATTGCTAGTCTCGAGCCAACCGATGGATAATCTAACGCACCATTTGTAGCATACATTCCATTTGTAACAACAGCATTGATCATTGTTGGCTCCATCTGAAAATGCTTCCTTTTTCAAACACTATTCTCCATTCTAATTCACACTTAATTTTTGGATAACACAGGAGACAGATGTGAGGAAGAGAACAACGTGAAGAATGAAAAAGAAATACTTTGTATTGATCATCATCAACAATATCAAATATTGATAAGCCGTGTACATCTGAATCTGAATCCTGTTTATCAGTATTAGCAGTGTTTGCTACAACAATTGAATCAAAAGAAGAACCTTAATTTAAAATCTGAGCAATTTACTCCAAAACAATCAATCACAAAAGAACAATCACAAAAGCCAATGATGACGATAACATTCACTACAATATTCCTTTTTGGGTAATTTATTAAATTTGAGGTCACCGTTCTTTAGCCGGGAAATATAATAGTGTATGCGTTGAATTTCACGTTTAAAATATCATTCTTCATAAGAAGAAAAAGTAGTATATTTGATCTATTCGTGTGACACATTTCATCTTATCCATTCATTTGTTACGATACGATATGACAAATAATAATTTTTTTTGCCGAAGACAATGGCTGCTCAGCTTTATTTGGATATTATGATTTTAGGTCTCCATACTTCTGAAGTTGGTTCCTTATTTGTTAAGTTGGAATTTTTTTCTTTCCTTTAAATTTGAATTATTTGTTGTCTTACATGAAAAATTTGAAGGAACTTAGTTGTTATTAATTTAGCGTCAAGTAAAACTATTAAAGAAGTATATTTTACTAAATTTAAAACTATCAATTACCATGTTTTTGTATTTTTGAAATATATCCTGCAATCTAGATGAGCAGTTTTATGGATAATATGATTTGTGCTAAATATTAGGTTCAGATTAACTCTAAATAAATAAATTAATAGGAAATTAAATTTAAATCTCAAATTAATTTCAGGTAATTTATTTCCAACATACCCTATACATGCATTTGTGATTGTTTCTCTACATACACTAATTTCAATTTGTCATTGATCTATAAACACTCTTCATTAATGTTATATTTCGCTGGGTTCAGAAAATATATTTTTCGAATTTCGTTTTTCATATTTTAAATTCTCTAGTCTTACTATAATTCCTTGATGGGGTGGCAGAAATGCAAATGGTATTATGAAGGGAATTTCCGAAACTTCATTTTTATGATATAAATACAGGTAGTGGTGTACTTGTCCTCCCAATCCGGAATCCTTTTACATCCTTCAATGAACTCACTAAGATTCCGAAACTGTTACAAAACGATTCATTCGATTACTAATATATTTTTGTTTTCCTGCTGCGTCGGGCAGCCAAATCACAGAAGAAATTACCTTGCAAAATTCCAAAGCGCTCAATCGGTTTAGCTGATGTACTTTTCATGAAATATGTTCAAACACTGCAAAACTCGTTGCATTCATAATTATACGAATTATGAATGCAACGAATTATGAATGAATGCAACGAGTTTATCTACTATGATACCAACTAAATTATAGAAATAGTAGTTCTAGCAGTATTTTGCAATATGCAGGTCGGTTCAACCAGTTTGCTAACACACATACATATTTTTTTTTCATTCCACTGCATTTTTGGAAAGTAGAGAATATTACTTAATTAATCATTTGCAGGCAATGGCTACTTCTATTACTACATTGGTTGAGGAAATGCCACTGGCACATGTGGTTGACAGTAAATTTGTTGATAAAGTTTGTGCCCATTGCATGATACCAACATGGGAAAGGTAATTTTAACTTAAGTTATATTAGATAATTTAGTCCTGGAATTATATATATATACATATATTTCGCACAATTTTTAACCAAATTTATCTTTTCTCTTTGTCTCATTTGTTTTCTTTTCTTGTTTACAGTTTGTATTGCTAAAATGTTCCATTTTAGAGACATTGAAGGAAAACTAAGTCGATGTGCTCATTGTAAATTCACCCATTACTGTAATATAAAGTGCCAGAAGAAGGATTGGCTTATTCATAAGGTTTGCTCATTTTCACTAAACTATCCAGTTGTCACCAAGATTTAGTTTTGCCTAATCCATATCGAACACTAAAATCATAACAGTGGCCTACTTAACTTATGTGGTCGGTTTTAGATGGAAGTAATAGGTATCGAGTCAGACGTTAAACACATTCTGTTATTGTAACATCTTAAAATCACTGAGTAGAATTCGTTGGAAATCTTACTTGATATTACGAAATTTCCTCCGCTGAAGAACCGAAACTCAGCTATTATGAGAAACAAGTTTGTTATTTTTCTCTTAATCGATGAAGATTTTAAATGAGCTGTTATAGCTGTTCAAAAAAGTCATAGTAAAACGCATGAAACCTAAAATAAGTCAAAAAGCCAACTATTAAAAAACAATGACCCAAGATATAAATTTAATCTGTAAAAAGATTCTAAATCTTATATTACAAGCGTAGTTTTTAGAGTCTTTCTCATTGTTTCTGGAATGATTATGACCTACTGTTGGCGCACTCGTTGTTTGATTTCATAATTTATTCCTTCCAGATAGAATGCTCATATTTGTCACGTGTGGCGCCACGTGTTCCCGAATCAATACCTCGATTAATAGGTCGCATAATCACGACATTACAATACTGTAGTGTTAAGAATCGTGCTTTCAATGGACGTGTTTTTGCTTCCTTAAAAAGTCGTAAGTTTTATTCTTTTCTCAGTTAATTGCCAGAACTTAATGCATTCTCGAATAAGTGCATTCAAATTGTGAAGCATTCCCCGAAAGTAATAGAAAGAATCCATGATGCTGTCCATTTTAATCTCTCTGTTGCTTAAACCCCTTGATGATTTATAAATGAACAGCATTCATTGCTCTCTTCCATCGTTTTTCATTTCCTTTACCTTTTCTGCGGACAAAATTTGACATAAGATGAAATAGACAATGATGGGGTTCATTACGCAAACATTGGGAAGGTTCTTGACCGTAAGTTATGCAAAAAGTGTATTACCTAAAGTAAATGCAATTTGCTAATGTTTATAGATGACCTTTTCTTTATAGCTTGACCTCCTTTTCAATTAATTTTGAAGCATCGAATCAAGATATTGTCAGAAAATTTTATTACGAGCATGCATGTACTTAATATCAAATATCTTAAAGATGTTGCTGATATCGAGAAAGATGAGGAAAAGAGAAATGGGTTCATATCCATTGCACATGTAATCAAAGATTATCTTCCATTAGGCGAGATGCCATCCAGCAGTGAACTATTCGATATTTTTTGTAAGGTAAGCTTTTAAATTTATTTTATTTCCTTTTTTGGCATTGAAAAAATGTGTATGGTCTATATGAAAATATATAATCTAAAATATATAATATACATGAAATGTTAACAATTAGAGCCAACGAAATCAACTTCTGGAGGCCTAGATTCGGCTTCCGTTTCATCTGGCATTTGTAACGTGGTTTAAGAGGCATAATCAAGATAATATGGCAATTTAATGAAGTATTAGTGACAGGAGTAGAAACGGAAATTTCATTCATATAAAGAGTGATTAAGCTTGAGATTCATGATGTTTCAACATGTCTTGAAATAAATTTGTTTTTCTTATTTCGCCGTTACAGTACTACTTGTGATCGAACCAGTTATTAAAAGAAGTGAAGGATTTTACAACTCAAATATTTACTCTGTAATAGTTGTCATCATTCTTATTCAAATTTTACTGATTGATAATGGGTAAGTTATTGCAGATTTTGATCAATGCATTGGTAATTACAGACTCGTGTTTGAATAGAATTGGCCTTGCAGTTTATCTAGGGTTAGTTATTTCTTTCTTTTTTTCAAGTACAATGGAACATGAAGTCTTAATACTAGAGTCCTGTATTCTTACTACTTATATTATTCTAAGAGACGCAGTTCAAATTGTCTAGCTCATATGCCTCTTCTTATCGTTTTATTCTTTTTTTCTCTTTTCAGATGAATGTATTGTTCCACAGATCACCATATAATCTTACTTTATTGTTTTGCTATTTTTCTCACTTATTTGAGTGAACTTTTTTAATAAGAAACAGTACTTTTTAGAAACTCTTTTCTTATTGGTATCATTTAAGGTACTACTTCCATTTCATTCTTATATAATATCATTCCCACTCTGTTATATTTATCTTACTTTTTTTGAGTTCATCATGCTATGATTTGACATTCTTTTTTTTCAGACTTTCAGCTTTGGATCATAGCTGTAAACCGGATGCTTTTATCATTTTCAGTGGCACGAAAGCAATCTTAAGATCCTTGAATAAAAATATAAAGGAGTACAGCGATAATGTTTGTTGTCATCTTTTAGAGCATTTTTTTAATGTTAGGGAGTATAATAGTGTATCGAAAATTCATATACACGAATGGAAACAAATCCTATCTCCCATTCAAACATGAAGACCATTAAGGCGATTCATGTTTTTTCCAAACAAAACCCGGTCTCCGGGATCTGGTTTTGTTTGGATTTCGAACTTTATAATTTATTGTTGATTTACTTAGTTATTGTATATTAAGGAACAAATTACAGCTGCTCATTCCATACTGTGACTTGATGGATCTTAAGTCTACACGATGTGAAACTCTGCAAAAGCAGCACAATTTTACATGTAATTGTGAAATTTGTCAGGATTTTGAGATCGTAAGCTATTTGCTTGTTCATAATATCTGATTAAAACCTGTTGCAAATATTTCTTTATTGAAAAAGTTTATTTGTTAATATGATTATTTTTATATTGCCCAGCGTTGATAATTTCACGGTTTAAACGAAGTTCAGGATCGGCAGAAGTGTTCTTTACGATGTAGCAAGTGCAAAGATGGTTTTTGTCCATATAGTCCTGAAGATGATCATGCAGAAGCACGATGTAAAGTTTGTGACCGAATATCAGTTTTCAATATTGATCATTTGCAAAAATTGTACCAACAACTGACAACTCACGGTAAGTTTTTGTGAGAAATGCAAGGAAACTAGATATAGAATCCAGAATGCATTCCATTTTAATGTTAAGTTCAGATTTGCTTTTAATCAGTGAAGATATTGAAGTTTATTTTCTGTAACCATTTTTTCCCCTTATTTGAGAATCAGCAAAAAAAAGTCTAAACGAGCTGATAGATTCATATCACGAATTTGAAGAAGTTTTTTCGCCATATAACGTTCCTCTTTGTAAATTTGCTGAAAATATTATGATCAGAGCGGTGAATAATGAAAAGTACGATGAAGCAGTGGAGTATGCCGAAAAGACTCTCCTTTGCTACAGGTCCTTCGAGATTTTGAAAGAATTATATGTTTGAATTAGTAGAATTTTTTGTAGTAGAATTTTGGAAACTAATCGATTTAGAATCTCATTTTTATCTTTCTTTAATCTCACCCGTTTATTGATGAACTTTATATTTCAGGACATATTATCCAAAAGGTCATCCTTCGCCTTCAGTGCGCATGTTTGAATATGCAAAGTTATTAATGCTACAGTGTAGTCAGGAATCCCTTCCTGTGTCACGAAAGGTCTGCTGTTTTTAGTTCAAGTATCATTGTAGTAATGTTTTAACTACTGCCTGATACTTGATGTTTAACTACCGACTTTGTTAATCCGGTTGCTCTTTTTATGAAAAATTGTACTTCGGCAGCATTATTTTTGAGTTTTATGCAGATTATGATTTTTAAGTTTATTTTTTTGTAATGTTATTCGATATATACTGATCGAAATTTAGTAATTATTATACACATTTCTTGATCAATTTTTGATCCATGCCTCCTTTCTCAAAAGTGGGAAAAAAGATGGTTAAGTCATTATTTTTGAAATTTTCGATATGTTCTATATATACCTATGTTCTTAAGCTTTTAAAAAATATGTGTTCTTTTCCGATTTTATATCTTTTGGTTTCTACTAAGTACTAATTAATATATGACTTAATTTAACAAATTTGCAAGATTTCAGGCTTTTAAAATGATATGCGAAAGCTATGGTTCTGACAGTGCTTTTGCGTTTAACGCTGCCAGATTAATAAATGACTTAGAAAAAAATGTAGCTGCTGCTTCGTCGTGACGATTTAATCGGTGGTTATTGGTGAATCTCAGTTCTTTTTTTGTTAATTGATTGTTTTCAAGTATTGTATTTCTTTCTGTGATAAAGTTTTCTGTTTGGTCATGTACTGATTGATAGGAACTTAATTGTTAGGAAGTTGTGAATTTTATAAAATTTCTATTGTGATTTTTTTTTGTTTTGGAAAGTTCTGGTTTGTCACAATCAAACACTTGATGAAGGTTGATTTTCTTCTTTTGGAGAGGTTTTTTTTTGGATGTTATAAAACAATTGTAAGTGACTTATCAATAATAGTGTTGATCACTTTGTGGGTTTTTTTCAATTCGTTGATCCGGAGGAATTCACTTGGATGTAGATGAATGATAGTGATATAATACAACACCGAAATACGTAAAGGCTATTCTTTAGGTGAGTATAGTAGAACAAGAAGCAAAGTTTGAAGTCAAAGAAGTAATGTACTTTTTTCCTTTTGATCCCCACATTGCTCAATATATATATAGAAATTTTAACCAACAATTCTCCCCTTTATTGTTTGTGTTTTCAATTGCACATATTTCTATTTAAACCTTTACTTACATGAGAATTTTTAATGAAAATTTCTAGTGCGTTCAACGCGAACAAACATGAAAATAAGGATGGACATGTGAAATGTTTGAACAGGATGAGAAAGAGAAAGAAATTGTACCAATCGGCCTACTTCAGTTAAGGGTAATTATATGATAGGAATGGGGTTGATAGGTAGAGCAAACATCTTTTATTATTCTTCCTTCCTACTTGCAATACCCTTACTGCTTAGACGATCATTACAAACGCTATTTCTAAATGGATTTATGCAAGTGTTCCTGAGCAAACTACATCAAACTGCTAAAATTTGATACTAAATTTATTGTATTTCAAAAATTGTTAAAATTAAATTTGATTTACTTCTATTCTCTTTTAGCTAAAACATTTTTGAAGTCAAAGGAATAAATAATAAATATTACATCGAAAAAGGTACAAAAGGAAGCAAGGTGGTTTAAAGTTCCTAAAGTTACATAACTTGAGGCTTCCTTTTTTAGTTCTGTCAAATGAAATTTTCCATATTTGCCAGTAATATTTGTCTGAGAAAAATGCTAAATGAATTTAGTGTAAATAGAGGAAGTGAAATTTGAAGGGAAACAATTCATGCAATAATTTCGGGCAGATCAAATCAGATAATAAGGAAAAGGAGAGGGATGAGGGATAAAAGGTATGTTTACAAGAATTTTAGATTGAGAAAGGGACGTTGGTCTATATTTACCCACTCATAGATATACTTCAAATTATTTCATTTCAAAACTTTCCCTTTGTTACTGTTAGTTATAATGGTGTTGTGGTTGTAAATAATTATTGTGGCAATAATCCATCCTACTAATAATTCATCGTTTTTCATGTAACAATGTTTATTATCTTGCTGTTAATATTAATATGAATTATTATTTGGTGATGAGTTGTAATATAATACTTTATTATTCAGTAAAATATATTATTGATAATATAACAACAATCATTTCAGTTAGCTAAATTTTTATTTATTTATTTTTTCAATTCTTAGCATAAAATCTTTATGATACATAAAGAAATTAATTTTGTAATTTATTTCCGTTAATGTTACCTGTTCAAAAGTTATCATTTCTTTTATTACATTAAATTAAATTTTCCTTTTTCAAAATCAAATTTGTTAAAGTTGGAATTCTGATAAGGAGAAATAGAATAATCGATGATAACATTTATGCTATAAATGATTTTCATTCAATTATGGAATGATTTGAAATTAATCAATTTGAGTTGAAATTTTAAAATTTTATTTTTAGCATTTTTAGTTTTAGAAGTTGTGCTTTGCTTCTTTAGAGCAATTTTATAATAATATTGAAAGTTTTATAAAGGTAAATAACTATTATTATAGTTTGAATGATTGATGAAGAATGAAGATAATTAATAGTAAATACTCATACACTGTAAATATACTGTGAAAGTATAAAGTATAACTCAGGAACTCTTTGAAGTATAACTCTTTGACAGCTTATTGATATACCTTATCTGGTGTCATTTCTAGTAATTAATTATTCAATTATTTTTAAGTTTATTGTTTTCTTACATTCATTATATATATTGTTTACTTCAATTAAAAATTATCACTTTCTTATGTTATGCATATCATAGTTGTCAAAATTTGTATTTCATTCAACACTTTCATAACAAAGGAAAAATTAATTTTCCTTAAAGTAATTAAACACTTGTTTGTCATAAATGCATATGCACACCTTAAGCAACAATTCCAAATTATTGTCCAAGTTATGATAGGTAATTTAAATTAGCTATGGAAAATTGAAAAATTAATAAGCTAATTATAATAAATTGCAAAATTCCAATATCTTCTAGTTAATCAATTAATAATCAAATGAATTAATCAATCAATCAGTTACCGACAGCTTGTTAAAATGAACTATCAATTTAACATGTTAAAATAATAATGATTGTTATAATAGGCGATACGATATATGTAAGGTAATTCAAACTGGATCCTACCGCACATAATTCTTCAATTAGCAGCAGTATATAACTAACCATTGTATGATGGATGCTTTGCCAAATATACAAAATGACATATTATACTATTTTAAATTAATTACCGTTTTTTATTTGAAATTATCGAAATTAATTATAATTTTTTCTTCACAAGAAAAGAAAAAATAAAACGGCAAAAATTTGAGAGAAAATATTTTTAAATTTGCAAATTAAATCAAATAAAGTTGAAGAAAAAGAGTGATAAATTAATTTGCACACCTGTTAATCGAATTTAAAAACAAAAAGAGCGTATCTTATTAATTATTTCAATAATTTTAAACTAAAATAATTCCATATTTCTCTCTATTATTTCTTATTTCTTAACATTTCTTTTTTTCCCTTTTATATTTCTCATTCAATAAAACAAATAAAATATTAATGAAGATGGAATTAATGAAATAAAATATTAATGAAGAAATAAAATATTAAAGTTAAAAAAAATATTAATTGGTAATGAATTGGCTTTCAAGAATTTAACAGAAATAAATTATTAGCTGGCAGTAATAAATTTATTCACCAATAGATTTATTTATATCGTAATTTCTTCTTCCCATATCACTTAATAAAAAATAAATGTTATTTACAAACAAAAATTTTTTTTTGTTTTGATTGAAATTACACAAGATAGAGTTACCTTTGACCTTTTGTTTTTAAGCAGTTTTCATTTTTATTACTAGAAATGTTTAAGTAAATTGCGTATGTTTACGTTAAAGAGAACGTAATTCATTAACATAATTTTTGTTAATATTTTTATGATCGATTTCTTGACAGTCAACAAAATGTATTATATCACTATTTATAAGCCAATTAATATTTGTAGACCGATGGAAACATGGATTATTGTTTTATGGGTAATACGATAAAATGACGAAAATTTGGTATATATAGATATGTTTTAGAAAATCCACGGCATGTGGTTATCAAAGAATTTAATTAGTACGATTTGAAAGTAATATCGGGCAGTACTATCCAAATACCGCATTAACTAGCAGAACATAGGATATCACTATTAGGAAATAGTATTATCACTAACAGAATCATAATGTATTGCAATTAAAACAAGCAGGACACAAAATAGACGTAATAAAATATAAATTATTTCGAAAAAATTTTTGAAATAATTAAATTAAATTAATTAGATAATTAGTATTTACAGGAAGATATGGCTAAGATAAAAATCAGTCCATTTCTATTTACCTACAGCAAACGTTATATTTTTATCATTGGATTTTGTGTATTTTTCATATTTTTGGTAAAATTTGTTTGTTTTTAAATTTTTATTAATAATTAATTTTTCATTAAAAAAAATATTCGAAATTTCAATGTTTATACATTATTTTAAATTTGATCACTTTGGCTTAATTATCTTAATTTGATATGAGAATGATTTATTTTACCGTATCACTAATTTCAACCGTATCATTAATTTTAAATGAATAAAATTTTCTATACAAAACTTCCGCTAAAAAACATTTCTACGGTAATGATTTAAAATTTCAGACTAAATTTCAAATTATTCATTATACAAAATTATCCATTTTCAACTTTTTGAAAATAGATGATGAAGAAGAAAGTGAAAATATAACATTTCAATGTATTCAAACATATCCGACGGAAGCAAAGACTGAATTTAATGTAAGAATATAAATGCGTTTTATTAGTTTAATTGTTGTAAATTATTCCAATTTATTAATTCAAATTATCACAAACTAACTTAACAAAAGCTATCAAAAAGTATTCAATTTTCTTTTCATTCGTAATTTCATATTTAAAACAAAGAAAATTTTTCGAAGTAAAAAAAAAAGTTGCAAAAAATTTAATTTATTTATATAATTACGATTATAAATTAATTCATAGTTTTCTATCGATCATATTTAAATTAAATATCAAATTGAATGGATAATGTCAAAATTTATACTATAGCATTGAAAATTATTTATTAATTTAATAATTCCATTCTTTTTAAATTATCAATTTTTAATTTATTCCTAATTAAATTACCTTTCTATGGGACAAATGGTTAATTCTGCATTTTATTTCATTTATAAATTTTCGGACATAATTTAATTCTATTTTAGACATTCGATATGTTTGAAAAAATTGTTGGTGGACAAATATCGCAGCATCGTTATAAAGTTAGAAAGAAAAATATTTCTGACATAACGGAAGTGTATGTTTTACCGTTTACCCACGTTGACCCAGGTGAGTACGCTAGACATTTCTTATCATTCATATTTCCTGAAAAATATCCTATTTATTCTGCACTTAACCGGATGCATAAGGTCAGGCAAGATGAAATAAGCAAAAAGCATTTATGAATGGAAAGAATGCTAGAAATAAATTTTGAAATATGAAAATATTTGATCCGGTTTCATATTCCTTAGAAATAAGTGTCAAATTGATCCGGTTTTTGTTCCATATCCATTGATCGGATAAATTACCGTTAATTCAAATTGAATTTTTTCGAGTACAATTTATGAATATTATTAGCCAATTAATTATCATTACTATTTCATAATTTATAATTTTTAAAAATTACTGTAACTATTGGTTATTTTGTAAAATATTATACATGCAAAAAAATTTTTACCAAAAGAAGAAATTTTCAAATAAAATTATTAATTAAAGTTTTTGTATTTTCCTCTCATCTTTTAAATTTAAATAAAAAATTGGAATTAAAAAGGATTTCTAAATTTTAGTGAAATGAAATGAAATAGTCTAATTTATGATTTAAATTTCAGGTTGGCTAAAATTATTTAAATAATACAAATGCAAATTGGATGATATGATCGTATTTGTGCGCATTTTTTTAAATTTAAAATATAAAATAGAAGTTAAAAAGGAATTCTTAATTTTGATGAAATATAATAGTCTAATTTTCAATTGAATTTTAGGTTGGCTAAAATTATTTAAATAATACAAATGCAGTATTAGACAATATGATTATATTTATGCACATCTTTTTAAACTTTAAATAAAAAAGGGAAGTTAAAAAGTATTTCTAAATTTAAATGAAATGTAATAGTCTAATTTTAAATTGAATTTTAGGTTGGCTAAAAACATTCAACGATTATTTAAATGACACAAATGCAATACTAGACAATATGATTGTATTTATGCGTAATCATTCGCAGATGCGTTTTATGTGGTGTGAAATTGTCTTCTTTGAACAATGGTGGAAAATGCAAAATGAAAGTGTCAAAAATTTAACACAAAAGTGAAATATAATAATTATTATATTTTTTTAATTAACTTTAATTATTATTTTTCCAACGAATCTCTTCCTTTCTAATTTAAATATTTCTTTGTTTATGAAACTTTTGATTATTTAATTATAAATTAATTTGACTAATTAATTATCTATCGATTTCCTTCTTTTTTTCGTCCCATTATTAATAAAATAATAAAACAATGAAACTTTTTCATAAAAAATATTTGCAAAAAAAATAATCCAATCGTATTGTATAATTAAGATTAAGATTATAATTAAGATTACGTAATTTGGTTGCAAGAATTTTTGTTAAAGACTTATTGAAAGCAAACAATTGGAAATTGTAAGTGGTTCATGGGTGATGACAGATGAAGCAACAACATATTTTCCATCAATTGTGGATAATATTATCGAAGGACAGCAATTTGTATACAATGAATTAAGTTATAAAAGTTTCAATCATTTTAAAAATTTTATTCTTTTTTAACTTATTTTGCTATTTTCTAATATTCAAAATGTGCTAATTAAAAGTGATAATTAAAGAATGAAAATATCATTTGATTTTTTAATTTTAAAATTTTTAATTTTAAAATTAAAAAAATTAAAATTTTTTTAATCTAAAAAATTAAATCATTTCCATAGAAATATTTCGGATGAAAAGCATATTCATTCATTAAGAGCTTGTCTATTTCAAACCTTTAAGTTTACTTTTATTGGACTGAAGATTAAATTAAATAATTTAAAAAAGAATTACTTCAGACATCGAAGCTAAAGTAATGTGGTCAAATGATCCATTTGGTTATGGGCCATCGGTGCCATATTTGTACACAAAAGCTGGTATTAATCGTGGTGTAATCAATCGAATTCATTATGATTTGAAAACATTTCTTCGAAGTCATGGAGCCTTATCATTTCATTGGCGACAATTTTTTGGTCAATTTTTTTTATATAATTTTATCACTTATCATTTTAAAAATTATAAATGATTACTTACTTTTATTTATTTCTTCCACAGCTGGCACTTAGCTCTTATAAATGACAAACATTTTATTATCAATTAAATGCAGTGTAAGAAAAATTTTTGATTAAGGATACTTTCGTGTTAAAAATTTATGTAGCATGAAACAAAATTTAAATTTTAAAAATAAATTTCATAGCATAACCGAAATTGCCTATTAAATAAAATTTGTACATTTCAATTTTCATTTGATAAATATTTAACATCCAACATATTTGAAAAATTTTGATGATGATTGGTAAACTTCAGATGCTAATGGAAAAAATGACATGTACACCTATGTATTGCCATATAATCATTACGATATATTAAATAGTTGTGGACCGGATCCGGATATATGTTGTCAGTATGATTTTAAAAGACTGAATCATTTCAAATGCTCTCTTCAGAATCCTGTTCCAGTTACAAAATTAAACATTCGTACAAGGTAAGTGAGAAAAATTTTAAACCCTCAATTGTATTCGAATTTTCAATTCTTAAGTAACTTAAATTGAACTGAATAACTTATTTATCTGTTAACTTATATTTTGTAGAAAATTTTCGATTTAATTTTGGAAAAGTTAATAGAAAGTAGGAAGATTCAAAAATATTATGTATGTTAAAAATGAATTTTAAATTTGAATTATTACAACTGTAGTAATTTTCTATTTGCAGTGCATTAAAATTGGAGGAAGCATTCCTAAAAATGTCAGTTCAACAGGGAAGCGATATTTTATTATCGGTTTGGGGTGATGATTTCCGATATGGTGAATTAGAAGAATGGTATCAGCAATATGATAATTTAATATTATTATTTGATCATATCAATATGAATTCAAAATATACAAAAATTAGGTTGTTAATCATTTATATTTCCTTTTATTATTATGTATTACTTAAAGTAATTTCTTTTAAAATTTCAACTAATTAAATTAATATAAATTCAAAGGTAAATATGAAATTCGACAAAATATAGTCATAATTTTTAAAACTTCACATTTGAAATTTTTATTAATTAATATACAATAATATTATTAAATTATTAGTAAACGTTAATTAAGTAAATTTTTTGTTGTTTTATGAATTCTATTTTAATTATATTAATTAAATTTCATATACAAAATTAAAGAAAAATAAAATAATTGCAAAACTTTTTAAATTTAAATTAACAGATTTGGCACATTAACGGAATATTTCGATGCATTAGAACGAAATAATAAGGCTAAAAATTTCATGCCAGCAACATTATCCGGTGATTTCTTCCCTTATCAATGTCCTTCGGGTGATTATTGGACTGGCTATTATACCACACGACCATTTTATAAAAGACAAGAACGAGAATTACATGTAAAATTTGAAATTAAGTTTTACTTAAAAATGAAACTGTCAGTTTGTTTATTATTATATTATTAATTATGTGAAATTTAAATCAAATATTTCAGCAAAATTTAAAATGTTTTACTGAAAAAAGTTTTAATTAATTAATATATTATAATTAAAAATTATACAATCAATAGGCTATAATTTAATTACACAATTTTTTAATTCAATTAGAAATAATTTATTAAGATGTTGCCGCTTTTTTCCCTTTTAAACAAAACAAAAGATTAAGTTTAATGTAATTTTTAGTTATTCAATAATTTTTTAGTACAAATTAAATATTTGGAAAAAATTTGAAATTTTATTTTTTTAATTTTGGAAAATTTCAGTCATTTATAAGAGCTGCGGATTTGCTAAGTGCCAGCTGTTTTATGCATTTATCTATCAAAAATCGTCAAATTGTTCAACAACAACTCACAATAGCTCGACGGAATTTAGCACTTTTTCAACATCATGATGCTATCACAGGTGAATGATAAATTCTTTTTTTCTCTCTCTTTCTTTCTTATAGTGTTGCATAGATTAATTAAAGTATAACTCCACATCTTCATCTCTACTCTTTTAATATTGCGTAGATTAAAGTATAATCCCACACCTTCACCTCTTCTCTTTTAACTTGCAATATAATATATATATAGAAATAATTTAAATTCCATTTATGATTTAATTTCTAACAATTTTCATCTAAAAAATTATTCATTATAATTAAAAAAATTTGGATAAAATTCTTTTTCATAAATATAAAGAAATGAAGAAAAGTGAAAGGGCAATAATTAATTTTTGTTTTAGGAACGAGTAAAAATCGTGTAATGAAAGATTATTCACAACGAATGTTTGCATCGATAAAAATTACCGAAAATGTTCTAAGAATTTCATTGAATGCATTATTAGGCACAAATAATTTTAAAATAGTAATCTTTCAAATTATTGTTTTAATTAAATTTTCAAATTAATAAAAGAATTAGGACAAATTTTGTAAAATTCTTTTAATAAAGTTTTAATCATTTTTAAGGTTAAATTTGTTTGATTACTTTTGTTTTATCTTTTTTACCTATTAATTAGTAAATTATTTGAGACAAAAGCTGTAAAAAAGAAATTGTATCTAAAGAAGAATTCTTTAGGATAATATTCCATTAATGTATAATGAAAGTAGCAGCAATATAATAATTACTATGGATAAACCAAGGTATGTTGTATTTCAGAGATTGCTTTTAAATAATTAAAATTTTAATGTCTAATTTACATTGATGAATTTAAATTTCAAGATTTAAAAATTCAACAGAATTTATTTTGCATCATTTTTTATAACGTTCTTTTGCAATTTTGTTTTATGGCAAAAAACTAAAGAAATAAGAACTTCAGATAGTCAGCAAGAATTATATTTTGACTCAAATTATTCAATAACTAGAGCTATCAACTCATCCTACTACAGTAATCTTCAAATAACACTGTAGCATTCAAAAAAGTTACTTGTAAATTTATCCTCTATTATTTGACAAAAAAACATATGAAAAATTTATTATGTTTAGAAATTTGATTGCTATAATTAAGAACTCATGTGTGATACAGTAATCGTTAAGTAGGATACTCTGTTATATGTTTTGTATAATACAGTAATAGCTATGAAATTAAGAACAAATTCGCCATTCTTTCTTGCATGACCTATTCAATATAAGTAGCCAATTAACAGAACAATACTTATATACAATAACAAACCATACGGAAAAATGGAAAAAATCGAATTGCGTGTATCGGATCCAAATATAGTTGTAATTGGAGCTCATGGACCTATTAAAGCTCAAATAGAACCGTATTTTGATCCAATTAGTGGCAAATTTACAGAAAATTATCTGGTAATTAAAATTTTTTATTTGTTTTTACATTTAATAAGATTGAAAATTTCCAGCTAACCTATCCAAATTCGATCCGAAAATCAAATTTATTTTAGGCTGCTTATAATAGGCGAGCAATTTAAAATGATAACATATATTTTTAGTGATAAATCAATCATAATTTGCAATTAAATAATTAAACTTTAATTAAACTGATAATGATTATTAAAGGATTTTTTGTAATGTTTAAAATAATTTTTGCAATTTTCAGCTGGTTTTCTTTACATTTCTTAATGCCTTATCATTCATTCATTGTACAATCCAAAAGAACCATTCCACAACAACTGAAATTGCTCAAATTTTAACACCGCTGAAATCATCAAAAATGATAAGGCACCTTTCAAAGTATAGTTTTCTTTCCTGAATTTAAATTTAATTGAAAACTAATAAAACAATGTAAATAATGAAGAAACAGAAAGAATGGAACTTATATTTTGTTAATTTCCAATATGTACCAAAGCTATTAATTATTCTATATTTGGGAAGATGTGGCACAATTAATGACAGCTGGAAAAGTGTACTCTTTCATTTCAAACACTATTTTCAGACATTTTAATGTTGTGACAATAAATGAGAATAAATTTATCCTTCGAACATTACAAATGTTTGTGCAGCTGAATCCAAAAAATGGTTTGTTGGAGGTATTTTTCAGAATTTATTTAAATTTTTCCTTTTAATTTTAATTAATATAATTTGAAGCATAATGTATTGTTAATTAATTAAATAATATAAAGTAATTTTATTAAAATTTTGAAAATACTTTAAAAAATTGATTAAAATTTTTAACTTTTAAAATAAAGTTTGACGTATTTATACTTAAACTAATATGAACAAATACTTAGCTGAATTTATCCATTTAAATTAATTTATAAAATTTAATTAATTAAATCCATTTACTAAATAATTTTTTAAACCAAACAATTATTTTTACAACTTTGTAAAATCTTTTGAAAAAAAAAACAATATTAATTCAATAATTAATAAGGCTATAAAAATAAAAGATGAAATTTAGACTATATATTTAAATGTTGCAACAAATGATACAGAGCGATTATGGTGTAAACAAGAGTTCAATTTTTACAAGAGTACTTATAGCGGAGCATATATTATGACACTTGAAAATGAGAAGCTTACGGTAAGTTCAATAGCATTTTAGCATATTAATTAATATTTTGCATAATATATAAAACAATAATTAATTTCTAATATGAATTTATTTCAATTTTTAAATTATCATTTCTAGATAATTCTTCTAAATAAATTTCAAATTATCCTTTTGCTCATTTGAATTTTTATAAAATTTAATTAATTAAATCCATCTATTTGTATTACTAAATAATTTTTAAACCTGTGAATAAATTTTGTAACTTTGAATCAATTCAATAAGTAATAATGCTCATTTAATTTTTTGAATATAAATGATCCGATATGAATATATAAGTATTTCGGTAAACTCATATTAGCATTAGATATGCTAATTAAGTTTAAAATATATAATATATAAAATAATTGCAATTATTAGAAGAGTAAGATAGAAAAAATAGAAACGAATGATATATTTTAAATTTAATTATCAATCATTTCTAATTTCAAAAGTATAAAATATCCGTTAATTTTATGGAACATCATTTTATCAAATATTTATTTTAAATAAGTTAATGTTTTAGGAATTGAAAATGACTGGCGCAGAAACTTTTATTATTTCGGGATCATTGCGTCAAATTGCTTACACATTATCAGAATTCATAAAGCAACGTCTCTCAGTCAATAATATTTCCGGTATTTAGCCACTTATTTCCGGTATTTACTCACTGAAAATTTTTTTCTTTTTCAGGCAAAAAAAACTGAGTCACATTTTTAATTATTTATCAATTCATTGAAAATTAAACAATAACAATTTGTTAATTCTTTTGAGGAGCAGAAGAAAATCGTTTACATATGCAACTTCGTGTTGATATAAGAAAAATGTCAGATGTTCAATTAATTTCAACATTTACAACTGATATGATACCAGATGATTTCGAATATTATACTGATAGTAATGGCTTACAAGTAAGTGGGAAATAATTCATTAATTTCATAACCAGAAAAGTTTGAATGTTTAATTTAAGTTACTGAAATTGTAGTATTATGACCAGATATATTTTTAATTTTTTCATTCCGGTTTTTTATCCGTTCATTTTATTCCATTATGCTTATTGTGCTATGTGTGAACTGAAAAAATTAACATCCAATTACTTATTTACTTATTTTTCCTTATTTACTTTTTTTGTTTACTTATTTACTTCTTCTAATTTAATAAACAATTATCGATTATGAAGAAATTATGAATATAAACATCTAATCGACCAGAAATTTAAATTTCCCAATTAGTTATTCACATTTCTTTTTTAATTAACGAAATCTTATGCTAATATAAATTTGCCTAAATGCTTATTTATTCATATCGGATCATTTATATTCAAAATATTGAATGAATTTTTTACACGTACACGATAACATCATAATTACTAAAATTTTTAATTCATTAAAAAAATAAAAGCAAAATTCAAATTTTAGTTAATTAAGCGAGCGGAATATAATACATCTAATCGACCAGAAATGAATTACTATCCAATGCCAACAGCATTGGTACTAAAAGATTGCTCTAAACGGCTGTCAATTCTTAGCAATGTTCCACATGGTGTTAGAACATTTGATAAAATAAATTTCGAAATTATGCTTGGTAAGTAATAAAATTAGTCGAAAATTTGGTAGTGTTGAATTTTGAAACTTATGAATTTGCTAGCCAATCATAGCACTACCAAAATTGCTTCTTTCTATTTTATAGATCGTCGTTTAAGTACAGATGATAGAAAAGGCCTTGGATTGGATAATGATGGTTTACCGATGGATAATTTACCAGTTAATATGGCATTCACATTTGTTATAGAACGAATGGTACCGGTAAAACATAAAGTAAATGCTATTCTTTCGAAAATTTCTAATTTCAATTAAATAATTAATTTTTGATTTTCGTAAATAATTAAATTATATTTTACAAGATTATAAAAATTACAAATTAATAACTTTTTTCAATGAAGAAAAGTTCTTTAAAAAAAAGGAAATTTTTATAAAAGTTTCTAATTTACAGCGGCAACGATTTGCATATAATACGCTTAATGCTCATTTAGCCCTTCAATCACTCATTTATCAACCGAATATTTTTATTTTTTCCGGTAAGTGTGCTAATCATTTCAACTAATCAACTTGGTTTCCGGTAAGTGCTAATCATTTCAACTAATCAACTTGGTTTCCGGTAAGTGCTAATCATTTCAACTAATCAGTTGGTTTTCGGGAAATGCTCATTATTTTAGTTAACCAATAACCAATTCTTATTAATATTATTCATTTCAGTTAATCACTTCATATTAATTTAATAATAATAAATAATACTTTAATGTTAATAATATTTTAATTTTAAAATAATGAAACTAATAAATGTTGAAGAAGTTTTTTGATTTAAACAAAAGTGATTATTTTTTCATTGTTTTAATAGCATTAAAGGAGAAATTAATCCATTGATAGGAAAATGAAAAATTATTAAAATTTCAGGAATTCTTGAAAATTTGCCATTTCGTCATTTTCAATCATTCCCCTGTGATGTGCAATTATTAACCGTTCGTCCTTTAACATCCGATATAAATAGACGATTAATGATATTACATAGAGCAGGCATCGATTGTGACAGTTTGACTCTCCCGATATGTCGCGGGAACGAACTTGATGTAAGTACTATACTTAATTTAAGTCATAAATGTTTATGCTTGTCATTCATGCTATAAACCGATCAACAAATATATAATACAATGATTACGTATGTATCATATCGTTAGATTTAAGTAATACCTCAATGAAGGTTTATCTGAATAAAATATTTGAAGAAAAATGTTCTCTCTCTCAAAGTTTTTAAGTATTTATTTCTTTCTCGGTAAGATTCTATAAAATTTCAACTATTTCTTTATAATTTTTTTTATACAGTATGATTATAATAGTTAAAAGATAAGAAATAATCTATTACTAGAATTTCAAAATAAATTTTAATTTCATTATTCAATGATTCCGATCAGTTTATTTCAATGGAAAATGTTAAATGAAGGCAATTCGTTCAAATAATTCTTTTACATAAAGACCGTATTAAAATGTTTCATACGATAATATCGTAATTTGCATTGTTAAATATATCCTGTAAAGGATTACTGTATGAATAAATTTCAGTTAGCGTTAAAAAAATATATGCAATCGATCGGCGTAAGAACGGTACAGAAAACATTATTGAATGGTATTAGGCAAATAAGCAAAGAAATGCATTATCAATTAGCGACATTTTTTCTGGAACCAACCGATTTTGCAACTTATCTCATACGATTTAATTAATTATTCTTCAAATAAATAATATCGTATAAAAATAAATTACTGTATAGAAAAACGAATTACTGTAAAATTCAAAATTTAAAGACTTGTCATTCAAATAATCTGTTCCCAAATTCATTTATAAATAATTTTGCGGAATATTTACACTTTTTATTTACACTTTAAGATTTTGATTAATTCGTTAGAATTAACTTTACTCTTCATATTATATATTTTTATATGATATATTTCTTTACTATATCCTTTTTTTGCAGTCGCTTTCTTTTTTTCAGTAATTAATTTAATTTATGATTTTGAAATTTTAAAATTCACTCTAATAATATTTCATTCAAATATGTATTGTTGAAATAACAATGAAAATAATAAAGCAAAACGATTTATTCAAATTTTATTTTTATATAAATGAAACTTTTTTTCTTAATTGGCTAAATTATTTCCATCCTTCTATTTCGAGAAAAATTTTTTCCATTTGCCTTACATTGTCTGTTTTGCAACTTCTGACTTGTCGCTTTAACCTTGCCGCTTTAACTTTAACCTTTCACTTATAAACTTATTAACCGTTGACTTATTAACCAGTCATCGCTTTAACCTTTCATCAGTTAATCATTTCGCTTTAACCTTTCATCAACTAATCATTTCGCTTTAATCTTTCACATATTAAGCCCTTCATTTATTAACCTTTCACCTTTCACTTATTAACCATTTCATTTGCTCAAAATTTATTCTTTTTCATTTTTCATAAACTTTTCTTCTTCTTCTTTTGAAAATATTTCAACAAATTAGCTAATTTTTGTCGAAATTTGTTGCAATTTCAACCAAAAAAAATTCCAAAGTAACAAGAAATTTTTTTTCGATTTTTAAAAAGCAAATTGAAATATAAAATAATATATCTTATCTTTCTTCTGATTCATATTTGTCGATTTTTTTATTGCCGGTCTAATTAGTTTAATTAATTATCGAATATAATAATCGTTAGCAATAAAGAATGGTTAAAGTATTATATTCGATAATTAAAGTAATATAAAAGTTTGATGGGAATTAAATTGGAATTTTTTCTATAACATCTATTTCATCATTTTTGTATTTATAATTATTTGTTGACAAAAAAATTTGCTATATTTTGCTGTACAAACAAACATTAACTATTCCATTGATTATATTTATTAATTGTATGATTTGCATAAAAATCGATGTTTAAATTACTCTGTTCAGATCTTCCAAAATTATTAATTTAAACCACATCAAATTAATCAATCAATTATTTACAAAACAAAGCTTAACAATTTTCACTGGCCTAATTTCAAATTTCAACAAAAAAATCAAACAGCAAAAAATTTAAATTTCAACTTGCAATATAATATTCCATCCAACATGTTCATTATTTTCATATTTATATATCTAATTAAATTTTTTTAAACCATTTATTAATTCATAATTACATGTCTTCTGTACAAATTGAAACTCGTTGAAAATTAATCATTTTACATTTTTGATACACATTATTAACAGTGTTTCAATCGGTTATTAAATTGATCGATTGAATTAATCGATTGATCAAACGATTGAACTGATCGTTGCAAGGATAAAATAAATATTTAAAATCGATAAAACCATATTTTATGCATTATTCAAATTAAATTATTAACACATCCAGGATAAATGAGCTCTCTTTTCATCAACTGCTTTTCCATTTATTAATAACAGCTGAAGAAGTATCCCTAATCATTTCAAATTTTCAACCTATCCAATATCTTCATTGATTTACCTACCAAAATCAGAAATTTAAAAATAAATAAATTTTTAATTCTTTGTTTTTTGCATTTCTAATTAAAAGAAAAAAATACTTTCAAACATTTTTATTAATTCCATCGAAAATTTTTCCTTCAAATAATTGCAAATTTTTTTTGTTTCTCTTTTTTACCTAAAATATTTTTTGTTATTGTTTTGAATGGTTAATATACCTAAAAATATTAGCTTATATTGTAAAATATATTTTTGGTTTTTTTAAAATAGCCTTTTATTTTGTTTATCTTTCAGAAGTCTTAAAATCTCTTTGTTCCATTGAAATGGATTTCTTATTGACATTTGAACGTAAGCGAATTTTTTCATTTCGTTCTTTTCATTTTTCATTTTAGTTCATCAAAATATTGCAAGAGAAGAAATAATGAAAGATAAATTTTCATATAACATAAATTTTTATTGCCCGAAGCAATAATCTTTTTTTGGGTATTTATCATCCATTACAATAATGATTATTATCATTTCATTTCAATTGTATAACAATGATAATTATCATTTTAATAATCCAATTTTTGGTATTGCAATTTAATTGCATAAAATTAAGAAAGGAAAAAGTATGTGATAATTTTTATCGTCTATTACAACAATGATTATCATTTTAATTGTATAACAATAATGATTATCATTTTAATTGTATAACAATAATGATTATCATTTTAATTGTATAACAATAATGATTATCACTTTAATTATTTTATATAAGATTATCATTTTAATAATCATTTTTTACTGTTTCAATTTAATTGCTTAAAACTAAAAAGGGAAAAATATATAATATTTTAGTATTCTTTAAAATAAATTATTAATTAGTATTATTCTTTTAATTGCATAAAAAGAAACGAATGAAAATATAAAAGGAAGAAATGAATGAAAAATAATGCATAAATAAATATTTATAATTAATCGAACAAATAAAAATATGTTTACAATTATTTTATTGCAAAGCGCGAAAAGTAAGAAAGAGAATTTGTTGCATTAATTTGCAATTCATTAATTTACGAATTAATTTCAACAAATTAATGCATTAAAAATGCAAGATGCATGCATGTAATTTATGAAAATGTAAGATATATGCATATAATTCATAAAATGCAAGATGCATGCATATAATCATGAAAATGCAAGATGCATGCATATAATCATGAAATATTGAAATTAAAATGCATTAAAAATAATGATCGTAACTATAAAAAGAAGAAAAATACTTTTTTAGGTTTGAAATATTTTAATATATTTACTTTTCTTGTTAATATTAGTATAACATTCAAATTTATATAATTACGATTATTATATGATATAATTAAAAAGCATAATTCAAAAACAAATTTAAAGAATTATAAAATAAAAAAAATTGAAAAGCATATCCATATTTAGTTCTTTTTCAAAATGCTCTAATTATAATATTGCGAATGTTATAGTTTAAATTCAATTAATCAATACTATATTAACAGTAGTAAAAAATAATAACAGAGGTTAATAAAATCATTTAACAAATATATAATTATAATTAAAACGATAATCATTATTGTAATAGATGATAAAAATTATCGATTATTTCCATGATTTTATCACTTCTGTCAAAACTTTATATACATAATAATAAAAGTATTATCAAACTTATGATTTCTTATTCATTCAAATTATTATTCGCATAAAAAATGCAAGTTAATTATTTTGTTCAAAAATTAATTAGTGCCAGATGATTAGTAGTAATTTGTAGGAACAAAACTAAAAATTTTAAACTTTTAAATTGCAAAAAAATTTTTCACATTTGTTTTATTCTTCCCTTTTTCCTATTGTTTCACATCTTTCTTTCATTTGTTTCAAATTTTAAAAAAAATTCGAAAATTTTAGAAGAATAATTGCTTGTCAAATAGCAACTGTTAAATGATAGCCTTTGCTGCAATAAATATTACAAATTCAATATTAATTATCATAGTGATATTATTTTACTATAATTAATAATTTTCTTTATCTTAAGATGAGCATAAATTATTATAAGACAAACGAAATGATATTTGTTTACATTTATCAATTATAATATTTATGAATTAACAATATTACCGAAAAAACTACTAAGCATTATTAAAACTTCATCAAAAAAGAGAATGAAAAGTTGATAAAAGTAAAATTATCTTTTTATCAATACTAAACTAATAAGTGAACTGATAAATATTGACGTTACAATAACAATTTAAATGAGGGCGATGATTTTAGCTATATCTTAGCAAGTTATTGGTTTATTTTAGTTGTTTCTTTGCAAGTCACTGATTTTAAAACCACAACATTGCGGTATTTCACTTATTTTCATATCATCTCCAATAATTCATTATCGGCTGAAAGCGCAATTGTCGCATAATTTTAGCTATATCTTAGCAAGTTATTGGTTTATTTTAGTTGTTTCTTTGCAAGTCACTGATTTTAAAACCACAACATTGCGGTATTTCACTTATTTTCATATCATCTCCAATAATTCATTATCGGCTGAAAGCGCAATTGTCGCATAATTTTAGCTATATCTTAGCAAGTTATTGGTTTATTTTAGTTGTTTCTTTGCAAGTCACTGATTTTAAAACCACAACATTGCGGTATTTCACTTATTTTCATATCATCTCCATTAATTCATTATTGGCTGAAAGCGCAATTGTCACATAATTTTAGCTATATCTCAGCAAGTTATTGGTTTATTTTAGTTGTTTCTCTGCAAGTTACTAATTTTAAAAACACAACATTGCAGTAATTCACATATTTCTTCATGTTTGTAAATTTACTTCGATTAATTGCCAATTAATTAGCAATAGATAGAAGGCATTTTCTTCTCTCACATTTTTCTTTTATAAATCTTACGCTTTACCTTTATTTCTTTTCTAATTAAAAACAATTAAATTCTTTTAAAATTTAACCTTCAAAATTATTTCTGGCTAAAATAAAAGGCTCTCATTTTAATGACATTTCATTTCAATGGATTAAAAGAAGGAAAGTTTCGTTTGTAAACTTTAATTTAAAAGAAAACTATCCATTTTTGATAACAATTTCAATTTCAATTTTAATAATTTCAACAGTTGTTTTTCTTTTTCTTCAATTATAAAACTATTTTCATTCAAAATAAAATTTGTTTATTTGCTAAATTATTAGCTTAAACAAATTTTTTAACTGAACAAACTTCTAACTTTAATAAGCCGTTGTATTAGCAATAGTTTTTC